ATATTTAATATTTATGACATTGATCCAAATACAAATGTATAATAGATTTTTGGTTAAAATAAGATGTTATGGTTATTTCCTATTTATTCTGCCTTTGGATGTGATGATGGTAATTAATTCCCATTAAAAAATGAATATAGAATTATGTAAATTCCTTCTCCATAAGTGATAGCTGTGTAAGAGTAACATTTATTATAGTTTTTATGAGCAATAGTATGTGAGTAGTGATAAAAATACAAATGAACATCCAATTATTCAAACTATATATAAAAAAGAAATGGAGAAATAAAAGATTATTGAAATTATTAAAAATTGATTCACTTTCTATTTATTCTATCTCATTTACTCTATTTATACCAATCTAATAATGTAAAAAATAAAACTATTTATTGTTTTTTTTATTTATTTTAAAGAAAATATATATTCATTAGTATTAACTTTTTTAACTAATTCTATTTGTAATTTTCTCTTTTTTAATTTCTGTAGTTAGTCTTATTTCTTTTTTTGGAATTGTTTATTTCAATTTTAAAGTTCTTAATTTAAAACTTCTTCTTCTTTTTCAATTACACCTTAATTAAATCCATATTAATCCACATCAATTTCTGGCTATTTAATTACATCTGGTAAATTATAATTAGCAATTGTTTCTCCAACTTTTATTTTTCTTCTTCAACATTATAAGTTCCTTCTATTTACTATTTCGTTTATTCTCTTGATTTTTCAAAGTAAGCTTTCTCTGCTTCCTCATCATCAGAACTACTTTCTTATTAATCTTATTATGCTTTTTTTCTAATTAATTCAAAAGCAATCAAATCTAAAAGTTAATTTTGAGAAATCATTCCTGTTTAAAATAAATGAAAATCAAATAAACAAAAAAATTGGATAATTGTATCTTATTAATTATTTTACAATAGTTCTTTAATATTTTACTCTTATTTTATACATTACTTTTTTATATTTTTCTTAAGACCTTACAAATAAACTTATTTAATATTTGTTACAAAGATTCTTAAAATTTCTATAAATTGTTTGAAAATTTGATTTACCTTATGTAATTCTTATTGCTAATTCAAATTTTATTAATTTTCTGAAAAGTGAAAAGAAAATTAGTAAACAAAATTTTTATAAAAGATTCGCCATTCTTTGCTAATTAAAAGTTCTGTAGCTTTCATAAATTTTTATAAGCTTTTAGATATAATTAAAAATTATTAGACTAAATATTCATAATGTTATATTTTATAATTAAAATTAATATGAAAGAGTATAATCATTTATTTCTTATAAAAATAATAGCCTTTTTTATGATTCATTTATTTAATTAAAATTTAGATTATAGAGGCATAAATAGAATTATTTATTAAAATTAATATTAACATATTTAAAACAATAATAATTTGATTGCTTTGTAGGTTTAAGATGAGCAACAATTAATTTAATTAACGAAAATTAAAATAATTATACAATGAGAAAGAGTGCTTTATCATTAAATATAAATCATTCAATTATAAAAAAAAGATATTATTAGAACCAATCTTTAAATAATTTTATTGTTTTTAGAAAATAAAATTTATTTAAATTTATGAAACATCTTAATAATCAAATCAAAAACTAGCAATAGGTTGGAATAAGGTTTATATCTCCAAGAAAAAATTAAAAATCTTTCTTAAATGACAGTTATCAGATATTAACCTAAAAAACAAATTTATCCATCAATTAATCGTTTAGCAGTCCAAAAAATATATCTAATTAAAATTCCTTTATAATTACATAGCCAATAAATACAATCATTAACATGAGAGACGCTTAATAAAGTTTTAAATGTAGTTCTCCATCAATGAGAATTAAAACTGAAAAAGATGATTAAAAGCAAGAACAATTTATGGAAGCGACATTAAAATTATTAGCATAAAACGAAAAATTAGAATAATTAATTTGTTAATAAAATGAAATGCTTTCTATATATCGAGAGGATAAAAATTAATTAGAATTGACAATAAAGAGATTGACTTAAGAAAATTAATTTCTCAAAGAGTCTAATTAAAAATAAGGCTTGTTATTAGAAAAATAACTAAAATAAGTTAATGGAAAATCATATTATGATCCAAAAAAAATGTTAAAATGATAAACTTTTTGATAATTTTATTTATAAATTTTATTGTATTAAAATTTAATTTATCATTTTAAATAAAGTTTTAGATTTTGTAGATAAATCAATTATTATATAGTATATATTCTAAAATTTGATATCTTAATATAATTTAAAAAGAGAATAATTATAATATGTTTTAAATTTGAGCTAAAATTTTGTAAAACTAATATTATTCTTATTAAGAATTCGAATTCATTAAAATAAATAGTATGTAAAGAATATTTTGATTAATTAACTTGAAATTAATCAATATTATGTAAAATAATAAAAATTATGTATAAAAAATATAATTTTTTATATCAAATTAATTGCAATATTAATGGGATAATTTTTAAGCTCTCAATGTTGTGATAAGAAAGAATAGGCACCTAAATCTTTATTATAAGTAGGTCCAATGTTGAACTTAAATCAAGACTATTAATATTTTTTTAGTTAAGATTGGTTTGGTATAGATAAGCCATAATTCGAACCTTAAAAATTTATTTATATTTATCCTGGATATAAGGAAGATTAATCATAAATGGAAAATTTTTGGTCAAAAGCTGATACAATAAATTTAAGACATGGAGAATTAGTTAGATAAAAAGGAAAAGTCTTAAATAAGAAATGGCAATATTTAATAAGAAAGTAATTATTATATTCAGTAATTAAAATAGAGGTGTTCCATGTTCTTTGGCGAAAAAAATAATATTAGATACTTTTAGATTGACATATGTTGATTGTGAAGCAGAATATTTATCTGCATTAAAGGTTGTATTCAAAAATAAATAAATTCCTAAAACTTTTAAAAATGTTCCTCTTTTTGGTTGTAATACAAATGAAAATGATGAAGATGAGGAATTTAATTACTTAAATGAGAGTGAAAAAAAAATATAATTAATCCTTAAAGTTTAGATTTTAAATTAATAAGGAATTGAAGCTTTAATACGTTTATTATGGATTGTAAATAATTTAAACCATTTTTTGGAATATAACCCTATGTTACTCCATATAATAGTTCTACTTTTAATATTTTTAAGTGAAGCATAAACATATTGTGTATTGTAATTTATGATAAAAGATTCTTAATAATGTTTGAATGACCATTAAAATAAATAATAATTAAGATGGCATTTGATAATGAATGAGGAACATTTTAAAGAGTAATAATTAAATATATAATTAGAACAGCAACTACATTTTATGAAACAGTAAGTAAAAGGAGTAAAACATTTAGTAATGTATATTAATTTATGTAAAATATTCACTTCGATTCATTTGAATTATTTTAAGAAATGTCAATTAATTTAATGTTAACTTATTTACCATTTTCAACAGTGTTAAAAATATTTATAATATATCTAAATGAAGGGATTAAGATTTATTTTAGAATATTTTATTCTGTTTTGAGATATATTTCAGATGATATAAAATCATGCAAGTCAAATTCCAATTTTAAATCAATTTTTCGAAAAAAATTAATGAATTTAAACATAGAATAATAAAATAATATTATTAAACAAGCATTTAAATTAAGTTTAAGTGAAAGTGAATAAGTAAAATCTTATATGAGAACAGCAGTATCTTATTCTAAAAATCAACCTTGTTATTTGCCAATTCCATCTTAAGCATCAGATTTAATTACAAATGAATAGGCATTTATAGATATATGATATTTAGCTAGTTTGAAATATTATGGGATTGGATTTCGAATATTTATAAATTGAGTGATCCATTTTTAATATTTAGTTCAAAATCAGATGGACATTCATTAAAATAATTATATTTAAAATGTTAAGATTTTACTGATTATCCAGTATTATTAGTAATCTAAACAAATTAAAATATTGTATGAAATCTTATTAATTAAATAGATATTTGGAGCATTTTGTGATCAAATGTTAGAAGTAAAAAATAAATATGTAGGTTCAAGTGAAACATTTCTATTTACTCTTTAACCAGAAGAAAGAAAATACAATCCAACATCTGGAAATAGTGATTATATGATGTGTGCATTAGATTATTTAGCATTTGGAAGTGGAAAGTATATTCTTATAATATTATTTATTAGATCTGGACCAGCATTTTAAATAGATTCAGAATTGAATAAAGGTTTTACTTATTAAAGTGATACTTATGATAATCCATTATTTACAGAGTAGAAAAATTAAAATCGATTTAAATGTTTAAGCATTGAAGTGTATTATCTAAAATGAAAATTAATATTAATATTAATGAAATTTATAGTGCTAATTTTGCTTTTGCTTTTCGTTTTTAATTAAGCTCAGGTATAAATAACACCTAGAATTTAATGTAAAACAAAAAAATGTGAAGGTGATAATTTCTGTTTTTAAGGTTACTGTACATCTTGTGAAGGTCCTAGAAGTTTATGTATTTAATATTATTGATTATTTAAAAGGGAACAAAAGAAAGCCTTTATGGGGAACTAAAGTTGGTGAAGCTTTATAAGTACCTGCATTTTCTAATTTTGGAGATCTTGATGTGTTAGACAGTAGCAAAGATGAATTTCTAGAAGATTCAATCAATAATTTTGGAGAGGAAATATATATTGGATAAAAGTAATTATTTATTTATATTAAAAGATATCAATGTGTTCATTATGCAAGAAAATTCTGGATTCAAAATTTTAATGTAACTTTTGGATCTGTTGATAATGCTGAATAAATATTTGATCTTTAAGAAGCTTATAATATAAATTCAAAACAAAATATTAATTTATAGAAATTTTAAAATGGAGGTATAGAAACTCCAATTTTGGGGGATTTATTGATTTGGTAAAAAGATGATGGCGAATTTCCTTATGGACATGTTGCTGTTGTTTTAAATGTAGATTTAGAATCTGATTATCCTCATGTTTTAATAGCAGAATAAAATTATGATTAAATATGGGATACAAGAAACTTTTCTAGAGCATTAAAAATAACTTTAGGAGAGAAAAAAGAAATAAATATTTCTAATAATAGATAAACATTTCCAACTAAAGATGATTTAAAATGTAGAGATGATCTATATACATCTTAAGGTGTCATTCTAGGTTGGATTCGTTTGAAAATTTAATGATGAAAATTTATAAATAATGCATTTTTTTAATATTTATGTAAAATTGTATTATCTTAAAGAAATTTGTTTTTATGACTGTCATTAAAGCAAACTATGATAATTAATTTGATGAATATCATTATTTTTATTTTAGATCAGTATCTCTTTTTCTTAATTTAGAAAATTTGGTATGAAATAAAAAGAATTCTTTAGAGAGGTATCATAAATATCTATTTTTTAATGTTATAGCGTTAGATTTATTTGATATTTATTTGATATGAAATTTAAAATTATTATATAGATTTAATTTATTTATATTAATATTAAAAGAGTTACTGAATATTTGAAATAAAACTTCTTAAATTTTAATTAATGAATTACAATATTTTTATTAGATAAAATAAGTAAATTATGCTTTTAATATAAATATGAGAATAAAAATTATTAATAAGATTTAAAATTATGTTGTAGAGGATTTTAAAAATTAAACAATAAGTAAATAAATAATTGAAGAGATTGTATTGAGTAAGTATAATAAAAATAATAATGAATAAAATAATATATAATAAGTTTGTATATTTATATTAGTATAAACGTATAATAAATACTGATATTAATAATTCAGTCGGTACAATCATTGGCAAAAAGGCATAAGAAATCTTAGCCTAATGAAGTTTGAAAGGGTACTTTAACTGGTAATTTAGGGTGATTTTTATTAAGTGAAGAGCTGTTATTATATTATATAACTATTTAAGGTTCATTTGAACTAAATCCATGTGCCGAAGTAATTTGATTATTAACAGGGGAATAAGATAAATTTTGGAACCCAATATTATTAAATTTAAGATTAGCTGATTAAGGATGTTTTTGATTAGTATTAGATTTTTCTAAAGTAATATAAGTAAAAATACTAGCTTCATCAGTATGATAACCATCTTTGGATTGAAATTTATTAAGATTAACTTGATTATTCATTTTAAAAAAGGCAAGATCAAAGTCATCAAGATCATCATTAAAATTATTGTTAGCTAAATAAAAATGAAAATTGATTACATTTAGGATCGATTTATGCATACATATTTTTGATAGGAATTTAATGGTCAACTAAAGAATTAATAGCTTAAATAGGTAATTCTAATCCAATAGCTTTAGGAGGAGTTTTATGTCTGGAAGGAGGACGATCATTAGTATTATTATTATTATTATGAAAATTATCAATTACTTGATCAGTTTATTTTCTTCTTTATCCTGAACGAATGGATAATAAATCCTATATGGAAGATATAAATAAATGAAGATACTTTAGGGGAATTTAAATTATTGGTAATGATTGGAATAATTTCTAGATTTTCATATTCATCTTCTTAAATGATCTTGGGTTAATAATCTATGATTAATAATTCTGATTCTTTTTTCTAAGTATTATTTTATTAAGTTTCATTTGTAGAATTAGCAAATCTTTTTCTTCTAGCTCCTTCAGATGTTTATGGTCTATTTAATGTAGCAGTTTCTTTTCTCATAGTAATAACTGGTTCTTCTATTTATTTTTAAACAAATGATTTGTTCTTTTAGATTTATGTTTCTTCTTATTATTAAGTTGGGAATTATAAATTATGATCTTCTTCACTATCAGCTTCATTTGATTCATTTGAATCTATATCAACATTATCTACTTCTACTATTTCTATATCTTCATTATCTCTAGGTATATGTTATTATTCATCATAATTATAAGGTACAATATTCTCATATTAAAGTTTAGGATCAAATGTATTTAATTATTATGTTTATGGTCTACTTTATTATTCACATGAGTGAAATCCTCTTGATTTTTATTAAGTAAAAGTTCTAGATGGTTTAAATGAAGTTCTTCCACTCTTTGGTTCATCATCATATCTTCTCTCAACACTTCTTTTTTTCATCATTCCTTAAAATTAACCAGCATAGATTTTTGAGATTTATTAGGTGTTGTTCTAGTAACTTTTAGGAGGCTAACTATTTTATAATTAATAATACTCACATTGATTTTGTATATGAATTTTATGTCTAATTACAAACTGTAATCAATTGTTATTAATAAGGACTCTTTATTACTTATTTATCTTTTCGACTTTAATTTGGTGCTGTTCCTCCTCGTTTAGCATTTTCTCTAAGCTAAATTAACTACTCATCTATATACCCTTAATTAGCAAACCAACTTAAGTAAAATGGTTATTATTATTACTCCTTCTAACTTTTTGGCTTAAACATATTAATTAATATGAAAAAAGAATCCAAAAAACAAATTCTAGCTAAATTAATGCAAAAAGTCCCACTTATACGCGAACATAAACTTAAGTTAGGCTATTTTGTTAGACAACCTTTTACATAAAGTCCTATTCATGTCACACCATCAAAATAAACAGAAATTATTACTGACACCTCAACTAACTATCAATTGATACCAGGATTCAAGATTAATAATTAATCTACTTATAAATTATATGGCAGTTCTGGCAGGAAGAATCAGGATAAATCTTGTTCAATCACTAAGTTTTAGACATAGCCATCATTTTCCCTAAATTCAACTATCTCTAGAATTTATTTGTCTCCCAGACCACCCATAAAAACAATAAAGTATAAAAGATATGCAGAAACATCATAAACTTTTAGAAAAAAAACTCCTCGGAAAATAATGGTTTTGTAATCTAACAAATAAGAATGCTACCATTAACCATCTTAGTGGAATATAGAGAGATGGGATACTAATGATGATAAAAATGAAAACAAATCATTTATTTTTTGATTTATACTGCATCATCTAAAATTAAATCTAATTCAATAATATTTATATATGAAAAACTGATCAAATTATAAATTCTCTCCCCAATTATACTTAATTTTATTTAAAATGACTGAATACTTTAATCTAAAAGCAAAAAGATTTTCCAATTGATATTTATAGTTAAGCTAGTGATAAATTAATTCAAATAAACAAGAAAACTATTTTTATCATGTACCTTAGATTCCTAAAGTGGTAATTATAATATCCTTTAATCTTTAAATCAATTTTGATTAGAATCAAAATAATTGAAGGATTAGAAAGTAAGAATATCTAAATTTTTTATGCGATGTTCTAAAAAGATCATTATTTGTAATAATACTAAATTATTCTTAAATTGAAGTTACACACACTTTTCTTATTGTCTCAAGTTTCGAGAAACTTTGTTCTAAGCAATTTTATGAATTTTCGTAAATTAATCACTAATATCAGAGTTAATTAAAATTATGATGATCATTCATTATTTATTTTTGAATATCAATAATTTTCATTTTACTACTAATTTTTACCTTTCTTTTACTCAAGTATAACATTTATCTTTAAGATCTATTTTTATATAACTAGGCAAACTCATTAATAGTTATATTTTTATACTTAATAAAGACATTTTGCTCATTCTTTAAAATGTAAACAACATCTTAAATTAAAACATACAAATTTCATCATATAGATTTTTAAAATTGCTCTCTTATAGAATACCATCAAATTTTCTTCAAATATAACTCTATCCAAAACTTAGTATAATTTTACATAAAGTCAGTCTTATACTTAAATAAAAAAAGATTTTCAAAAGAACTAGTAAATATCTTTAAAATCCTTTTTATTAATTCTTAAAACCATAGATTTCGTTATTGAGATTTTTATTTTAATTTATTTGAATAATATGTTTGATTTTAAAAATTATATTTGTCTTTTATTTAAAGTTAACGGATGTAGGCTTATGATTATTTTCACTAATTCATAGATGTAAAATTCATCCACCTGATGTATATCATCTTATCCCTTCAATAACATTTAAACCCTTAAAGTTTAAAAAGAATATATTTTTTCTTTTTAAGATTTAATCTTTCTAGTATTTATTAATGTAGCAAAATTTAATTGCCGTTTTAAATTATTTATTTAATTTTAAATTAATGTAGATATAAATATAGATGATGAAATTTTCAATTAAATAATTTAATAAATTAGTTTTTAATTCATTCTTAATTTTTTAAAAATTCTAAAAAAAGGAAATCCTTTTCTAAAATTTATCTAAATTTGATATCTTCAACTTTTTCAATTTTTTTTTCAATTTAAGCTTAATAAATTAATTTTGTTTTGATTAAAGTTTCTTTGTTTGATTTTTAAAAAACAACCTATATTATTTCTTCTGGAGGTACTTTTTCAAGATCAATTTCATCAACCTTTAAAATACTATTATCATCTTTTTTGAGGATTTTACGATCATTTAAGAAATCTATATGAAACTCTTCAAAATTCTTGTTCAATTTTTTAACATTAGTAACTGTTTAAAGAGAACTTCTTCGCTAAAGTATAGGAGAAGGAACATCATGTTCATGTTTAAGAGAACTAGTCATAAATTTATTTTTTTATTCTTCATTATTTAATGAGCTTGATAAATTCCTATTTTTAATTACTTTTTCTCTATCTAATTAATCAGAATGAGATAATTTATTTGTTTCATTAGATTTCAATTCCATTTAATGTAAAACATCTTTAAATTAACTCAAAGGATCAGCATTCCTATCTGAAATATTTTTATTTTCAATAGATTATTCACTCTCATTGTAAGATGATTCTGAATTTGATTCAGATTCTATATCATTACTTATAATAGGAGTAGTTTCAAAAATATTTTTTGTTATTACTTAATAATTTTATTTTGAAGTTGAATCAGTTTAACAATTAATAAAAATATTATCTGTTTACTCATCAACTCCATCTTATTCTAAATATTTATTTTCTTCAACATCAAGAGCTGAAACTATAATTTTATCTTCTATTTAAGGACTACTAGGATCTTCACCTAATTTATTCTTATGTCTTTCTTCTTGTTTCATCAAATGTAGTTTTAATGCCCTCCAATTATGAGAAATCATTAATTCTTCTTCTATTTATTTTAAATAATCAAAATAAGGTAAAAATTCTCCATCCTTTATTAATTTTAAAGATAATTTTTATTCAAATTAATAAATTTATTTATCTATATGTCTATGACGTTTTTCATGGATCTTATTTTTTAAAATCAATTTAGTTGTCCAATAAGGATGAAAATCATTCAAAGCTCTTTCAAAAATGAATGATATCATATTGATCACATATGATACAAAAATATCTGATTTATTAAATTTATGTGCAAGGCTAAATATTAATTCCATTATATTAGCCTTATCAATTCTTTCCCATAATTATATATCAGTTATTCTGACTAAATTATCAATAACCTAAATAATAATGTTTTAATACTTCAACAAGCTTTATAATTAATAAGCCAACCTTAGTTTTATTTAATAGAGATTATTATAATATCTAAGCTATAATTTTAATGTCAAATGACTAAAAAAATTCTGAATGTCTAAAATTATTAGTAATTTCTTAAGTTTATGGTTCATCTAATTAGATATTTTGCATATCCATAGAATAATAATTTGAAACTAATGATAGTATATGAGCAGCATTTTTTAGTGTACTTAAAATTTTATTATATTTAATACATTGCATTAATATCATCTCTTGCAATAATTGAAAGCATTTTTTTTTGAATTTCTCCTTTTACTACATATTCAATTTAAACATCATTTAAAATTCTAATCATTATTTCATGAATTATAAAAGTGAAATTAATTGCACTACAAGGTTCAAATTCTTAAAATCGGTCAAAACCAGCTTTTAAAAAATCAAGTTATTATTGATGAAAACCAAACTCATAAAATATTACTATAATCTAAGCAACACTATTAATATATATTAAAGGTAAAAATGAAACAAGAAAATTTGGTCTTTAAAATTGTTCAATTACAAATCTCTTATCTCTTTCTTTTATTAATGAAAACAATTTATGAGCTATTCCCCATTAAGCATCTGGTGTTACTGCTCTCCATCTCAAATCAAATATGGCTTCCCAATAAATCTAAAATAACATCTGAATATCACTTCAATTTATTTCATTATAGGTTCTTAGTTCAAATCAATAATCTCAAAAATTTTAGATATTAAGTCACTATAAATAGGCAATTAATCAGTTTAAACTTTATCATAGTCAACAAATAAAATATCAAACATTTATTTAACATTTCTTGATAAAAAATCTATAGCAAAAGGATCATTAGCTCTCAAATATTTCATAAATTTTTCCATATTTAACATTATTGATAGATTTGATTAACTATAAGCAATTATTTCTTCAATTTGCTTTTAAGAAGATGTTTGTATTTAATACATTTTATTTTTAAATAATAATAATTTTATTTTATTTTTATTCTAGAAAATTATTACTTAATTGATAGAATTTCAGATCCTTATATTCTTGAAAGAATTCTTCTTTAAAATAATTATTTATAAAAACGATGTTTAACTCTAGTTAATATTGTATATTTGATGGCCACTAAAATAGTTAGATATAGGGAGTTTGTCTAAATGCTTCATGCTAAAATAAAAGACCATATTGCCATCATTGCAGATTATAACATCATTCATAACATGTAAATGATCTTAAAAATTTCGAATAACTTAATGATTTTTCAATTTAATTAGCTAAAGTCTTTGAGGAAATTCAAAATAAATTCTTTGCAATCTAAAAATGTTTATAAACACTAAATGACTAATTAAAAGAACTATATGTAAATCCTAAAACCAACTTTAATGAATTTAATTTAACTGATTTGGAAAAATTAGTCTTCAAATTGTTAAGTTTAAATTAATTATCAAATTCAGCTTTACTCTAAAATCTGAATGATTTCAACAAAAGATTAAGTTTTTTTAATAAAGAAGGTCTTAATCAAATAAAAGCAAATCAATCAGGAGTGTTATCTACCATTAAATCAGATATAAACTAAATATCAAATAGTATTTCTGCTAATTCAATAACTTTAAATCCTGTTGATCAAAACATTTTCCATTTTTCTGAATAGCTTACATTCAAAGGCATTTCAATCTAGGAAAATGGAAAGAAAGCTGTTTGTACAGGTTTAGAATGGGGTTTTGCAATGTGTGAGCCAGTAATTCTAAAAAAAGGAACATCTAGATTTGTTTTTTAAGTTTGTCACAGCAATATATGTAATCTTTATGTTGGAGTATGTCATAAGGATAAAATTATTTAATCAAATTATTCTCCAAATTCATTTTAAAAAATTGGTCATGGAGCTTATCTAATATTTAGTACGGGACTTATACTCTCTCATTTGTAGAGTGAAATTAATTATTAATTTAAAGGATTCTCGTATTCGAATAACGATATAATTATTATGGAAGTTGACATGAATTAATAGTAAATTGTATTCACTCATCAGTAAAAGCAGTAATAAATAGTAAATTAATATTATATATCTTTAGACTATGAAATTAGATGTATCTTAAGATTTATATCCATATGCAGAGTTATGTTTTGGTTCATCAGTTTAAATCCTTTAGATTTGATAATTTTATATTTATATTAAGCAATAAAAACATAAATATATAGAGTATTTTTATATTTTATTTTGATAATTTCTTATTAATGAATACTAATCTTTATAAGGTTGATAAATATTATAATCAATTTAATTGAATGTATTAGATAGAAGAATTTTTCAATAATTTTATTTAGATTTAATATGTATTTTAAAAATTTATATCATTTTTACAAATTTTACTAAACAAACAAAATAGAACCTAATTTGTTGTATTAATTATAACTTCGATTGCATTTTATGAACCTAATATATTGTAACAAGGGATTCATTTAAAATAGTATAATGTTTTTCTTTTAATTTATATAGGTTAATTAGTTTGAGTTTCTTATTTTGTGATGAAAATTAATTAGATAAATAATTTGCATCAATAGTTGTGAACTGATGATTGCTACTGAAATTTTATCCGATAAGGTATAAATATGATAATATAATGTTAGCCAGAAGACTAATATTAGAGACTAGAGAAAGCTGTAAATTATTCATATATAATTAATTTAGATGATTGAATTGTTTAAATATGATAATTTACTAAACAATGAATACCTAGTTCGAAAATTTGAGACTGATATTTTAAAACCTGAATGGTATTTGCTATAATATGTTGTTGTTTAAAGAGAAAATTCAATTAAAAGCTAATATGTATAAAATGAATTGAATAATCGCAAAAAATATCATTTAATTTTAACAGATGTAATAAGAGATATTATTATTTAAGATTTTAAATAAATATAACAAATAATTATGGAATTTTGATCATTAAATGTTAATCATACGTCCTTATTTTCCAACAGAGAGAAAAAGAATATAAATAAAAATACCAGTTTTGAATGTAGCTCTCATAAAAGACACTCTTTAGAAATCTGGCTTTGTTGATGAAGAATTAATTTTTGAAGAAGAAATCTATTAAGCTGACAAAACATATGTCAAATTAATAGTAACATCATAAACTGAAAATTATGCTATAGGAATATTTGATTTTTTAATGTCCAAAAAGGCAGAACTTTAAATAGATTCAGTTATTATGTAAAATGTTGATTATTTGGATGAATTTCATAAATAGATAAATTCTAAAAAATGTTCAATGATGAGTAAGAAAATTGAGCAATAGGATAATGATTAATAAGGATATAAAAGAAATGAATAATATGAAGAATAAGAAAAAGAATTTGATAGATCTTATTAAAAAGGTAGAGGAAGAGGAAACAGATCAAGAGGAAATTATGGATATTATAGAAATGATAAAGATGATGATAGACATGAAGACAAATATCATAATAAAGAGAAGGGAGAAAGAAATGAAAGAGGAAATGATAGAAATGATAGAGGAGGAAAAGATAAAGATCGAAGAGGAGGTCAAAGAGATAGAGGAAATAATGTAAATAATTTAATTTATGTTAGTAATATGTGTAAAAAAATGATTAACATCATTAATAATAATAATAACAATAATAACAATAACAATAATATCAATTAATCCCTAAAGCAGTATTATAAAAGACACCAAAATAAATTATAAAACCAAATGCTCTGAATGCTAATGATTTCCCTGCTCTAGATTCTGAATAAAAGAGCTGAGTTATATGAGTAATAACTCTATAAAATTATTTTATTATTCAACACATATGTGTAAATTTTTGTTTTTAACATCTCATTTTTTATATTTAATAATATGCATCATAGAAAAAGTTTATCACCATTTAGTGAAAAAGTGAGAGTTATTTAATTTACTTGTTTAAGATTAGAGTTTCTTTATCCAATAGTAAATGAACCCTTAAAAGTAATTGTATGTGAGAAACATACTTTCATAGCTAAACCTCAAGATTAAAGATATGCAATAGTTAATTAAGTACAAGATAACAAATTATAAGACATAAGCTATTGAAGTCTTTAATCATAAAATCAAAATTGAAATATAAAATTTAGGAATGTCATAGTTAGACCTAAACACTTATTAAGCATTTTCATTAGAAAAAGTTCCAATTTATGATAAGAAAAATCAAAAACAATTGATTGGATTTCTATGCTTTAAGATTGATGAAACATCAAAAAAAAGCACTCCAAATGCAAGTATTTAAAATTCAAGAGAATAATCATTAAGTACCTCAATATTTGAAAATAGATTTTGGTTCAAATTTATTTACGATTGCATTTAGTGATTAAACCTAATACTAAAATCCAAAGCCATAAAACTAAGTTTAAAAATGCTCTCATGAAGATATAAAAAAAAATATTGATTAAATTGCTCAGATTTATGAAGAAATGAGCAGAGAATAAAATTAATTATTATAATAAGATTTAAAATTAAAAAAATTAGATAATGAAATCAAAGATTTAAATTAGTAACTAAAGTCTTTGCATGATTAAGAGCATCATTTAGATATATAATTTAAAAAATTGTAAACATAATCTCCTTAGTTATAAATGTTAATTAACTAAAAAATATAACAATAATATTCAATTCTTACATTTAAGAGAAAATAAGAAAACCCAATTTAAAAATAATCACCCTAATAAATAATTCGAACAGAATAAAATAGTTAGAGATAAAAGAAAACTAATGTTCTTCCATAATAAGTAACAATTAGTTTAATTGAATAAGACAAGTTCATTAAGAAATAAAATAAAGAACCAGAAATTCCAGTTAATATGTCAATACCTTTTTCTTTTAATGAATATTTTAGTTTATTCAAAAATTGATAGTACTTTAAAAATTAGTGTATTATTTCAACTTAAAAAGAAAATGAAAAATAAATAGTTTGAATATTGGAATATTAGATTATTATACTACTATTAATATATTCTCATGCTCCGATAGCTAATTTTGATCTAGCAGCTTGTTTTCTGGATTAACGAGCAACAACTTTATTATTAGCTTCTTTCTTAACATTTTCGTCTCTTTCAGCAGCCCAGATTTCAATATGAGCATTAGATGATAAGAATGCTATAAAATAAATAAGAATTATTACGATTGATTCTTCCGTGTGCTCTGTATGTTCTACGTCTACCTTTTTAAGCTCTATTGACTTAAACATGATTGATAATCAACTTTTCGTTACTCAAATTCTTGACTTAAGCATTAGCAGCTAAATTTTATAAGAGTGATAAAACAATTCTTACACTCTTTTCAGGCCATCTACCTATAATAAATTTAGTATAATTCTATACCTTATGATCTGCCGAATTCTTTGGCTTAACCTGTTCTACCAACACCTCCATTAAATCTGGTAAATGGAACGCATCTCTTGTGTTATAAGACATCTTATAAATATTTAAGTGCTTAAGCAAGAGTTTATCCTTTAATTGCTCTGGCTACTTCATATGTATTCTTAAAGTGAGTTCTCAAATCACTTGCCTTAGCCTTAGCTGATTTTTTAGCAACTGCTGGCTCTCTAGCATATTATTTGCCCATTGAATCCTTTTTTAATTAATTAAATTTGTTTTTTCAAATTCATTTATTAAATGAAAAATATGGTAAATAATTTTATTATTAAAATATTCATAGGATGGACATTCATTCTAAGAAATTTAACCAAAATATAAACAATTCAATGAATGTATATTATTAGATTTTTTAAATTCATTATTAATTATAGAATTTCTGATAATTATAGGTAATTTTTATTTTAATTATGAATAGTTATATAGAATAAGTTCATAAAATCATCAATTTTTTTTATTACTTTATTTATTTTATTCTTATTAATCTTTTATTTCTTCTGATGTCAAATTTTGTTAAGATTTTTCTAAAGTCTTTTCCTTTTAACTATTCAAATATGATTCATAATTTTAAGAATTTTAAATACTTTCCTAATTTTGATCTTGAATAAGAAAAGTAGTTTAACACGCAATGTTTAATTAATCTATAGATTACGATTTTTTTCTTGAATCTAATTATAATCTTCTAGTTTCTTCTTATTATATTATTTAATTATCATTTCTGGTTTCACTTCTTTAAAGTCTTTCAAACACCTTGCCTGATTTTTAGAATGGTAAACAACCCGTTTTTTATTATTTAGAATTAGAATTTTAACTCATTTTACTATTTAATTTCTAAATTGAAGGTAAAATTAGACTATTATCATTAACTAAAGCATTACAAAATTTATTGCATAATTATTGTTCTCTACTTTTTGCGCTAAGTAAAAATGAAAAAATTTACCTTTATATTTCGTCTATTAATCCTTTTTCTTACTTTTTTAATTGACTTATTTCTACAAGCTTTTTATTTAGAATTATTCTATAAATTTCCATTTCTTATAGTTATCTTTACCTAACTTCTTTTATTTTTTTTTCTTAATAATATGCTCTTCTTTTAGTTACTTCTTAATCAAATTCTTCCATCAATTTTACCTTATTTTTTTTCTATTAAATTTCACTTATTTTAGATAATTGTAATTAGTTTTCTGTTTTTATTCTTTCATTTCTTAGATATATTCCTTCCTATTCTACAATAGGTTTAAATTATTCTATTATCTATTTTCTATCTAATCTCAATTATTCTTATAATTAAGTAAATGGTGATTTTTATAATCTAGGAGAAATCTATCTTAAATCCTTTAATTTTGTCTACAATAGAAAATTCTTTTAATCAATATCTCTTAATTAAAATTTCAATGAATTGACTCTTTTTTGTACTTAATCATATTCCTAAGTAACTTATACAAAACTTTGTTAATTCATATTTATTAATAAAAATTAAAAGAAAAGGATTTCATGAAAAAATTTTGTTTACAACCCTTTTTTAAGAATTAGTCATAATCCTACTAGTTTAAGATGTAGATCTCTTTTAAGTTATTTAACTTTTATTATTTATTTGAGATAAATTTGCTCCCCCTAATCTAAACTATGATCCGAATGTATAATTCATAAGGTTCTATCTTTCATTACTCTCAGTCTAAAATCTATCACTTAAAGCTCTAATAATTAATCTCTATTTTGATTCTTAGGTATTGTTAATCTTTTTTATGATATTTGGACTCATTCTATCCTTCTCAATATTTTGTTGTGTTGACTATTCAGGTTTTTGTTATTATTGCCTGTTAATTTTAAGTTTCTTATCAGAATATATTCTTTTCATTAACTATGGTAAATTAATTTGTTTGAAATTTCTTTATCTACTAGATTATAGTAAATTAATACAACTATTTTGAATCTTATGCTTTTATACTCTTTAGTTATGCTAATAGATCAAACTTTTTTCTTAGAGACTTTTAAGTATCTAAAATCTATGCTTTCTATTATTAGATCAAATCTTTAAAATTTCCTGTCTTCTATAAATATGATAATTGCATATTTGATAATTTTATTATTCTATGGAAATTACTTTAAATTATTTGAGCCTCTTTAAATTGGAAAATTTCTAATGCAAAATAATCACATTATTAAATATGAAAAAGTTGAAGCTTAAACAAGTTAATTCAAAAGATGTCAAAATTTATGAAAGATATAATAATATAAAATATCAAATAATCACACAAATAATCCTTTTTATCTGCTTTAGAACTTTCTAAAATTATTTAATAATTTTTCTTCTTAATTTTGTGATTATTAATTATCAGTATAAGAATGCTCCTTGGTTTTAAGAAGATATTTGTTTGAAACAAAATCTTTTAATTTTTAATTTTATTCCCCAATATTAATTCCCTTTTTACTTAAAGATCTTTAAAAAATAGCAAGTTTCTAATCTGTATTAATACCTCTAATTTATATTGAACCTTATCCATTTTATCTGTGATTTATTTTATCATATTCTTTATCAAATTTAACCATATGATAGCCAATATTTTCACATAATTATTTTATTTCTTATTTTTATATATTATCTTTTATGTCTTTCAATTACATAGAAATTATAGCAATATTTTTATCTTCCATTTAATTACATGGTTTAGATTGATTATTTAAAGAAGGACTCTTTGATTTTTAAGATTGATTCATCATTCTTCTTTTTAATTCAGAAATATGTTATTTATTGTCTTCATTTTAGACTTTTACCTATCTCTAAACATTCTCTGTTTTATTTAATCTAATTAATTCTTATTAATTTTTGATTTAATTTTCTTTTTCTCCTTTTGAAAAATTTATTTATTTGATAGACTATCTTTCCTATGATTTTGTTTCTTTTGATGAATACAATTGATTTTCATCCTAAAGAATTAGTTTAATAGGATTTATTAGTTTTTCTTTTGTAGAATGTGCTGCATATTAATTTTTGATTATTTCATTAAAATCATAGTTAGGTCTTTAATTGATATTTTTCGAGAATTTATCTCCACCTAAAGCCATAGAGCCATTCTTTTAATTCTGTTTATTATGTTTTACTTCACAATTAGTAGTTTAACAATGTGTTGCAATATCTATTTTTGAATTTGGTTATTAAGTATCCCATACTAATAACTTTGTTGTATTTGATATAGATCTAGGTCTTACTTACTTAGGTTAATCTTAATAAATAGGATTAATCACTCTTCTTGAGTCTTAATAATTCATTAATATATTCAGTTAAAATTATCATTAATTTATGTTATATTAAAGTTCATAATAAAATTTGTAATTATAGATTAGAATGATTTATTCAAATATCATTACAATTCCTTTATTAAAATAATTCAAAAAATCTATAATTTTTATCAAACTTTTAATACACTAAATTAAACTCTAAAAAATAAATTAATGGAACATGTAGATTATGATCATTTTCTACCCTAAGACCACTCAATCATTTTATATAACTTCACATATTTAGATAAATTACCATCTTTTAAATAATATGCTAATAAATAAATAAATAAAATGAATTTACATTATTAATTGGTTGAAGCATCTTGAAACTCAAAATCAAATTCACTATCATCCATCATCTCTTCTAATTTTGTTTTCTATTTTTCTTCTACTTTCTTTTCTTTCTCTTTTTCTTTTTCCTTTTCAGGTTATTATACTTTAAATAGATCAGCAAGATCCTATTCATCTTCTGTTTTTTCCCTTAATATCTTAATAATAATTACTAAAGACTCTTAGAATAATATTAATTGATTAATCTCTCAATTTTTATTTAAGGTAAATCTAAATTATGTTCTATCTTTTCTATTGCTTCAAATTCAATATCTAATTAAACTTATTCTTATGCATCTTTCTTTTTATCAAATTATTCTTTTTCTTTAAAATCTTTTGTTTTTATATCTCCTTTAGGAATCATAAAAGCTTATGATAAATCTTTTAACTATATAATATTAAAAATAATAATTACTGTATATAAAATGCTCTTAGCCTAAATTGCTGTTTCAATTGGACATATTATAGTAACTCTTAATGTATTTTATTTTTTAATTAAATCTTTCGCTTAATTCACCTTCAATTTTAAATCTTACATAGTAATAGTATGACTTAATTTGAAATGTTGATCATTTAATTTTTATTATTCTCTAATCTTTACTATATCATTCATAAATTTAGATGCAAGTTCATCAGAATAATCACAAACTTTACATAAGGCAGGTTTAATTTCTTAATTAATCATTATCAAATCTTATCCTAATTTATCTGCTTTTTTTCTTGCTTCTTCACATGCAAAAACACCAATTAATTTATTTTATGCATCTAACAATCTAACATCACCAAAGAAGTTGATATCTTCATTTGCTAAACTAGGTTTTATTTTAAGTAAAGCAGAAACTTTATTAATGATGTTTGCATTAAATTTGTACTTTCCAAAACAATAAATCGGCACTTTTCTAAACATAATTTAATTATTTCAATAAATTATTTCTCAGAATTTTTGAATCATATGATATTAATTGAGTATGCTTTTCAAATGCTTTTCAAATGCATTTTTATTCTTATTTGATAACATATTTAATATTTCTATATTTTGTATATGCATTGATATTAAAATAAAAAGAAAAATATCTCATTGAAATTGAAGGATATATATATATATATTTAACATATATTCAGCTATCGTATTGAATTCATTATTTTTCATACTGACGTGTAAAATTTCATCATTAATTAAAAACTTAATTTTATTATTAATAAGAAGTGTGATAATTTATTGAATTTAAATGATGAATTTTAGCTATATTTTTATATTTATTTGATTTATAATTAAATATATATTATTTGATATTTTTAAACTAAACTTCATATGTAATCGTCAGAAGTATAGAATATGTTAGTAATTTAGGAGACTTAATTGTTTACCTCCTCTCCTAGAATGAAAACGGATAGATTAGTAAGCACATAAGCTGTAGCTATGAGATCTATTCAAAAAGCAATAAAGTAATTCTGAGATTCATATTAGAAAATAAGATTTGTCTTTTATTCTTGGTTCCCTTAATAATTATAATGGAGCATCATAATAATAAAATGAAAGTGTAAGAAATTTTAAGATTTTTAGTTATAACTGTTTTAGATGGAAGAAAAGGAAGTTCATTTAAAATTAGGAGAACTTAGAAAAGAGTTTGATACATATCATACAACATCTTTTTATAAAGAAAAGGAGATTTGTCAATTCAAAGTAGAAGAAAATATTAATTATAAAAGGATCAACTTCTAAAATTGAATTTAGAAGAATCTGAGTTAATGAATAATACAACTGAATTAACAAAAGAATTGGAAAATTCAAAGTCAGAATATACATTGGCTAAATAAAGATTTGAAGAAAGTCGAATGAGTGAAAAATCTTACACACATGTAATAAATCGATTGAAACATGATGTACTTTGTTTTAGAAAGAAATTAAATGAAATAACAGATGTATTTGAAAAGAAAAAAGCAGAGGCAAATTAAGCAGATGCAAAATAATGGGAATCAGTTTAAATAAATCTAATGACAAGAAAATTATGTGATGAAATGATGAATGTATATATCTATTGAGATTTTAATAAAAATAGAATATAGAAATAGAGAAGAATAATAGACAACGATAAATAGCATAATATAATAAATAAATAAAAGCATAACTAATAGCAAAAGAGAAAAGAGATGAAAGAATGATAAAATAACGAGAAATAGCAGAACTTGCTAGTAATGATAAGGATGCAAGTGAAGTAATAAATTAAATATATATTATATAGAAAAAATGGAGAAAGTTGCTATTAGTTCATAAAGTAGTTCATTCTTTATTGAAAAATAAAATGGAAAAAGAGATGGATAAATTTAGAGTAGTAGAAACAGCATTTTAAGAAATTAAGACAGCTACTGGAATTTCAGAAGCTTAAGAAATAGTTTAAAAGTTTTTAACAAAAGAAGCAACATATGGATCATTGTTAGGTACTATAGCAGAAAATGAAAAGAAAATTGATCATTTAAAAAGAAAAAAAGAAAATCTAAAGTAGAATAAAACTTAATTCTAGAAATAAATTGTAGTAATTAAAAGATGAAGTGTAAATTATGGAAATGAGTGCAAAACCTTCAAAAAAAGGAGTAGATTCAGAAATATATAAATAATTTTATAGTATAGATGATAGAGCAAAAAAAGCAGAAATTATGAAACAAAAATTATATAATTGGAGTATTAAGATGTTAGGAAAATTAGAGAATTCATCAATGTAATTATTAAATGAAAGAATTAATTATTATCATATTTATCCAAGAGGTAAAGATGTTGAATTATTTGAATAATTATAAAAAATAATACTTGAAGATATTGAAAAATCTAGACCTGAAGTAATCATAATAATCATTGAAATTAGGAAATATTATAAATTATAGGAGAAGTCAATAGATCAGATATTAGAAATGATACTTTAAAGGAAGAATATCTCAAAAAAAATGTTAGAATTAAATATAAAAAATTAACATAAAGAGAAGCCATTAAGAGAACTAAATCAATGGATTCTAAAGCTGATTTAAGCAATAGAAGTTTTAGTTAATTTGGTTAATCTAGTGATTCAAGTGCAGAATAATCATTTTATGAATCAGATTCAGAAGGAAATACAATTGATGAAAATAGTGAGAAAAATCATTTCAATGATCTTCGAGATGAAGCAAAATAAATTAAAAAATCAAGAAAAAAAGATGATGGTTCTGGAGGGAAGAAATGAAAAAGAATTTATTTATCAATTTATAATATTAATTTTTGAGTTTATCAATGAATTAATAAAATGAAAGTGACAATGATGATGTAATTAATTTAGTATTATTAATTAGTCTGATAGAAGTCAAGAAAGTTAATCTGTTTAATTGAAAAATAAGGAAAGATAATTAAGAAAAATATAAAAGTTATAATCTTTAATCAATAAACCATTTACATAATTGACTGATGAAGAGATTAATAAAAGAAGAATATTATCAAAAGTATCTGATCTTATTGGTAAATCAACTAATCCAACATAATTGTTATAACCATTATAACACAGGTAAAATAATCATCATAAATTCATACTAAATATAAATCATCTTTAAAATACATCCATTCCAAAAATAACTTCAAATCAAACCGATCCAGAAAAAGATTATGTTGATTATTTGATGATGAAAAAGTGTAATCTTTAATTTTAATTTTTAAGAAAAGTAATAAGATTAAATGAGAAGATAATTTAATAAAAAATAAAACATAAAAGAAAACTATGATTAGTTATGGTAGTAAGAAGAAGATTTTTCAGATAAAGAAATTTAAGATTCCTATAATGTTAGTAGAGCACTTTCTATTGTACATAAAAGCCAGATTATTAAGTAATAAAAATCAGATGAAAGAAATTATTTTGTTAAGAACTCTTCTTCTCTTTAAGGAAACTAAAACTATCAATCTTTAACTAATTCAAGATTAATCCTTATGTAAGATCAAGATATAAATGAAACTGAAGTAAATAATTATTTTAAATTAGTGTAGAGAATAATAAGCTAGGAAAACTCTTAAAAAAATAAAAACAAATAAGGTTATTAATATTGTATAATAAGCTACCAAAAAAATATTTAATAAAAAAGAAGAATAAATTTAAAAAGAATTAATAATGCATCAAGTTTACAAATAAATGAAAAAAGATAAAAAAAAGGAAAGTATAAAATCAATAGATAGTGTTTTCAGAAATTGTATAATATTTTTTCGTTATTTTTTAAGCTTAGAGTGAAGAAACCTTCTAATAATCTTAAAACCATTAAAAAATGATTACTAATAAAATATTAAGTGAAAATAAATTTTTTTTACCAAAGAAATTAAGTGAAATAAAACCAGTTTAAAGCAGAGTTTAATTAAGTCATATTATTTAAAAATAAGACTCAAGAACTGATGATTCACCTGCAAGATTTCAAAGCCGAAAAATAAGTCTAATTAATGATAAAATTACTAATTTAGTTTCTCAGATAGATTTGATATAATAAAAAGAAATTGATTAATTGACTTTCATAAAGTAATTAGAAAATGAATAAGATTTATTTAAGACTTATAGAGAATCTCTATAGCCAGATTAAATTTAAGAAACCTTAAAATCACTTCTAGGCCCGAGTAACAATAATTATAGGAAGCCTTTTAGGTTCAATAATAAGAAATTTTTTAATCAGATTTTATGAAAGATTATGTGTTTATTTTTAAATTGTAAATTAGTATATTTCTGAATTCTAAATTAAAAATATTTTTTTATTTTCACTTTAACTCTTTCCAAGTCGCTTAATCAAATAAAAGTATCCTTTTGGTATACATATCTTTTTAATTTTTCTATTTCACATTTTACATAACATAAAGTTAATTTTTATAAATAATTATCTAAAATTTGCAGATTTAATTACTTGCCGATTATAAAATTCATCAGTTTTAGGCAATTAATTAACATCATTTGCGACTATTAGATGAATATCATTTTTTATTTAAATTAAAAAAGTTTTTTTTATTGATGTTTCAAATTCATTTTCACCTCCAAATATTAAGATGTTTTCTTCATTTATTTAAATGCATGCACTAGATTAGAAGATATTAATTAGAGAGTTATTATTTTTAAATTAAATTATCTCCCAAATATTAGTATTTATAGCGTATCTTTCCAAAATTATTTCATTTTTTCCTGATTCATTTGAATTAACAAATTTATATATATATTTATTTTGAAAACTACATAAGCTTGGTTTATATGATTTATAATAACAATCACTGCATCTCTACACTTAATCATTCTCTACATTATACTTTTCAACAATTTTTGTGTAATCACCATCATTTAAAATACCTCCAATTATAAATATCCAACCTTCAAGATATATCATTGAATGACATGATCTTGAATATTATAATTATTTTTTTTAGATGGTATTTTTTAATAAAATTCCTATATAAGCTTGATTTTATGAATTCGAAATTCCTCCAGAAATATAAATTTTTCCATTTGGTATAGTTATGGAACAATGATTTACAGGAATTTTAAAATTGATATCCACATCTTACCATTTTTTAGATTCAATGTTGAATATTCTTAAATAAGTTGTTTGATCAATAAAACAGCTTAAAAATTAATTAGATGAATTTAAATAATTTTTTTATGTTATCATAAATGGATTATTTTAAAGTTATATTTAAGATTATAGATCTTATAACAAGGCTTGATTTTATATATTTATTGAAAATATATTATCTAATAAGGATTAGGTAGATAATAATTTATCGTTGTTAATATTTTCATAGAATGGATCTTAATTATAAGTTGATAATTACAGATACGATCTTTTTCATTAAAACTTAAATATTTTCCTACAATTGTGTTCACTAGATGTATAATATCTAATCTACATGCTTTGGAAAAAGGTTCTTTTAGTTATTCCTAAGGATTTGAGATCACTTAAGTTTATAATTTTTTTAAAATTGAAATATAATTTTCTATTTCTTATTTATTTTAGGTTATTTAGAATACCTAAAATAATTTTCAATTTAACTTTATTTTAATTTTATTGAATGTGATTTTTGATAGTATCAGAAATTGAAGAAAAATAACTATCAATTTATTGAATTATATTCCTTGCTTCTTAAAGCTTTTGAAGTAAAATTAATTATTTTTCTTGAAAGTCTAAGTTATTTTAATTAGTATATTCAATAATTTTCTATAAATGTATAAAATTTTACATCTTGCAATTTATCTATTGCTCTTGATATTTTCTTGTGCAATATCTCTTTAGTCCCCTCTATACTATTTATTTTTCCATCATTTTTTTCAGAAATATGCTGTTATTTATGTGAATCTTCACAATTACTACAAAAAAATTATAAGCATCCTAAAGAAGAACAAAAACTAGTTATTAATGATTTGTGTTGATCGAATTTACAATGAGGCAGCATTTATAAAAAAATAATAAATTATATTGAATTAATATACATTTTCTAAATTATGAATTTTATTATTCATGAATAAAAATGCCTAATATTTCTGTTTAAGAAAACAGATTAAACAAAAATGCAAAATAAATTATTAAATAATATTTTAGACTTAAAACATATATTACTAAGCAATTGATATTAAATCATTTAGTCATTAGTTATGGAGAAATTCCATTGATTTTAAATAATTTATTTAACCAATATTTTTAAGATGAAAATAGGTGGAAATCTTAAATAGAATTAATAATTTTTTATTTATTGTTTCAAAAGGAATTATTTTAATTTTAATATCAAGGAAATATTAAGATAATATAGATGCCAAATTAGGATGATATTTAAAAAAAGTTTGAAAGATTTGAGTCATTTAAAGTTATTTTAAAATTTAATTAGAATCAGATGATATTCCCAATCATGATAAAATTAATATCAATTAGAAAGTAAATAAATATTATCAAGATAACTGGTCTTATTTTATTTCACAAGATTTTTAAAGCATTTGATAGTATTTTTTCAATATTTTAAAAAATAAATATACATATTTATGAGTTCTTAATTTGTAATGTGATCATCTACTTTGATAAATTATAAATATGAAGTTGAATAATTTTGTGTTATTGAGAAATGAGCAAAATTATTATAGGTTTTTCATAATTTAATTAATTATTGCTTAATTATTCTCTAAATGTAGTATTAATAAGATATCGCAAATCATTATCATTCATTAATAGAATTGTATTACAAAGAAGCAGAACTTAGCAATGAAAATAAAATGAAAGAAAATTAAGCAGCAACAAAGATTTAGAAATGGTATAGAATGCATGTAAAGAGAATTAAATATCTCAAAATTAGATATGTAAATTTGCAATGAATTTTATTAGAATACAATATATATATAAAAGTTTGCTAAAGGTTATTTGGCAAGAATGTTAATGAAAAGAAACAGTGATAATAGATATAATGAAAGAAATCTAAAATATTTTAACTATTAAGCAACATAAATTCAAAGATATTTTCGTGGATATCATTATAGAAAATATTATTTAAATTGGGCAACTAGAAAAGAATATTTATCATTCTTAAAAAGAAAAAATGAAACGTTTTTGGAAGAACTCAAGAGAGTGGAATAAGAAGAGTCTTAATAATTAAGAATTAGATAAGAATAATTAGCTAGAACAGAGTTTGAATCTTTGGCTCGTAATTTGCATCATCTTTCATCTACGAAATCTATTTCAGGTATTTACAATAGACCTTTTGGAAATAGAGATATGGTTTTTGATATGGATGTTGAAAGTCATTTGAAAATTGTATTCCATAGTAATTATGAATGGGAAAAATCTTAACAGATGTCAAGGTATACAAGAACAAAGAAATTAAGTATGTAAACAAAATTAAAACCTTTGAAATGAATAAATATTTTATGTTGGCAATCTATAATTTTATTTAGAATTTTGTGTGGATTCTATTACATACTATTGAAAATGTTAATTTAGTAAATAGATCATTCTAATGTGATAATTTAGAAATAAATAATAAATATATATATATTATTTTTATTATGATAAACATATTGTTTATTTCTTTAATCTCTTTTGTGAATACACTATCATTGAAATAAGTTTTATTGGCAATAGATTGTGGAGGATAAGAATCATTTAATTCTAATGAGGGTTATCTTTATTAAGATGTATTAAGATATTACTATTTAAGGATTAATATTTTAGTGGAGATTCTAGAGTATCTGATTACACATATAATGATGTAGCATTAGCTGGAATTTCATATACTTTTAATCCAAGAGTTTATTTTACTGAAAGACATGGAAATTCTTTTGATTATAGCATTCCAATAAATAAAAATGGATAATATACAATTATTTTGTAATTTGTTGAAGTAAATTAATAAATTTACTAAGTTATATTTTGAAAATGAGGGAGAGCGTCAATTTGATGTTTTTGTTGGGACAAAAAAAATATTAAATAATTTATCAATTATTGATAGTAAGCATCAAAAAGGATCTGCAAAAGAAGTATTCATTTACATTGAGATCAAAGACGATAAAGTGTTTTATGATAATGAAGAGTGCAATAAAGGGTATATATATTAAAGTTATATTTAGTTTTATGAATGGAAAATTAAAAATTGGATTTAGAAAAGGAGCTGCTGATTTACCTAAAATTGATGGAATAGTGATTGTTAAAGGACATAATGCAGGAGAAGAAGAAAAAAATTATTTAATCGATAATTGGGAAGTAATGTAAGAAGAAAACAGAAAAAAAGAAGCTGAATTAAAAAGAGCAGAATTAGAAGCTTAAAATATGATTGTGCCTGATTTAGTAGAAGAAGATGTATTTATATTAAATTATTTTATTATAGTAAGGCGAAGGCTTTTTTTCATTCTTATTATCCCCTATTGGAATAGGAATCATTACTTTTGGATTAGCTGTATTTGCATTTTTGATATTCACAGGGGAAAAAGAAGAAGAAAATAATAAAAAAAAAAATAAGAAAGATAAGAAAGATAAGAAAAAGTGATTAATTTATTATTAGTAAACAGAGTATTCCTTATATCAATTATAAAGTATAATTTCTCTATTTTATCAACTAATAAAATTCTCAACATTTATTCTTTAATTAGTTGATTATAATATAAAGTAGTAAAATGAAAGACAAATAAAAAAAGGGATTGCTGCTACTTAATTGATCATTAATCTAAAAATTTATAATCTGTTAATTAATAAAAAAATCATAAGAACTCAAATAAAATAGTTTCAGAAGCAGATGATCCAATTATATAAAATTTCTATTTCAAATCTTGTATTATAAAAATGTCATAATGATTTTTTTCTTATTTGGTTTCAATTATTAATTCACCTTCTCCATAATATTCTATTCCATTTATCATTTATTTATTCATATTTTGCACATCAAATCTTATTTGGGCTTGAAAGACTATTAAATTTCTATTTTCATCTTCTCCATTACCAAAAATTTCATTTTTTTTATAATTTAAATTCATATATAAAGGCAAACCATTCATTTTAGCAATAACAAATTTATTAAACTCTTTCAAGTTCTTTAACTATTTTAAATTTTGATAATAAATTTACTTTTTTATAATCATCTTCAGGATTACTAAGATTAACTGAAATATTTCCATCTTCAGTTTTTAGATCGTAATAATATTTGGAAGGTAAAATAATATCATTTTCTTTATCATTTAAACGATATTTAAGTTTCATTAAATTATCAATACCAGCTAAAGTTTTATAAGCATAATTGCTTATGCCTTATAGAGTTACCTTTAAATTAACTGCTTCTTATTTTACAATATGATTATGAGTTTCTAAAAGAGAATCTAATGATGATTTCAATTCCAAACTTTATAATTCTTATATCAATTTAGTTTTTATATAACAATCTCCTGGAATGCATAATAATTTTTGAATTAATTGAAGACCATTTTAGCATAATTTTACTTGATCTTTTGTTAGATTAAATGTTTGAGAATTTTATTTTATGAATTTTAATGAAGTTATTAATAATTTATAGACTGAAACACCAAAAATTTTATAATTTTCTGAAGCTATTTACTTTTAAATATTTTCTCCAAATGTATGACTAATTAAATTCATCCATACAAAAATTGAATTAAATACTTAGTTCCATTTCTAACATACTCTTTAATATACTAAACACATTTTAATAGGATCTTAAAGAAAGAGTAAAATTTATAAAGCAACAGGAGGATGAATAAGAGAAATACTAAGTTTATTATTTCTCTCAAATTTTAATTATGAGTAATATTAATGATAATCTCCTTAAATTTCAGGCTATTTTTAAATTTTTAATGGTTTATAATCACGTTATACTTATTTAAATGTTTTTTTTTTTTCATCTAATTCTCTCAATCCTTTATCAACTTATTATATTTCTGTTTTAACACACTCTAACATATCATTGAACTTTTTTTCTTTAGTTAAAAGTTCTCTCATCCAGGCAGGATAATTTTCTTCTTTTGTTTAAGCAGGTTTGATATCTAATATAGGAGTATCATCAGCTTCTTCTTCACTCATTTTTTATATTATTATTATATTAATATTAAATTTTGTAGAATATATTCATTTTTTCCTTGAACTTCTTTCTCTATCAATTGATATAATTAATGGCTTTAATTAAACTGGTCTTGCAATAACTTTTTATTCAGCCTTCTCTATAATTGCTGATTTCACAATAGTTTATTTTATTTATTACTCTTCTTAAGAAATTTTACTATTGAATTTAATTAGATATAATACATTGCACTAATAATTGGTTAAATAAAAGTTTTCTTTAATTATTACTACTCTTATTATTTAATAATAATTTAAGGTGTAATTTTTGGAGGACTTAAGGATATTCCTATTTTTTATTCTAATTATTCACGAGGATTTTAACAATCATCTTCCATAAATGCTTTGTTATTTAAAGGTTTTTATTTTTTCTTTTCTAATATTGTAATATGCGCTTCTTAATATTTTTTCCTTTAAAAATAACTAAACAATATATGATTTATAAACCTTAATAATTCTTACTTAAAATTTTCTGCTATTTCATAATCTTTTGCCTTAAAAATTCCATATTTATAACCTTAATCTATAAAAATTAAATTATTAAATTACAAATAAATAATTCTTCTGCTCTAATATCCTGTATAGATAACAATTTTCCTTTGTTGAAGTTTATTGGAAAAAATCTCATAATTACAGATATTTCATTTTTGTTTTATTATTTTTCTGTTTTTTTAAGTTAATAACACTAAAATAATTTATAGAAATCTAAACTTCGATTAAATCTCCAAAAACTTTCTTGTATTTATAAGATGATGTAACTAAATTATAGTATACATATTGAGCACTTTTATCTTCTTTCATTCGAATGATTATTGAAAGCTTGCCTTCATAACTACCAAGGCTTATCTTCTTAAATTAGATGAAAGATTTGTCCTTAAACCGCAATTCATAAAATTGAATACTAATCAATGAAAAACTCATTCAGATCTATTTCATTAATGGCTTGTTCATCAACATTTATAACAATTATTGATTTCTATGATTCCCATTCTTCATTAACACGATTACTATATTATTATTAATTTATTACTTCTTTTGTAATGCTTTTGGCTCTAATTTGATTGCTTAATCTTGTGAAGTGTCTACCACCATTTAAAACACTTCTTCTGAACTTAAACATATTTGTCTGTTTTTATCACACATTACACTTGATTCACCTGAACCTTCTTCAAAAGATGAATCTGGTTTCAAATACATATGTTTTTCAATACTATTTAAATTCGTCAATTATGATCCTACACTTATTAATTTATGTCTATATAATTTATTATCTCATACCCTTTTTCAGATTGTATTGTAAATTCTGTTTGAAGACCTTAATTTAAAAATTAATTGCGACGAAAATCAACCATTTATTTTGTAATTTGAAACATTAGGCTATTTTTAATTATTAATATAATAATATTTATATATTATTATAAAGCCTTTCAAATAGTAGAGCAGTCCATATTTTTGGCTACTAAATTAAACTTAAAATAAACTAATCATAAATATGTATCATACACTTACCTTATCTTAAATTATATTGATAAAAAAATATATATATGTTTTTAATGAATTTCTTGAAAAAACTCTAATTATTTTTATAAACTAATTGAAAGGGTTCGATTACTTCACTATCTTGGTTACTTCAAATATATAAAGACCAAACTATAAAGTATTTTTTTTAACATATATATAAAATTTATGAATAACCAGCTGTTATCAAGCCACATAAGTTGCTGAAAATTTGTTTTATAAGGAATGAGATCTGATAAAGTAGATGAAAGAGTTTAAGATTACATCATTTCAAAAATACCCACTATTTTAACAATAAGAAGAGATTTAATATTTATAAATTATTCATTCATGGATATTATTTATTTTTATTCAAAATGCATATATATAACAGATGAAACTTAAAAAGTTTAAAAGTATAAAATTGCTTATTAATATCATATATATTTAAATTTTTATTGGCTGCAAAAATTGGAAAAAATACAAAAGATTATAAATAGATTAATATGAAATGCAAAAACAGGAAAAAAAGGAAATCATTCATTTTTGAGTTCTGCTATTGAATGAATATAGAGAAAGTGGAGATATATGTAAATAGTTTAATTTGAGATAATGGTGAATGATTTTATATAAAAAATGTTAAAATATAATAATAATTAAAAAAATGCTCAAGATTTTATCCTCATCATTAGCAGTAAGTTTAAGACGTACAAATTTGATAACTCCAAGAATTGCATAAAGAGTAGCTATTAGTTTGATTTCACTTCCACTTATCAGATATAGTTTAAAAGTATTTATAAAAATAAATGATTAGACATTAAATCTGAATGATGTTTATGAAATAGAGACATAAGATGATCTATAAGAAGGTGAAATGAGAGAAGTATAAGTGGGTCCAAATAAAGAAGATGCTGTTTTGGTTTTTAAATTTGATGGATAGATTTATTGTGTTTTAAATTCATGTCCACATGTAGGTGCTTCACTTTCTGCTGGTTTTTTAGTAGGTGATAAAGTCAAATGTTCATTTCATAATATTAGTTTTTTTGTAAAAGATGATTATCATGAAGAGGAACCTATGTTTAAAGGCTTATAGACATTCCCTGTTAAATAAGAAAATGGTTTATTAAAAATAAGAATATAGAAGGAATTATTAAATGCACCTGGAACACTTAATATGGTTACCACAAAAGATAATCCTTACCATGTAGTAATTATAGGTGGAGGGTATTATTATTTAAGTATTATATCAAAAGAGTCTCTGGTTAAAGTGCTGCTGAAACACTTCGTTAAGCTAGATTCACAGGAAAAATTACTATGATTACAGCTGAAAATTCATTACCATATGATAGAACTTTTATGAGCAAAATACCATTTTTGGTCAAACTTTAAGATTTATAAATTAGAGAATAATAATTTTATGATTAATATGGTATTGATGTTTTAGTCAATAAATTTGTTGATTCTATTGATACTAAAAATAAATAAGTGCATATTGGAAATGAAAAAATCAATTATGATAAATTATTAATTGCTACTGGAGGTTCTGCTCGTAAACCTCCATTGGCTGGAGTAGATTTAAAAAATGTTCATACTTTAAGATAATTTAATGGTGTAGAAGCAATTAGAGAAAAGGCAAAAAGTGCTTAAAATATTGTTATTGTTGGAGCATCATTTATTGGTATGGAAATAGCTTCGGCTATTAAAAAAGAATTGAAAGATTAAGTTAATGTTACTGTTGTTGATAATACATCTGTTCCATTTGAAAAAGTTCTTGGTACTGAAGTTGGAGCATCGTTATAAAAATTACATTAAGAAAATGGAGTTGAATTTGAATTATCTGTTGGAGTAAAAAGATTTGCTGGAAGAAAAGATTCAGTCTAAAGAGTTGATTTATTAAATGGTAAATCCCTATTAGCTGATCTTGTTATCTTGGGTACAGGTATTTAACCAAACAATTAATTGGGTTAAGGTTAATTAATTACATCTAAATATGGAGGCATTTTTACTGATCAATTTTTCAAAGTTGCCCCCCATGTTTATGCTTTTGGTGATGTTGCTAATAATCCAAATTTTATAATTTATTAAAATGTGAGATTTGAACATTACAATGAAGCTGTTAAATAAGGGTACTTATTAAATATTATTTTAGATAAATTGCTGCATTGAATATTCAAGGTATAAAAACTCCTGTGTCTATGTCAGATGTGCCATTCTTTTGGACTAGATAATGGGATAAAACATTAAGTTATAGTGGTGTAGGAGAAGGATTTGACGAAGTGATAATTGATGGAGACCTAAAAAAATTGAAATTTATTGCATACTATGCAAAAAATGGAAGTATCGTTGCTTCTGCAAGCATGAATATTCCAAATGTTTTAGCATAATTTGATTTAAGGCTTAAATGATAATCTCTGAAGCTTTAAAACTAAACTTAATGCCAAGTGCCTAAGAATTAAAAGATTAGAAGACCACAATAGATTAGATTAAAAATTTAGTTTTAAGCTAAGGAATATCTTGCCATTGTTAACGTTCAGATAAATGCTAAGTCTGATTGTGATTATTAAAATAAATTGATTAATTAAAATAATAAAACATGTGTATGATGTTTATTATACTTTTGATGATCATGTAGATACTTTCATCAAATATTGATGTTTAAATTTCATATATTGATGCTTCATTAATAAACATTCATTGGTGTAGTGATACAGTTTTGGCACTTACTTCAAAAGGGTCTGTATATAGAAGTGATGATCGTGGAAGATAATGGACCAAGATGTCTGAAATATTCCATCGTAAAGCATTAATTCAACTTGAGGAATCAGATGATAGAGTTGGAATAGTTAATAATTTAGTTCCAAGTCCTGTAGATAAATAACTCATTCTTTTTACAGGAACAAATTAAATTGCATGGATATCACTTGACTGTGGTAAAACTATTACAGCTGTTAATGCAGGTAAGTAATTAAGGGAATATTAATTTCATCCTATTGAAAAAGATTGGATTATTGCCTCTGCATGGAAATAATGTGGTTCAGATGAACTTCTTGCTGGTAAACCTTGTGTTTCTTACAAAGAACTTTTATTAAGTTAAGATACAGGAATTACATGGCATTCAATTGCTACTTATGTCAATTAATTTACTTGGGGTGTTAAAAACAAAGACATGGCTAAATATACTCCTAAAGAACGTATACTTGCTTCATTTGATCCTCAAGGAAGAGGACATTAATCGATTAGTAGTTGGAATATGGATTCAAATTTATATTATAGTGATGATTTCTTTTAAACACGCACTTTAAGTGTTCCGGCAGGTTCAAGATTTTTATTGACAGAATCATTTCTTTTTGTTGCTAAAGTTACATCTTAGTATACATAAGAAGTTAGTTTATATGTAAGTGGCACTGAATTAGGGTAATATAGATATACTATTATTGATGCTGATTCTAAATTATTAGAACATTCTTACAGTATTTTGGATACTTCTGAAAATTAAGTTTTCATGGTTGTAAATCACTTGAAACCATCTTCTCCTTTGGGAGTTATTTATATAAGTGATTCAACTGGTACAAGATATTCACGATCTTTAGAGAATGTGGCAAGATTAGAAAATAGTGCTGAATTTTATAGAGTTTAAGGTTTAGAAGGAATATACTTAGCTAATGTATATGCAGAAGATTAAGCTAAAATATATTCAAATTAAGTGTTAGAGGCTATGGAAGAAGGATTTTATGGATAATAAAATGGGTTTAAAGATGAAGATTTAAAAAAATATAAGTAAACAAGGATAACATTTGATAAAGGAGGATAATGGGTTCCATTGAAGGTAAAATTATGATATTTATTATAAGCCACCTGCAGTAGATGCAGAAGGGAAACCAATAAATTGTAATAAATGTTAATTACATATTCATCTTAGTTAAGCATTTTATTAATTCGCTCCAATATATACTTAAACAAATTCGATTGGTATAATAGTAGCTACAGGATCAATAGGAAAATATTTAAGTTACAGATAAGATCAAGTTAATACTTATTTAAGTAGAGATGGTGGTTTAAGTTGGATAGAAATAAAGAAAGGATCATATATATATGAAATGAGTAATCATGGAGGTCTGATAGTAATGTCAAAAGATTAGGAAACAACAAATTAAATAGTATTTTCTTGGAATGGTGGTGTAGAATGGACTCCATTTAACTTTATAGATTAGAAAGCAGAGATTTAAAATATAATAACAGAACCTTAAAATAAGGGAACAAGATTTATAGCATATGGATCAATATAATTAGAATCAAATGGATAAAAAAGTGAATAAGGTTTATTAGCAACAATAGATTTGGATGAATTACATTAAAGAAATTGTATAGGTTAAGATAAGGCTGGAGAAATAGGTAGCGATTATGAATTATGGACTCCATCTGGTTTAGTGAATCCAGAATGTTTATTTGGTAAGAAAGTTACTTACATGAGAAAAAGAAGAGAAGCAGCTTGTTATAATCCTGATTAATTGGAAAAAATAATCAGTGTTACACCTTGTTAATGTTCAACAGAAGATTATGAATGTGATTTAGGGTTTGTGATGAATAATTAGTAATGTGTACCAATAAATGGTACTATAAATATTGAACCTCCTGCTGAATGCAATGACTATTATACAGTTTCCAGTGGATATAGAAAAATAGCAGGAGATATTTGTCAGGGAGGAGTTGATCATCCATCATTGAAATTCCCTTGTCCTAATAATAAAGGTTGGATCTTTGATTGGATCGTTATTGGAGGAATAATCTTTGGATTATATTGGGTTTATAGCAATTAAGATAAATTCAAAGATTATTTCAATAAAACTGAAATGAATCAATTACCATAGAGTAAATAAGATGTAAGTTTATACTCTATTTTAGAAATTAATAAAATAAATCTAGCAAAAGTAAACCAAATAATAATAATTTCAATAATAATATTAACCTATTAACTTTGAACAAAATGACAATTCAGATTAGAAATTTGATGAAGAATTAATAGAAAAAGATGAAAATAACTAAATGGAAGATGATGGTTCTCATGAATTGATTTGATTATGACTGTTATCCATATATTATATATTACCAATTCATCATATTACTTATTGTTCTTTTAATTTATTTCAATATCTATATTAAGCTCTTTTACAACATTATTTAAAATAGATGATATTAATATTTTTTATTAAATATTTTATTGTATCATTTTTTAACTTTCTTTTTCTTCTTGTTGCTTTCTGATTCACTTTCCTCTTCTTCACTATATTCTTCATCCTCTTCGTCATCAGATATTGAAAAACTGTCATCATCCTCATCATCTATCTAAATATTATTTTATTTTATTATACTTCTTCCTCATCTTCATCTTCATCCTCTTCATCTTCATCATACACCGTTGTCTTTTCTTTTACAATCTTACCTTTCTTATCTTTTCCATCCAATGCCTTTAATTTAGGTAACAAATCCCATATTTTTTATGTCCAATTTTCATCCTCACATGCAGGATTTTTATCTAGAAATAGATGTGTTAATTGGTCAAGTTATTTTAATTACTCAATTTCCTAGTCAATAATAAAAATATACATACATTTAACTCTTTAATCTAATTCTTCTTCAAATTTAAAAATGTTAAAGATGGAAATTTTTAAACTATCAATTTTATGCATCCATCATCTAAAACATTTTCTTCTAAATTCAATGAATTTATATTTTTATATTCAGATAGATTATTTAGAGCTTAAAGTTTACATCTCTAAAATCCCAATTATTCTAACCATATTATATAGCTATACATAAATTTGAAAATGATTTTAAATATTCATCGATCTCCTTGCTAAACTCTTCAATTTATATACTCTAGAAATGCAAAGAATTTATTTTTGAATCATTCTGTCTTGACTAAGAACGTCTTTATTTCTGAATTTGCTCTAAGATTTTATTCTTCTATGAGCTTCCCTTCATTTTGTGATTAAGATGATATTGTAATAACTGATAATATAAAATTTAATTAAATGTTCATAATATTCTCGCTTCATCTGCCATCAAATTCGTACTTACCTACATCATCATATTTATATTTTGTACATTTTTTAAACTCCCATCATGTTTTTACTTATAATTCATGATCAATCTTTTTTCATAAATCTTCATATTTATTTGATTTATTAACAATAATGATTTTAATTAAATTTAAACTACGTATACTTCTCAATATTATACTCTCTCAAACATGGATATTTATAAATTATAATAATAATATAATTTTTTTAAATATTTCTCTCATTAAATGAACAATTAATACGATTGGTCAAAACATTAATTCCAATAAGTGGAAAAGAAAATTATAACTTAATAAGATGTTGAAAAATTCAAGACAACATAAATAATTGGAGAATTATTAGCATTTTTATAATAACTAATATAATCAGTCTAAAATAAGAAGATTTCATAAACAAAACATAATTAGAAGTTTTAATAAATTTGTATTTAAAGATATTATGATTAGAGCAATTATTTTTATAATTAGAAGAGTTGCTTTTGAAAGTACCACCTATTTAATAATCAATGAGATATGGCAATAAAGCTTTTAGAGATTGGTTAGACAAAATTGGTCCTATAGTTGATGATTATCTTAAAATGTAACTACCAGATAATTTATAAAATGCTGCTATCGAACTTCGATCATATTTGTTGGATTCATTCGGAAATAAATAGAGAATAGATTATGGAACAGGACATGAATTTTAATTTTTCCTCTTTCTATTTTCTTTATTTAAATTAGGAGTTTATACTGAATAGGATTATGAAGGAATAGTGAGATTAGCATTTTATAAGTATTTAAAAAAAATAAAGATATTTTTAGATATATTGATTTTGCAAGAAAAGTACAAATGACTTACATGCTGGAACCAGCTGGTTCTCATGGTGTTTGGGGATTGGATGATTATTAATTTTTACCTTTTGTATTTGGAGCTGCGGAACTTGTATGAAAATTGATTTATATTTAGAATTAAAATGAATTTGGATTACTTCCTGATTGCATTATTAAAGAAAATGTTATTAAGAATCATAAGGAAGAATATATGTTTTTATAGTGCATAGATTTTATTAATAATGTAAGATATTAAAATAATCTTAAAGGTCAAAAAAGGTCCGTTCCATGAACATAGTCCCATTTTACACAGCCTTACTAATTTGACTTGTTGGTCAAAGGTATGTTCTGGACTAATAAAAATGTTTTAAGGAGAAGTGTTATTCAAACATCCGGTTATAAAACATACATATTTCGGAACTATCGTTGAATATAAATGAGAACATGTGTGTCTAAAAAGAAATATTTACATATTAGTACGATATAGTTTAACAATATTATTAATATCTAAATTAATTTGATTATAGTTTGAAAAAACTGGTTAATGATAATTATTTAATACTTTGCTGTTGCATATTTAATATTAATTTATTAAATGTCAGATGCTGTATATTAACATTAACCTTTCATAACATAAACTCATGTACAGACGAATAATTAGATAAAGAAGGACAAACCTATTATCACGTAAATAATTCGACAGCCTTCTATACCTTAAATTAGAATCTCGAAAAATAATAGATCTACAAAATATTAACCAACTCCAAATAAATTAAGCTATTAAAAATAGGTTAATTTATCATAGTTACAAAGAGATTATACATCCATCGAATCAACTATTTTATTTAGTAGTTAAATTTGTTTAAATGAATTTACATTATAGAGTTAATTCATAACACCTACTATTTTCATGAATCAATCTTTTATTATTTAAGAAGAATTAAATTTTGAATAGTAACAATAAGAAATTGATGATACAATTATATAGCCAACAGAAACTAAACTAAATGAATTAACAAACGAAGAGTTTTAAATTCATACTAATAATATATTAAAAAGTGATGAAGATCATAATATCAATTCATTAAATTTAAAAACTAAAAGCTAAATGTTTGGAGATTTGGCTGTGTTAAATTTTATTAGAAAAAAAGCAGAAAGAAACAAAATAAATCAATCTTTACAAAATATGTTAAAATTAAATAAATTTAAAAATGATCATTAAAGTTCTATGCCTACTAATTTTCCATCAATTGGAATAATATCTCTTCAAATTTAATATCAAGAATAATTTAATATTGCTGTACCTACAAATTCTGTTAAACTAATTTAAATTGAAAAAGATAACTTTGACGAATAAACTGCAAACAAACTTTATTTTCCTATTAATATATTAAATTTATCAAATGAAACTTAGAATTTAAGGGACAAACCAATAAGTTCAAAACAGACAAATTTTAGGATACCTTTGAAATAGGAATCTAAAGAACATACTAAACAGAGTTTATCATTTAAAACAAAATCTTTTTATGATATATAGGAAAATTTCACACACAGTTTTCCCAGTGAATCTTTGTAATTTTAATTAATAAAATTTGATACCAATTGTAAAGAATCTAATTGTATAAAAATAAATTAATCAACGGTTTAAAATAATGAAAAAATAATTGTGGAGGCAATGAAATTTAATAATAAATTTTAGCTCTATTCTCTAAATCAAGATGAAATTGACAAGAACTAAACTAAGATTTAGTTATCAAAGTCAATAATATAAGAATAAAATATGATTGTTTAATTTTTAGAATAGAAAAAAATTCCAATATAAAATTTAAGAAGATATAGTTTAATTCGTGATTTTGTTAAAGATTCTACTAAATAACTTCGAATTTCATTTAATTAATTAATGATCAATAGTGAATAAGATTCACTTCTAAGTTAAATTCCATTAATTACTTAAAATAAAATAAATTTAAGATCTCTTTTATAGGATAGTTGTAGCGATGTGAGTAAGATCATGTCAGAGATGATACCAACTAGTTTTGAAAACGAAGTGGAGGTTTAATTTAATGATTAAATATAAATAAAAGAGAAGCCTTAATATCCTACTTTATTGGAGATGAATAGGATAAAAATAGAAAGGATTAAGCAAATAATAACTGGAGCAAAATCTCCAAAAGATTTAAAAAAGAATAATTTAGAGGTAAAGGAAGAAATAGGATAAGTTTATGGTTTTTTCAAAGTAAATGCAATTTCAGATGGTTCCCCAAAATTTAATCATAATAATGTAAATGGAATAAAGCTATTTCATGATATTAATAAAAATAATGGATAAATCTTTGAGAAATAGAGAAGTTGCAGTATAGATAAAGCTACAATGCATATGTAAATGAGCAAAAATTAATCATCAGTATTGAATAGATTTAAGAAAATAAAATACTTAGGAAGAGGTAAGATGAGTGATGTCTATTCTGTAATAGATTAGAAAACTGGTATGGCTTTAGCTTTAAAAATAATTTAAAAATCATTAATAAAAAGTAAAGGATTAGCTAATTTGGTTAGTAATGAGATAAAGATTCAAATGTGTTTGGTTCATTCAAACATCTTAAAATGTTTTGGAGTTGTTGATGATATAAAATAAGTAATAAATTTTTTTATTTTATAGATAGCTTTAATACTGGAATTAAGTGATTAGACATTATATAGTTTAATAAGAAGATAGAAATTATCTAGAAGATAAATGATCAATATTCTATTTTAGGTTTTGAATGCAGTTAATTATTTGCATAGTTGTGACATTATTCATCGTGATATAAAAGCTGAGAATATTTTATTATGTCAAGATGTTATTAAATTAGCTGATTTAGGTATATCGATAAGAGCAAGAGATAGTTCTTAATATTGTGGTACAATAGGATATATGGCTCCAGAGATAAAACAATATAAAAATTATACATCTAAAGTTGATTGTTATAGTATAGGGATTTTGATTTTCGAAATGATGTATTAAAAGCTTCCAACTTAAACTCTTTGTCAAATAAAGAATATTGAAAAGGATCTTCTAATAGATTTGATGAATAATCTGATAGAACCTGATTAAGAAAACAGATTCTCATGTTAAGAAGCTTTAAATCATGAAATATTTAAAGATTTTAAGTAAAATCAATTCGCAAAACTTGAACTCAAAAAAGAAATAATAAGAATACTCTGATATACAATAAAAAATATAAAGTTTTCTGACTTTAACTTAAAATATAAAAAATTCAAGCTTAATTTTTCAATTGAACAACAATGCAAGTTATATCATCTCTTGCTAAGCTATGTTTTTTCCAAGCATTAATAGCTTCAGCCATAAGTTTATCAGCAGCTAAATCAATATTATCTTTTTCAATATATGGAACTACAACATTCATAACCTTATTTATTGATAATATATACTTCTTCATTAGTTAAATATTCCCAAACTCCATCTGATGCTACAATTATAAATTAATCTTATGGTGTAATTGTATATTCGAGAATTTCAGGAACACTAATAACACCTGCTTATGCTCCTAATTTATCACCCATACTTCTTGTCATAGCTAATCCAGGAGCATCTATATATTATAACCATACTCTTTCTGGTCCTAAAGAATTTCCATAAAAATCTATTAAGTATTTATTTATTTATTTTAACCTCTTTAACTATCAATTCTACCTCCTGCTTCAATAATCCTTTATTTCTCTTTCTCATCAGATGGTTTATGATCTCTTGTTAATTAAATAGCTTTCCATCCATCTTAATTTCTACACATTATGGCTCTACTATCACCAACATTTGCTGTCCATAATTACTCTTTTCTAATTAAAACTGAAACTATTGTTGATCCAGATAATGTTGTATCAAATTCACTTTCAATTATTTCCTTATTAGTTTTCTCAAAAGCGAATAATAAAGATTTTTCAATATCCCTTCCTTATTATTGAAATTATTATTCCAAGTATTTTGGTAATTATTATTTAATTAAATTTGATACTAAATGACCATTTGTTCCATGTCCATCACATACAGCTATTAAAGAACAATTGTAACTTTCTAAATAATAATAACAATTTACTGTTCTAAATTATTTGGAAATAAAATTGCAGCATCCTAATTTGTCTTTAATGTTTTATTTGGAAGACAACCTGCTTTAGTCTTTGAAGCAAATAACCCACCATACCAAGTTTTTGCCATTAATCTTCTTTTATTTAAAACTTATCTTTCAGGACTCATTTATTATCTCTTTTCTGGTGTAACAGAAGAATAATGAGGCATAGGTGTCTCTTCATCTAATTATTTTGGACTTCTCATTTAAGGACCATTAGAACTATGTTTTTATTTAGGAACATCACTTTTTGCATCCAATTTAGGTAATCTACTAGGAATTCTTAAACCATTCCCATAATTTGCTATATTTATTTACTTCTATTCTAATTATAATCATTTAATTCAATTACAAGGTTCAAAAGTTTAGATTTCTTATTTCTTTATTCCTGGTAAAGAAGGTAATGAAACCTTTCCATTTTACTTTTACTCTTGCTCTTCATTCTTATATCTTTTTTAACCCATCTGTTTTTATATTCTGCTTTGATCTACTTAATCAGATTAAGGATATCGTGGAGGTTTTAAGGAACTGTATTCTAAAATTTAAATGCAAACAGAATTTATAATATGGAATGTATTGCGAATTTAAGAGTATTTGTAATGATACCTATTGATGAAGTTAACTTTGGCTTTTGATCAGATGATAATTGTTAGCTTTATGCTAACATTTTATTAATTATATTGATTAAATAATATAATACACTTTCATTTATGTGCCTTTACTCCTTTAAGTGCACCTGATTTCTTTTAAAATACTTCTTCAAATGCTTTATTAGCTTAATTCTTAAATCTTTTATTGAGAGCCTATAATTAATTATATAAATTAAGTTTACTTTTGGATTTAATTGTATAAATGCAAATGGTTCAGGTCTCCCTTTCACTGTTACATCACCCCCAGCCTTTTATTTCGATTTAAATGTAGAACCGCTTTCCTTTATTATATGAACAACATCCTTTGTTTTTCTATCATTTCTTGTTATTTTCTTTTAACCATGTTCTTCATTATCACTATTTACTTCTTCTCTTCTACGCTTTTATCCCAATACTTCTTTTTATTCATTTACTATCACCTTTCCATCTTTATATTCTACCAATGGTTAGATTGTTGATTGTTTTTATTATTCTTTTTCTTATACTTTCTTTTTTTACTTTATTGCATCCTCAAAATGAAATTATTCCTTTTTAAAATCATATTTTAACAATAAATTATTTTCAACTTCTACTTCTGTTTCCATACCACCTTATTATTATTTTTATACTTATTATTCATCAGACTCTTCATCATCACTTTCAAAATCAGAATCTTTGTATTTTTTATTTTTTTTTTACTACCATTTTTATTTATTCAATTCTCTCTCCTAATCTCGTTTATTTTTCTTTTTTTTTTATTATTTTTCTATTTTAATTGCATTTTTAAATAATTTAATATGTTCTTATGGAATTAAACTTTCAGCTGTCATAGAATAAGCTTTACTAAGTTTCATTAATAATCTTTTTAAAATTATTATGTTTTTGTCTCTTGATACTTCATCTAAATTAAATAATTAACTAAAAAGTTATTAATTTAATGTATGTCTGTGTTTGATTAAAACTTTCACATATAATATAATAGATTTAAAAATTTCATTATTTTATTCTTTTAACAAGAGTAATATTAATTTTGTCATTTCATCAATAAATTCAGTTTTTAAATTAGAGTAAAATTTATCAACTAATAATGAAATTGTTGCAACAGCATCAGCTTTCATTACATTTGATTAAGCTGCTAATCCTGCAAATACCATAGAAATAAATTATTCTAATAAATCCAATCCTTATAATCTTTACCCAATATTTTCTATTAACTTTTCAGCTAAAAGACGAGTCTTAATATTATTGTCTCTGATTGCAACTACCATTTCAGGTAAGAATTATTGTATAAAAGTTTAATAGCTCTCTAATTTAGAAGTCACTAATGATTCCAATTATAAGATTACTTAAAATCTTTTTTACCTTGAACTAGGTTCACATTCTGCCTCTAAAACTAAATTATATGCTTCAGCTAAAAAGGTATGATGAACTTTTGGAATTATTGCAGCCAAGAACTTATAAATCTTCTTCTAAATTATAGGAATATTTATCATTTCTTTCGTAAAATTTATGCAATAATCCCAAAGATCTGAAGTCATCTATTATGCACTGACAACTTACAATACAATATCCATATTGTTTAATGCTCTATCATCTAATTTATCTTTAGAAGATAACAACTTTTCTATATTTTTCTTAAAAGCTTCTTATATATATTATTTTGGTGCTGCAAAACTCATTACTTTAATAGCATTCAATGTATGAGTGCAATTATTCTATTCAACTAATTTAGCTAAAGTAGAAATATATTATTTTGAAAAATTTTGTAATTATGGAAATGTAATTAATTATGAAAATAGTTTAGCTATCATTAGTAATAACTTTTCAAAAAATACATGCTCTTTTTTTAAATAATTTAAAGTCAATTCAATAAATTAAGTTAACTTTGGATGATTTTAAGTTTCATTCTTTGCTTTAGAATTTGAAGCTATTTCTAATACATGGAAAAGAATATTTTGAATAATTTTTTATTCATGAGAAGGATTAGCATTTGATGCTAAAGATAATAAATTTGTTAATGGGAATAGGAAATCTAAAAATTCTTCCAATGTTGGATTTGCATATTTACTCAATATATAAAGGATCCAACAATTAGATTTCTCATCAAAATCTTTATCTAAAGGATTAACTCCCTCTGTTCTTAAAGGAAATGTACGTAATAATAGGGACATACTTACACCATTACATAATTATCCAAAAGTCTTTTCAAAATATACATGTGGCCATCTAGACTTATTATGAACAAATTCTTTGACTAATTCTTTACAATGATCAAATGTTTTATCATCAATTGTTGCAAAGAATTTAGCAAATACATCAAGAATATTAGCATGATCAAATCTATTACTAAATAAATAAGTTAATGTGGCTATATATTTTTATTACAAAGTTCCTGCACTTTCTAATTCTAAATTCATTATATCTTCAGCCAAATCTTATTTAAGCGAGAGAGTTGATTTACCAATTTTTTCAATTAAAGTCATCATTTCTAATCTACAATGTTGCATTAATTTTTAATTATTTTGTAAGAGTAATTCTGCCATATTAGATAAAATAGATGGTAAATAAGACGCTGCCAAAGATAAATTACTTTAACTTAATGTAAGCAAACACTATCTAATACACTATATATATGCATGTTATGCATTAATTTCTTCTGGTTGTAATTGATTTAGCTATTAAATTAATTTTTCAGCTTAATCTGCTCCAACATTTTATTGAAGAACTTACTAAATAATTTATTTTATAATATATTTACCTCTAAAGATAGAAATATAAATGGATAATATTTGCTATCCATATTTTAAATCTCTTCAATTATTACATATAATGCATCTACTAAAATTGAATAAGGAATGAGATTGTTTAGAGATGCTAAAAGTGTCAGAGAATGTTAAGCACATTCATTATTCTCTGATAGATTTACTTTCAAATGAGTTCTTAGTTTTTCATTTATCTCAGGAGCCTACTAAATATCTAATGCTTTCTATTGATAAAAGGTTTGCAATGTTTTGACAGCTTATTTTCTAAGTTTTTTTTTATCACTTATAGTTTATTATAATAAAAGATTGAAGAGTTATTAAAGTTATGATGAGTTTAAGTCCTTAATTAGTAGATATAAAATACTTCTTTGGCAGATAGAATCAAAATTTAACCATATACACCAACACTAAGATTATCTAATTATACTTTGCTGACTTCTTCTAATAAAGCTGGAATTAACTTTCTAACTACAACTATAGGAACTGAGGGTAATATCTTAATTCTATATTTTTATGTATTACTTTATAAATAAGTAAAATGATGGCATCTTAACCTTCTTTTGTAGATTTCAATAAATTAATCAATTAAGCTATATATGCGGTAGGATTTGTTCTTTATTCATGGTTAAGATTGTTTTCAATGGACTATAATAGTATTAATGCTTTATCATTTTAAGGTGAGCTTTTTAATCTTAATTTTGCGTAGAGTTAATCCTTGAATGTCTCAACTTACATAAATTAAAAAATTAATTTTATCAATAATACACAAAATAAATTTCATTAAATGAATGACCAATCATCTAATCTGGGATTTGATTATGGTTATTCTCCGAATTTCATCTAATATATAATATAAATTTTACATCAATAACTTCTTTTTCCCATTATTTAGATCTATCTTTTTCTATGAATGGGCCATTATCTGTTTTATTTTATATTTTATCCCAATTAATATCTTTAAAAAAAGGATGTTATTTTAAATCTTCTGCATCATTCTTTGAACCTAATCTTTATGCTGGATCTCTAATTAACAATCGTTTTATTAAATCTCTTGCATCCTCACTCATATGTTTAGGAATTTTTAAAACACCCTTTTTTATATTTTCAAATAATTGTTCTCTATTTTAATGATAATATGGAGGTAAACCTACAATCATTTCATATAATAGAACACCAACAAGATACCAATCAACAGTTCTTGAATGTCCTTTTTTCATTAGTACTTCAGGTGATAAATAAGCAATAGATCCACAAAAACTTTTAGTAATATTATCATATATTCCTTCTTTTGATAATCCAAAATCTGTTAATCTAGCATGACCTGTTTAATCCAAGACTACATTATCAGGTTTTAAATCTCTAAAAATTATACAATTCTTATGAAGTGATTCCAAAGCTAAAATAATTTCACAAATATAAAATTTTGAAATTTCTTCACTAAATTTAACATGCTTTGTTAATAATTATCCTAAATCACCTCCTGGACAAAAATCCAATACCATAAATAATTTTTGTGAATTCTAAAAAGCTGCATGCAATCTTACAATAAAAGGGTGTTTCATAACACTTAAGACATTCTTTTCAGTTTGAGCATAACGAGTTAAATTCTTTGAAAATACTCTTTCTTTACAAAGTGTCTTTATAGCAAATCCTTCTCCATCAGATTTTCTAGTTGCATAATACACTTCTCCAAAACTACCTTTTCCTAACAGTTTGTGAAATATATAACCATCAGGAGAACATGTCTAAAATTTTGAAAATAATAAATACATTGACATTAATTTCTTAAAATGGAGTAACTATTGCTGGTTCAATTGGTATTTATTAATTATTTGATTATTGTATTTATTTCTATTTTAAAATTTCAATTTTCTTTAAATCATTTACTTTTCCTAACAATTTCTCAATATGATCAGATCTAGAATTTTTGACAACATAACTTCCAATTTATGATCTCTATGAGTACTCTCCCATAACAGGAACAAACTTTTCAAGTATTTTTCGTATTTCATTTGACATTGTTAAATCAAATGCTGTTTTTTAACGAGAGTTTTTTAATTTTGCTAAATATCTTTAATTTATAAATAAATACCATCTGCTCCATTAGCAATTAAATATTCTACAATTTTAACTTGATTTTATTCTGCACTGATATGTAAAGGTGTATTGTTATCAGAATCTTAACTATTTACTTTTACTTTATAATAAATTAATAATTGAACTATTTCAAGTGATCCTCTAAGACAAGCCAAATGTAAAGGAGTTGTTCCCATCTAAGTACATAAATTAGGATTTGCCTTTGATTCTAATAAAAGCTTAACAATGTTTGTTCTTCTATTATTAGTTGCATGATGAAGTGCTGTCCAATCATCCAATCCTTTAGAATCTATATTTATTAATCCTATAAATTCTTAGTAATCATCTCCAATCATACTATTTGAACTAGACTTGATTTATTGTTGAACTTATTATTTTAAATCATTCTAATCTTTTAGTAGAACATTAACTATCTCTTCTTCACCCTATTCACAAGCATCATAAAGTTTTTCATTTATTTCTTCAATTTTATTCCAAAAATTCTTCCATCGATTTTTTTTTATATTTATTGTTGTATATTATAAATAATCGATATCTAATTCTCCAAAATTATTAACACTAAAAGTATCACCTGTGTCTAGATTTTTTATAAATTAACTTGGATCGATGTCATCATCATCTAAATTATTATTATTTTTCATAATTAAATAAGTTAAATAATATAATCAAGATAAATAAATTAAAATGAACGAGATGTCTTCAATTCTAACTACTTCATTATTATTATAATAATTTTCCCATTTTTTTTTACAATAATTCAATATAGAATTTGCCAACTCTTCAATCTATTTTTATTAAGAAATAAATCTAGTTTATTCTAATAAAGTTATGATTTCCTAATAACTCATAACATCCCATAAACCACAAGTTCCTAAGATTAAAAATCCTTCCTATTTTAATTAAAATGTCTAGAATTCTGATTCAGCTGTTATTCCAATTTTTTTACCTATAGAATCTCCTAAAGATCTTGTGGTATAAAGTTATGGAATATTTTGATCCTGTAGAAAAACATAATAAGGTCCTTATCTTTTATTTGTAAATTAATTTTTTAATTATCTAATCTACCCTCCACTTTTCAGTACTCTAAAACACTCTTAATTGTGAGATAGTTTATGTTCTTAAGATAATTCTTTATGTTGCCATTAAAACTATGATTTAGAAAAGAAAACTGCTTTTGAATTTCCTATATTTTAACAAATAATTTTGTCTCCATTAATAAAAATTGCAATAAGAGTGGTTCCACTTATCATTAAATTAAATTCATCATTGAACTACAATTCTTTTTCAATATCGACTGTGCATTAATTCATTAATTTTATATTTTGAGATTAATGATCTCCAAAAAACAAAGAAATCCTTAATTTTCTTTTGTATTAATGTGCAACATAATTAGAAATGAGATGTCCATCAGGACCATGTCCATCACAAATACCAAATAAATACTGATCTTCATTATCATTATAATTAGTAGAATAGAATATACAATCTTAATTATTATCAATATTGTCATCTATTCCTTAGAGTGTTCTATAATAGATATATATACTTAATTACCTAATTGTAAAGAATTTAACACAATCATTAATATAATCAGGTTCAGTTTTCAATGGATGGAACTTTGTACTTGTATATCGGAACTTAGAAACTTATGGTAGTTTTTTTTTCTATTAATCTGTTCTTAAAGACTTTAAAGACCGCATCTATTTATTAGTTTTTCTGACCAGAATGCTCATTATATTAAATTAATTAGTTTTGAGTATTATTAATAAAATTCTCCCCCCCCTGATGTTCATTTTGTGTTTTTAAATAAATCATTAATAAAATGTCCGAGGATATTAAAACAAGGGCAATAAATTATTTGAATTGCACACTTGGAGATATGCATGAAGGAGAGCAATTAAATTTTGTTTGTCTAGATTCAAATTGCAAAGAAATGGGTCTTATATGTCCAGTTTGTAGATCATAAAAACATGCAAAACACAAAGTGATTCCATTAAAGATATTCCTTGCAGATATTTCTAATAATGTTAATGGTAAACAAAATCAAAATTCAATTGACTAATTACTTACATAAGTAGATCAAGTGCGTTCCAAATTATTATCAAGTCTTAAAGACACTGTCTAAAAAATGGTTTTGTATATTATTTTATGCTACTATAAGATAAATAAAATTATTAGAAGATTAAATAAATTTAAGTCACAAGAATACAAGACAAAGATTGTTGGAATAAAATTAAACTTAAATGAATTTTCCATAAATATTTTAGTAAATACTAAATAGTCAATACAAGAATGTTGATTAACTAAAATAAGATGTTAGAAAGATTATCGATAATGTTAGTTAACAGTAACCTGGAAAAATTGAGATTGACTTTAAACCATAGAGATTATTTGATTAATATTAAAAAGCTGTAATCATATTCATACTAAATATTGTAGTCTTTAGAAGCAATTGCTCAATTTAATCATTTGCTTACATAATTCAAATCATCAACTTCCAAAATTACTAAACCTATTGAAAAATTCACTTTACCAATATAAGCATAAAATACAACTAATTTTACTTTTAGTAGTGTACTTAAATCTCCATCAATCAATATTACAGATTAAAAGAATGCTCATTAGACTGCGAATCAAAATAGTGAAAATAGATTTATATTAATGGAACCATAAATTCTAGAATCTTGTAAAATAGCCATTAAGATTTCACATTTAACTAATTTCATTGGCATAGGAATAGCATTTAAAAATGTTCTTTTAGGAAAAAAGTAATAATTCTATTATAACAAAATAGTATGAAATTTGATCATTAGAATTTGGGACATGGTTCTTATATGATTTCTTCAAATGCACATACTTGGTCTCATTCTAAAAAAGAAGAGAACATGGTCTAAAAATCATTCACTTTTACAAGTGGTGATATTATTATTGTTGAAATCAATTTAGAAAATAGAGTAAAATATCTATTAATTTTAGACCCTCAAATTTACATGTAAAAATAAACCCAATGATACTCCAGCTATAACATTGGGATTTGAAAATTCAGATAATGATGATATCCATTTCTGTATTAATATGTGTTCTTCAGGAGAGAAAGTAGAAATCTTAGATGATTTGGAATGATTGTAATCTAAACAAAATTTATATATATTAAATATTTATTCAATATGTAATAATAAAAAGAATATATTCCAATAGTATTAATTGAAGACAAGATTAAATAATAGAGAATTGAAACAGAAATTACAGATGAAAAGTATTTATATATATAAATATTTCTTTTTTAGACTGCCCTTGATTGAATCTGTGATTAAAACAAACAAAGCAAGCACTCATCTATTAAATTCCAGAACCTCATCTATTAAATACATTATTCCTACAGGCATTAAACCAATTGTTTTTCCAAACATTCTCTAAAAAACCAAAGAAGATATGATTAAATTGAGAAAATATTAATTAGCCTAATTACACTTTGATGGTGATTAACCTCAAAATAACACCAATTTGAAAACTGAAAACAGACCTAAGAAAACTGAAAGAGACTAATCTTCATAGAAAATGTATACTTAAGTTACAAAAAATTCATACAATAAACCAATAATAACAGAACTCACAACCCTTGCTAGAGATAATTACAGTGCTTCTCCTAGATCTGATTCTTTCAAATTTAAAAGTTTTAGTCCAGAAATTGAGAGTTAATTATGGTAAGTTAATAATAAAGTAAATCGTATTAATAAAGCATACGAAATTTAGAGAGAAATTCATCATTTAGAAAGGTTTAAAACTCAGTGGAAAATAGATGTTATTTAATAGAATTTATCATAAAAGATTGTACAAGTTGGTTTAAACACAAAAAAAGGTTTAAGACCAATCTTCATTTTAATTTATTTACCACATTAAAATATTCATTTGAGAAGTTCACAAACTGAAGTCAAATCTATGTAAATTATTATACAGAATTTAGAACTAATGAGGTTGAATTAACTGTGTTTCCTTATTTTGTTCCAGTTTATGAGAAAATAATTAATGAAAAAGAAATCTAAGATAATTATAAAGAATGGTTTTCATACTTTCTGGATATTCTTCATTATCGAAGCTATATTCCATATGCTAAAACATTTACTTTAGATAGTATTGAGATTTCAGCATTAAATTAAATTCCACCCTATGAAAAGTTTTTATATATACAAATATAAGTAATTTTTTATTAATAATTCAGGGTGATTTTGATTTTTGGAATATTATAAAATAACATTTAAATCTTTCTGGTGAATTTTAAGTTGATAAATATCCAAAATTAGCAACTAAATTATTAGATTTGAGAAGTAAAGATGATGTTTGTAGATTTTTCAAAAGAAGAGAAAATTTATTACCATTTTATTTTAGATAGATTTAAATTGGAAGCTAAACTTCTATTCCTTCTTAATATTATATAGAAATAGAAAATAATATAAGAGAACCTGATAATGAGATGTTTGAATAATCAATTATTTAAATGAATGAAAAAGAATAGGATACTTATTTAAAACTATTACAACAATACATACATTCTAATAAATCAAAATATTCTAAGAAATTAAAGAATTTAGAAGAGAACATGAGATTGAGATTAAAAAAGATCAAAGCAATGAGGAGATAGTCAATATAAGTTCGATTGAAAACAGTACTTTAAATATATATTTAAGAAAAATTTTATAAGAGCAGAGGAAGAGGAACATTTTGAAAGGAGATTGTTATATGAGGATGAAAGATCAATAGAAGAAATTTAAGAGGATGCTTATGATCATATATTACCTTAAAATACACATATTTTTAAAAAGAAATCTAAATAAATAACTTCAGTTGAAGATCCATTTTAATCTTTTACTCCAAAAGATAATTAAAAATTTAAAGAAATATTGTAATTAGTGAATGTAGAGAAAATTGTATTAGAAAAAAATTTATCAAGATAAGATGTGTATCATTACTTGTCACTTTTTAAGGCTTTAATGGATTCAGATACTCCATAACGAATTAAAGAAGTAAAATATCCAACTCTTTTTATATCACTTGATTAATTACGTAGAGGTGTACCATTTATAGCTTTATATAAAAATAAGGTAAATACTAAGAAACTTGCAGAAGTTTATAGTAGAAAATATAATTATTGTGAATTTATGGAATTTTTAGATATATTTACAACAGATTATAAAGTGACAGAGTAAGAGTTGTAAGAGGTAGAATAAGAAGTAATATATTCTTAATAAAAACCAAATCAACCTTCATCATCTGTTTTATAAAAATAAGCATCTGTTATATTAGCAACAGAGAGTCAATAAAAATGAATACATATATTGAAAAATCTGTTATTTAATTTTTTAATAACACCATAAAATAAATAATGTTTATTAGTATCATCAAGCGAATTTATTTTATTAATTTGGCGTTTGTTTTTTTTGATTATTGATTAAGTATTTATTGATCTCATGAATTTAACAAATTTCTTCCTAGATAATTTCGAAATCTTAATGGTCTTCTTCGATTGGAATTTTAGATGGATTTTAAACTTGTAATGAATTTGATTGAGTTCTTGAGGGTGTAATATCTAAAATAAAATAAATTTATAAATTACTAGATGATCCTGATAAAGAAAGATTTGAGATTGATTAGTTTAAAAATTAATTCATAATTGGACTTCTAGCAAAAATATCAGGGTAATGTTAAAATTATGGAATCATATTAGTTGGCATATATAATTAAGGAGGATTAATCTAGTAAATAGGAGTAAAACACTTCATAAACCAAGGATGACATAATGCTTATTTAGCAGTATATCTAGTTTATGGATTTGGAGATAACAATATCATTAAAAGCTATAAAGCTAAATTCAATTTAAATTTTACCTTCAGGACTAATCTTTTATGATAAATTATTTATTGAGTAATTTATTTCACAATTATAATTTTTGATAACAAGTTCATTTTTTGATTTAGTTTGAAATGGAGAGTGTCCACTCAACCTTAAATTTGTAAATCTTCACTTACATTATAAACATTAAAATTCCTGCACTGAACACATCGACTTTATAGTCATAATTTTTCTCTTATAAAATCTCTGGTGCTACATATCCTGGAGTTCCACATCTTTTAAATAAATATTTGCCTTCTGGATTATAATAATCAGCTAATCCAAAATCTGCTATACAGACATCAGAAGCATTGATCGGTGAACGAAGGATTAAATTTTCTGGCTTATTTTATACTTTAATATTATACTTTTATATCTCTATGTATAATGCCTTAACAATGTAAGTAATCTAAAGAATTAAGTAGGTTATGCATTAATAATGCTACTTAAACTTCATTAAACCCTTAAGGTTAATTTCGAAGATACTGAAATAATTCACCACCTTCTAAATAATCTGTTACTAACCAAATATGATGATCGGTCTCGTAAACTTCATATAATCTGATTATCCCTGGAAATTATATTTTTCTCATGATGCTGATCTCTAATCTTAATGCATCCTAAAATACATAAAAAACATTAAATACTCTTTCAAGTGTGAGATTTTTAAAACTTTTTTTCTCAAATGACTTCACAGCATATGCACAATTATCTCTCCCGATTGCTTTGTAAACCTAACAATATTAAAAAATTGTTTACTTTAGCAAAATTTCCTTAACCTTAAACTTTTAATAATTTATAATCTTCATTGAAAGATCTTTAAATAGCATATTTCTTGATCAATTAAAACCATAATTAGTACTCTTATTCATTAGAAGTAAATTCAATTTATTTTTTATTTCTGCTTAGTCTAAAAGTATATTGTTAGTTTGTTTATTCTAAAATAATGTTATTGAGATCAATATGTCTTTTGTATGATTTATTATCAACTTCTACTAAGTATTCATTAGATATGAAAAACTTTCCTTTTTTTATTGATTAAGAATTTGTTTTTCTCATTGTCAACACACTTGATACTTAATATATTTTAAAGTCAGGTTTAGATTTTTACCATAACGGTTTGTTGGGCTCATCAAATAATGAAATATAGTTATTGTTGCACTCTTTATTCATTACAATAAATAATAAGAAGATTTATTAATAAATATAAAATGATATAAGGTTATATTATATTACTGATATAGTATAACATCATCAACCTTATGATCTTATTCTCAACTTTGCATCAAATTTTTTATTTATAATTATAAAAACATGTAATATTTATCTTATACTAAATTTTTCAATATCAAATTATTTGAGTTATACTTCATAAAAGATTTTAATTTTATCAACAATTATAAATATATTTAAGCTTCAGATTCTCATGAATTCTAAAGTGATTTAACAAATTATTATTAAATTTATTATCTAATAATTACTGATAATCTTCTATAAAGATTAGCTAAAAATGTTTTATAATAATATTCTTTTATCAAAACCTATATTCATATCTATTCCAAATCATTCCAGTTTGATATTAAAATTTCTTTACTTAATATTGTATAATCATATTCTAAGTTTTAAATATTATTTTTCCTCTATAAATTATATAATAAAAAGTAATGATAACTTCAAATAAATAAAATTCAAGTCTTTATTTATTGTAAAATTAAACTTATAATTTTTCCTCTATTTATTCATCTTGTAAACTTAGCTAAGAATTTCACTGTTAAAACAAAATCAAAATCTTGCTTCAACAATTCTCATCTTACAGAATAGTTATCTTTTATATTAATAAGAAAGATTCATTTCAAATATATTTTCAATTAAGATTATTCATTATAAACAAATACTTGTGCTTAAAATCATTTATTTTAAAATGAAACTCTTAATCTTTTGGTATATTACTAAATTCAAATAAATTTTAGCATTTTGCATTTTAAATTATGAATAACATTTTTCAAAGTCATTTACAAATTAGACTAAAATGCTGTTTTTTAATTTTATTACATGAATTTCTTTTCCAATAGGTAATAAAATGTTTTCAAATTTTTAGACAGCATAGGTTCCCATGATCTTTAAATATTATTTCCTTACACTTTAATAAATTATATTACTTATATATAAATTATTATCTAAAATGATGATTTAAAATAGAACTTCAATATAATTGAAAATAATGAATTTTATAATTACTATTTATAATACAAAATAGAAAAAATGATCCTGAATTATTTTTTTTAAATAGGAAATTATAATCTCTTGAATAAGCATTAATAATAATTTTAAATCATTATCCATTGATCGCATGGTGTAGGGGTTATCACGCATCTATAACAAAGACGAGGCCGTTAGTTCAAGTCTGGCCGCGATCATGTTTTTTTTTATTTCATTTTTATATCATTTATTAATTTTTATCAAACAATACAATAATTAATTATATTTAAACTTTTATATAATTATTATATAAATCAAAATTTATTTGAACAGAGGTCAAATAAAAAACAAATCGCTATTATACTTTTTCTGAAACTCTATTTAGCTAATTTTTGATTATTTTTCTTAATAATTCATTATTTTTTTAGGAGAAACTTTTGAGTTAAATTTTAATTAAAATTTAGCAATACTTATAATAATTTTCTGAAAAACTGACACAAAAAAATTAAGTTTTTGTTACAAATGAATTCATATATTTTATTTTTGAAGTTAAATTTAAATAGTATAAACCCTTTGTAATTGATATCTGATAACATTTAAGAAAGCTGGATATCATTAATAACATTGATTAAAATATAAATTGATGAAGATGTAAAGAAAGTAAGAACAATTAAATTTATCCTTCTCAATTAGGATAAAAAGATCAAACTAATCATAGGTAAAAAGGAAGAACAGGTTTATCTTATTAGGATAATTTTTAGAAATCAATATTGAGAACTGGAAGATCTTCATTTAATTTTATTATTTAGTAAAATAGATATCAATTATTTCAATTTTTTATAAAAAGGATAATTTAAAATCCCCCTTATAGTCACTAAATCATAAACTGCCATAAATATTTGAGATTATATTTATAGAATGAAACATAGTATTGCTAGTTCTAAAAAAAAGGAAGCTCTAATTAAATAGTATTGAAATTTTTATTTTTCTAAAAATATTTGTAAATTGCTTTAGCGGTATATTTTAAGATTAAAGAAACTAATTGAAAAATTATGCTAAATAAAGTTCATTATTGGAAAGAACAATAGGATTATTATAGAGTTAAAATTATGAAAGTCTTCAAAATCTAAACTAGAAAGTAGAAACTCTTGAATTCTAAGATCATATATGGATCAAATAATGATTTTAAATGTTTAATAATCTCCTTAATCTGAAATATTGATATATCATAAAAAAATGAATAACTAAAATAAATTCAATATTCTAGATCTCTCTTTTTAAATTAATCCAAAATAGGCAAAATAAATTTAAAAACATTATTTAGGTCTTCTGTTTTTTTTCCACCAGTTATTACACATCTACCACTAACAAATATTAACAAAGTTATTTTTTTTTAGTCTGTAATTTTTCTAAAGATCAATCCAGGGAAGATTTCAGGTTCATATTATACGACAGATCGATATAATTAATCTTTAGTGAATTCATCTAATTTGATTGGTTTTCTAAAGTCGAAACTTGCTACTATATTCTAAATAGTAAAGTCTTTGAATTTAACAGGAAAGCCTAATTTATGGATGATCTTAGCATATTTTCTAGCAGCAACTAAAGATTAATCTTCAGATTTAGCTCCTGTACATACCATTTTGCCAGAATGAAATATAAGAGCAGTTGTACTAGGATTATTTAAACGCATAATCACTGCAGAAAATCGCTTTGGATCTAGAATAAAATAAATAAAATAATCATACTATATTCAGCCATTCTTGCTCCATTTGAGATTACTACTAAATTTAATTCTGTTCCTAGATCTACAGTAGATACTACATTTTATATTTTTGGAGGATGAGTGCTACGTATCAATTCTTCTAATCTTTCATTAATTTCAGGTGTGGTTTATAATTCATTTTTCATTTAATATAATAAATATATATATATAAAGTTAATCAAATTTAATATAATAAGAAATTTAAACTGATAAACATAGTAAATGAAATTATTAATATTACAATTCTAAAATAATCAAGAAATTTAATGATCTTAAGCCTAGTTAGTTCTTATAGAATTGTTAACTTATCTAACTGAGCTAGAAGTTTATTTAATAGACACAAATTTAAATCCTTTTCCACTCCTAATTGCTTCATTTTATGCTTCTGCCATCTATATCTCATCTTGAATATCTGTTAGTTTAGAATTTAATTGCATAACTTTTTATCTTAATTATTGTAAATGTAAATCATGTTCTCTAGTAGCTTCTGTGGCTGGATCATGTTAATACATTAGATCATTTAATTTATTTCTAAGAATTACTAATGAATTCATTTTCATTCTTTAAATATGTTCTAATTGTCCTACTTCTTACTATAATTATTCAATCTATTTATTTATTTCAATAAATTACTTTTTGACTGTCATCTGATTTAATTGGTAAATCTTTCTTTTATTTTTTTTAATTAATTTTTTCCCATAATAAATACATTTATTCTTCTAATTAATATACTTGATGTCTCCAATACAATTCAATTTCCTCCTAGCTATATTAACACTTTCCATCCTTAGTGATTACTTTATATTAAACAGTTTATAAGAATGATGGAATAAAATTCTGAGCCTAATATTAAGTTTAAAGAGAATAAGCATTTTTTAATGCTTCATATTATTCCAATTATTCTTAATATTATGCTTACAATTAAGAATAAGCTAAATGATTTTATTAAATTTCTTCTGTTTATTAATAATATTTATCAGCCCATTCTTTTTACTTTAATAACAATTCTTATTAAATCAGTTAAGATTATTAAAGTTATTAATTGAATTATGTACTCATGTTTGTTTAATTTATTTAACTCTATTAAATTTAAGGTTATGCTTAATATTATTATTAAATTTAAGGAATTTATGGTTAATAGATTGCCTATTAGATTACATTAGATTAAGAATTAACAGCAATAGGAGATTAATTTATCTGAGTTGTTGCTTACTATAAGATTACAGGGGATTACTAAATCAATATTGGGGATTTCTATTATATAATTGGGGGAGTATTAATGATTTATGATGTTATTGGCATTACTCTAGGAGGAGTGATTGCTTATTGTTAAGATATTGCTTATTATTATCTTAATTACATAGGTGATATTGCAACACCTTCAATTAGTTTTCGAGAGACTATTCTCTCAGGAGAAGTATAAACAACTAATTATTTTTAGATTTTTTTACCTCTCCCTCTAACTTATTATCCTTACATTGTATGAGCTGATTAAATAAAATTTGATTCTGTTTATGAAGAATGTTCTCCTGATTGACATAAAGGACATTATGGTTCATATTAATCAGAATAGTAAGTGACTATTCCTACTTGTTATGGTGGTAATTACATTAATTTATTTATGAATAAGGGAAATAAATTTTATCATAGTTATTTTAAATTAAATTTGTTTTTCTTTATTTATTTCCCAAATTTACATGTTTAAATGATTTATTCAATGTTAAATGAACTATAAAAAAATTATTATTTTTTATTTTTATCTATGAATAATTATATTATTTTTATTAATATTTAATATGCTAGGATAGTTTCATTCGAAATATGAAATAGATGAATTATTTAGAAAAATTATTGAAGATAAATATGAACTTATGTAAAGAACAAAAGCTGATAATCCTAATTTACTTTTACCCAAGGATTTCAGCAAATTTATCACTGAACGATTATTTATGGATTTTTTATTAACAATTTATGATTACTGTGTAGAACTTCATAAATTAGAAAAAAAATAAGCCATTTTAGATCTATAAAGTAAAGAAAGAGTTGGAATTGCTCCTAAATTATTATCATCTGAAACAGATAAAATAAATTAAAAGTTAAAGGAGATATCTGAAATATATACTTAAATTTTATTAAAAAAAGGCAGTTATAATATCATTATCAGAGACTAAAAATTCTTTGAGACTTTGATTTATTTTATAACTTAAGTAAAATTTTGATTAATTAATTTAGGTTTTAAAAGAAGTCTTTGAAAAAAGTGATTATAAATATATAGAGGAAGAAATCAATAGAATTTTTAGAACTAATCCATTCAATTTGTTAAAAAGAAAACATATTAATGAAAAAATAGAATAAAAACATTATGGAGCCAAAGATTTTAAAGGTGTAAAACATGATTTTAATCCAGATGATGATTTATCAAAAAACGATTTAATATAAAGAATTTTAACAAGAAAGGGTATGCCAAAAGTATTAATATCTAAAATTATAGAGTATAGACAGAGAAATGATGGTTGAAAAATCAAATTTAAAACCTTTCTTTATAAAATCAACTCGATGTGCAGCAATCAAAGCCAGATCCCCATTAATTGCAGTTATGTTTCCTTCAGCTAAAGAAAGATTATTTTAAATGGAAAACGAAAGAAAATAAATGGCTTCAAAATTTACTTAAAAATAAAGATTGGTAAAGGATTAAGTTGAATTATGGATTTAAGATTTTGAAAATAAATAAGCAAGAATAAAAAGTGAACATGAGTATACACTTGATAAATCAAAAATTAATAAAAAGGGATCCTAATCTTTTCATTAATGAAGATTATTACTTACATTTTTAAATTAAATTTACATAATAACCAATATAATTATATCATTTTTATTCAAAAATACAAAATTCTAATTTTATTTATTTATTGTAAAAGCAAATAAATGATTATTCAATATACTTTTGTAAATTTTTATTAAAAATTCAGCAAAATCGTTCTAAATTCCATTTTGTAATATCTAAGAACGTTTATTCAATGTTTGAGAATTTTATTTTAATACGAAATCATAATAGTTAATTAATTAGAATTAAATTTTTGTTTTCATACATTTTTCATTTAATTTTAAAGTCTAATTTAATGATAATAAAAAAGCAATAAATAAGTATTTGATTTAATTTAAATGATAAATTATGAAAATTTAAAGGTTTTATTAATATTGAAGTAATTAAAAAAGAGTATAAATAAAAAAATATAAAAATAAAACATAACAAAATAATATAATATTTTTCAAGCAAATATTTTCTTTATAAATTCTTTTTCTTGCTCAGTTAATTTGGTAGGCATCTTAACAATGAACTTTATAAAGAGATCGCCTTTAACACTTGGAAGTTAATGAATAGGCATACCTTCTTGAGCAATTAACTTAACCTATTAAAACATCATATTTAATAATACTTCAAATGGTTAAATAATTTTATTGCTTTCAACTTCAACATAATGATTATCTAAATGTCTAACTCTCTTTTTAAATCCTAAGATAGCTTCTTTTAAGGTTATTTCCATATCCATGTATAAATCATTACCTTTTCTTTCAAATATAGGATGCTTAATTTATCTTAAATAAAAGATAACATCTCCTGGGAAATAATCAGGACTTTATTCACTTTCTCCTCTAAACACAATTGTTTATCCATCAATCATTCCTTTTTCTACTTCAATTTATAAAGTCTTCGATGTTTATTAAACTCTATTTCCTCTGCAATTAGCACAATTTCCTGAACTAATTCTCCCTCTTCCTCCACATCTATCACAAGTAGTTTGCATTTAGACAGTAAATCCTATTCCCATATTAACATTTTGCATTCTTTAACCTCTACCATTACAATGTTTGCATTGTTTTAATGTTCCATCTTTTGATCCAGTTCCTTTACACTATTTGCATAATACTTTTTTTTATAAAGTAAATTCTCTATCAGTGCCATTATACAATTCTTCTAGAGTTACTTGAATTTCTGCTTAAGCATTAGGACCTTTTGGTCTATTTTAATATTGTGGATTAGTAAGTCCTTCTTCTCCATAACTAAAAATTATATGAAATCAATTTACAAATCATAGATCATTCTTTTTTCAGGATCTGTTAGAATTTCATAAGCTTTATTTATATCTTAGAATCTTTTTGTAGCTTATTTATCTCCAGGATTTTTATCAGGATGGTATGTTACAGAGAGCTTTCTAAAAGCTTTCTTGATCTCATTATCACTTGCTTCTGGGGATACTTCTAGTAATTTGTAGTAGTCTTCTGCAGAAATGATAGTTAGAAGAATGAATAAATACACGTACATATATTTTTAATTGATAATATTTTTTTGGTTCACTCATAATCATCTTTATCGATTATCTCTTGTAATTACTCTTTCTTCTACAACTGCCTGTTATGCTGGTATCATCATGTAGTATTGCATTTACATAGTTTACATTTACAGTTATCTTTAATAAGCCACTATAAATAAAGAAAAGATAATTAGTATAAGTGTTAAATTTACCTTATTCTTCTGGAGTTCTAAACTCTGGCATAGTTTACTATGGAGCCATTTCATTGTTGGTTATTTAATAATTAGCTAAAGCATTCGGAGGATTAATCAACAAGGGACTAGAGTAATTAAATTTAATTTACGTTGGTATATTAATAGTACTAGGATCTACACAAGTTTTAGCAAAGTAAGCTCTATTTATTATGATATATAAATTACTTTTTAGCTCCTTCTAATAATGTTTCTATTTCTCTAATTGCTATATTTAATTATTCTTCAGTTCCACTTAAAACAAATGCTTTATGATCTGGTCTTACTTAATAATCAGGACTTTAAGTAATAGCAACAAAAGCTCCACTTCTTTCACTAATTGCTTTAATAGTAACTCCTTTTTTTCCAATGATTAATGCTACAAATTAATCATGTACTTGGAATTCTATTTTTTTAGCACCTGGAGCTGTTCTAACTTTTCTTTGAGTATCAATAATTTCTTATAATAAACCCTAACATTTTTTGACACAATCAGGATCTCCAACAATAAATACATTTCTAGTTTAAGATCCAGGAGCAGAATCAGCAGCAACTTATACATTTTTACATCCAGATTTTTCTTTTAATTATTAAATAGTTTCTCCTTTAACACCAATAACTAATCCTACAAATTCATTTGGAACTGGATAAACATAAGCATCTTTGCTAGGTGGTCCATATGGAGTAGTCATAGATAAATCACTTGGATCTAAACTACCTGTTTATGCTATTGGTTATGCTGTTGTAGGAGTCTATTATGATTAAGCAATCAATTTCATTTATTCTTATCTATATCTTTATACTAAATAAAATCATTATTCAATATTATTACATTCATCAGCATCAGCTAATAATATTCTCTCTATCCTATCACATGCATTTGCTGCTTATTATGGTGTCTCTGCTACTACTAAAACATGTAAATCTTCATCATCATCAGGTTAAGGTGGTTATTCAGGTTTTTAAGATCCTCTACCTCTAACCAATATTTTAGCACCTGTCTCTTCTTCCAATTTTTTTTAACTCACACCTTTAGGTCCAATTATTAAACCAATATAATTAAAAGACTAATCAGGGGGAATCTTAATCTTTCTTCTTACTTTTGTTGGGTCATTAAGCATTTTTAATATTGTAGGATTCATACCAGGTACCTTTAATCAGTAATTACACTTACAAATGTATATTGCATCTATGTTTACATTGTGTGAGACTATGGAACAATTAAAGCTTGAGCAGCTAAAATATTTATATATCTTCTACTTTGTGGTGTTGCAGATGTTTTCGGATTATTGTACATATCTCTCAAAAAATCATCTGTATTCCCAGTTTTTGGTTGTGAGGCTACTCCCCAACCAGTTGATCTTCCCATTCCTGTCTCTGCCTTCTTTCTATCTCTTTCTTTCGATTTTGATTATTTTCTCTCTTTTGATCTAGATCTTTGTTTTTCTTTTGATTTTGATCTATTTTTCTTTTTTGGGGTCCTTGATCTTGATTATTTTTTTCCTTTTCCCATATTATTTTTATTTTAAATATTACTTATATTATTAACATTAATTTATAAATATATATACAATTAATCTTTATCATTAAAATTTTAGTTTTCTTCTTTTTATTCAAATCAGATAAACATACAAACCATCATATATTTTACATTCTCTCTATTATTCTTAAAAAATCATTAATAATAATTTTTATTTTCATTAATACAACTCTTAAATGTCAAAATAGATCCAAAATTTTAAATATTATTCTAATTTTAAGGATGATTTTCAAAATTTATATTTATATTTTGAAATATAGTTTGAGAATAATTTATACTTGTTTAATTTAAACAATTTTTCAATAACACAAATACTATTCTTTTTTAAATAGTGATATTAAATTTTGAAATTTTCAACATTTAATAATAAACTATATAGAAAACTATATTAGTTTTTTTGATTTAATTTATTTAATAAAAATACTAAGATGATGTAGGAAATCTAACATTATTTTTTAAGAATAATTGAATAACATTGATTATTATATGAAACACTAAGACAAATAATTTTAATAATTAAAAATATTTTGACTTTAATTTCTTAATTTATTGCTCTATTCAAATTTATTTATTTTTTAACAATATTTTATAATTAATGATATATATTTTTATGGTATTATTAATAGCTTATAATCACTAAAAATAGTTAATAACAATATTCAAATTAGCTTCTACATATTCAATCTTTCAAAGGAATTTTCAAAAAAAAATAATTTTTGTTGTAACTTATTTAGAAGAGAATTAGTAAGTAAATAGTTAGAAAATCAAATTCACTAATAAATCAAGTTAGATTATGTCATACATATAATAAAATTAATTACTTAAAATTTAATAAAAAATATATTTTTTACAATATTTTTGAATAATATTTTTCATGATAAATACAATTATAGTTGAATATCTATTAAAGTCTGATTTATAATAATGTGAATGATAATATTTATTTATATAAAATTTGTTCTCAATAGATTTCAGTAATTTAATAAATAATATACTTAATTATGAATACCTAAAAACTTCCTCATTTATAATCACCAAAGAGGCCTCAGACAAAAGCAAAAACGAAATCGATTGCAATGAATTTATCAATCAAAGATTCTTTGTAAGAAATATCAACGTTTCGAACTACAACTTAGAGCAGATCAAACATATAATTACCTCAAACTGATAGACTCAAAACCTACTCTGATGTTTCCTATCTTAATTTTCGAAATGCTCCTTATAAGCAGTCTTCTGTCTCATCTCCAAAAATACCTTTAAGCAATATTGCTAGAGATCCATAATTATACGAATTCGTAAAATTTATCGGTTATATATTTAGCATAGTTAAGCAAACAAAACTAATATATATACATCAATTATTAAAGACAATTTTAAAGGAACATTTATTGATAATCCAACAGAATTAAAAATGCACGAGAAAACAATTGATTTTTCTCCTTTACTCTAAAACATTAAGATACATTAATTTAAATATTACCTTTAGTCTATTTTACAATAGGAGTGCAAAACTATCTTTGATACAAAATGTCCTCCAAATAGATAGTAAGCTATTGATCTATTAATGTGGTTTGATAAAATGATTTAAACTTTAAACACTGATAATTTGAGATTAATAACTGATTTAACTAATTAATTGTAATTAGTTTATTAAACTTGCATGCATGAATTAGCTAGACAAATATCATATGAATGTAAAGAAAGAGGAACTTTATTATTAATTATTTGGAATTCATTTGTATCTTTTATAGAAATGCTTATTTCAAATGTTGCAATGAATTTCGAAGAAATGGAAAATTAATCAATTGAAACTATTTCCAGGATTTAAAAAACTCATCAAACATTTGTTTCATAATTATAATAAGAAATCTTTTAGTTAAAATAATAAATGGCTTAATTAGAATTAGAAAAATAAGAGTTAAATGATAAAAATATATATTTAGCAAAAAAAAATCTTCAATTAACAAATGAAATCAAATTATTAGGTTCTTAATTAGATGAAATGACTGATAATCATAATAAAGTTTATAACGAATTAATTTAAACTAAATTATAAATAGAAACTTAATCTTCTTAATAAACTTAAACTACATAAAAAATTAAAATAGGAATTCAAGAAGGTCAATCAGTTGTAGCACATCTATTATCAATGAAAAATACAATGTTTTCTAAATTAAAAAAATAAACTTCTATTTAATTTGAAAAAGTTGAATAATTGAAGGAAGATGAAGAATATTTTAAGTAAGGCTTATCAAAAACTGATATAGACTAATTGAATTCAACATTTTAATATTAAAATACGTTAAAATTATAATCAAAAGCATTACTTCCAATTAATATTGAAGACAGTATAATATTTTAATTATCTTAGAGGCTGTTTAAACTGATTAATCTTTTTCTTTTTTATTTGATCATATTGAGGATTTATTTAATCAAAGATAAACTGGTTCATATCCAAATATGTAATATTTTTTATGAATTTTAGTTAGATTTCAAAAAATGAGATTATGTAGAATTATAAAGATTAATTAATCTAATTGCTATAATTTTGTAATAATAATTAGTTAGAGTCAGATGTAGAGATAAAAAAGAAATTCATTGAATAAATGTTAGAAATATAAGAATAAAAAGTTAATGCAAAATATTATGAGTAAACTTTATAAGAAGCTACTTAAGAATTTATTGAGCTTCTTAAAAGAAAAAAATAGAAAATTAAAAAACTTAAAAAAAGTCAAACATATTTACAAAATCGTCTTAATTCAAGTAAATTATATAGTTTATTTTTCAAGTGCAAAGTGAAAGCAGTCCTCCTAAACAAGATTTTCCATAAGTTTTAGTAAATTCGCCTGGTGTAAAAACTCCTTCATTTAGAAATTCTTTAGTTTTTAATTAATAGGATGCTTTATAAGAAGATATTATTGAAAGTGATGAAAAAAGTGAAGATGATTCAATAAAACAAAATATAAATTAATAAAGTAAATAAATAAAAAAAGAACCAATTTTGGATTAAGAAAATTCAAACAATGCAAGTCAAAATATTATTGACTTGGAGATTGAAGCAATTTAGGATAACTAAATTTTAGAAGAAAATCAAATTAATAAAGATTTATAAGATAATCAAAATTAGGAAAATATCATTTAAAATTTTGAAATTGAAAATATAGAAAAAAATCAATCAGAAGATTTAAATATGAAGAATTCTATCAATAAGAATATTTTAAACAATAGTGTAAACAGAAAAAACAGTAGAAGTAGTTAAAGCAAATAAAGCATAGAAGACTAGGAATAGTAAAATTAAAGATAAAAAAATTTATCACCAATAAAAAGTTAGCTTAATAGAAAATCTTTGTAAATAAAAAGCTTATCAACAATCAAAGATATGGATGATGAACCTAAACAATAATAAATAAAAAGAAAACATTCTAAAGTTGTTAAATAAATGTAATAAAAATCTAATAATACTATAAATATTCTTGATTAATCTAGTGAAGCTAATGATAGTGAAAATTTATCATTAGTTTCTAGTGATGATTTGTCTGAGAAAACAAAAGAAGAGGATATAAAAAAAATTGAAAAAATAAGGAATTTAGTATAATAATATGGTGGTGCCAATATTTAAAAAAGAAGATTTACAAAACCAGTAGCAATTAAATTATCATTATTATCTGATTTGAAAAAAGAAAGAAGAGTCAAAAGAATTTATAGTCAAAATACAGATGCAGCAAATTCATTGTTACATGAAGTAATGAATATCAAACTCAAAAAATAAAAAGATTCAATAATACCAATTTCATCTATTATTAAAATTTTTAATACTATCATATCTGATACAGCTAAAAATTAAGAAGGATATAAAATTCCATTACATGTTAGTATTTATGATTTCTTTTTAAAAAAATATGGTTTTAAAAATGTGGCTGAAAAGAAAATTAAATAAGTAATTATAATTAATGATTGATTTAAGTTACTTTAGTTTATTTTTCATAAGAAAAACTAATATCCTAAATTGTGCTTGATTTCAAGATTGTGTTACATGGATGATGAAATGGATGAAGCTGTCTATAAATTAATTGTAGAGTCGATTAAGTATTTTCATAATAAGTAAGTATCTAAATAATTTAGAGAAATACAATTAAATAAACCTGAAATTAATCTAACACATGAATAACTAACTGAATATTGTAACGACTTCTTATAATAGCTCCTTGGTTAAAGCTATATTACTTAACTGTTGCAATAATTGAAACAAAATAATAATAAATGTAATTTTATATAATTTATCAGACATCATATTTGAAAATGTTATGATCTAAGTAATGAACTTATATTTTTAAAAAAAAAGATAGTGTGAAGATAGTTTGAAATTAATATTTCAAGCTGCTGATTTAGATGGTAATAATCTTATTGAATTCTCAGAAGTATTATTATTATATATTATATTAGTTCAAAAATTTGTACAAAGCTATTCATCATAATATTTATGATAAAAATGTAGTTTTAGAATAATTTATTAGTTATGCTGATTATATAGAAGAATTATCTAAAAATAAAATGATAACTCTTCCTAGATTTGCAGAAATGGCTATTGAACTTAATTTATTTTCTAAGGAATAAATTAATTAATATAGTAGAGGATTTGAAACTTTATTACAAGAATGGGAAGAACAAAAAAATTTTATTAAATTTAGATATTTAAAGGCTGAAAAATTTCCAAAAGTTAAATTCACTTTTAACTTATTAACAGAATAAATAAATTTACTTAAAAATAAATAAAAAACAACTCATGATCCTTAAAGTAATTATTAATTAATCTTAGCATTATGGGTGAGCTACAAATTATTGCAAGAGAAATCATAAAGAGTTGTTTTAAAGTATTATTTTTTATATATTTAGTCATGAGGCAAGAGAATGCTTCTTTGATTTAGTTCCGCATGAAATTTGGATAATACAACAAGGATATAGAGCTATAGAAGAACTATGTATATGAAAATTAATTCTATATTTATAAAGTTTTTATTTTGTATAAATTGAGATGTTTTTCAATAGAAATTTATAGATGATTTATACATTTAGACTAATTTTCTAGTTAATTTCAATCATTCAAAGGGTATGTAAATCTATTTATTAAAATTGAAAAAAAATTAGGCTAAAAAAACTAACTAAAGATTATTTTGGGATTGAAACTTTTGATTCTTAATAATGAAATTGATCAGAAATAATTAAAAAAATTGAACTACAAAAATAAATTTATAATATAATTAAAGTGATTTCATAATATAAAAATATTCATGAGAAATAATTTTGTAATATTATTTATTATAAATTCTTGCAATTGTAATTTATATCACAATAATTTTTTTTTTAATTTTCTCTATCTAATTTAGAAATAAATATACACAAAATTTCAGTTAAATAGAAAAAAAAAATTTTATAATAACAAAGCGAAATACAATCATAACATAACAAAATCATAGGTAGTTAATACAAGTAAAAAATAGAATTTTTTAGAATCAACTTTTGAATTTTTCTTTAATATTACTAAGTCTATAAAATTTATAATACATTCTGCTGAATTAATGAAGAACAGTAATTTTTTCGAGAAGCTTTTGAGCTTAATTTATTTTTAATAAGAGAAAAAGTGTTTTCATGAAGAATTTAGATATTATAAATTTAACAAGTTTTTTATTATTCTAATTATTTACATTAAAAACTTAAAATTTAACACCTCATCAAGTAGAGAATAGAGGTATTGCTAATAAAAAAAATACACCTCAAAAAACAGTACGTTAAAATAAAAAATTTAAATACCATTTCTCATAATAAACTATTTTGATGTATTATTTATATTTGATTTTTCTTTGGTTTTTAATATTTGAAACCAATGCTAATTTTTGCTAATGCTCTTAAATGAGATATAGATCAAAGCTAAGAGGAAATTATAAAGATGTTCTTAAATATGATAGTGGATCATTATTGGTTAGTAGAAAGACAAATTTATTTCGAAGTACATAATCAAATGGTCTTTTAAGTAGAGAGACAATTTATTAGGTTGATGGAGGAACTGGATACACATATTGTGCGTTAGGGGGTTCAATAATTGTAGAATTACACCAAGTTTATGAATTGAATACATTTATATTTTGGTTATGGGATAGAAGCCCACGTACCTATGGTTTTATTGTTTATGCTTGTTATGAAAATATTGAAACTGTTATTTTAGACTCTGTTGGTTAATTAGTAGGAGTTGTAAGAATTAATTTTCCTAACCAAATGGTTAAATATTTTAAAATATTCAATCGAAATGGAAATACTAGCAATACTTAATTACATATAATTAAAGCAATGGCATTCTTTCAACTTTGATCTTATAATAACAATTAAAAAATAAATATATCGTTTTCTATTTTTATAAACATCTCTTTAAATAATTTTTGGACTTGAAGCAAAAAAAAAATAATTCAATTATATTTTATAAAAATATGAAGAAATTTACTTTTACAAAAATTGTCAATTGATTTATTTAAAAAAGAGATTAACATAATTTAGATAAAATAATTTTTAATCCTCTATTCTATGATAATATTCAAAGATACTAATTTACAAATGTCATTATATTTAAATTTTATTAAATTAACTAAATAATTTATTAATTAGAATCGATATGAAAATATCAAAAAAATAATAATGCTATTTAAACTATGTTATATATAATTTGCTTCATAAAATTTTTAGAATAGATTTCTCATAAAAACTATTCATATATGTTAAAAATTCTAAACTTTAGAATTCTAAAACAAAAAAATAAAAATTAAGTAAACATATTGATATATATTTTATAATAAGAGAATATTTTAAAGAGATGTAGATTATATTTACAAAGTATTTTGAAATAAATAAGAAATAGGATTAATTAATATGATTATCTATGTATATTTTATATTATTTTGTTAGAATAATTATGTTATTAAATTTTGTTGGTTTTATTAATAAATAATGTTATAGGGATTTTGTTTGGTTTCGATGTATCAGCCTAACTTGACTTTAAGCTTAAAGATTTAAAAATTAGTATTGCTAATATATTATTGTCAAATATTAACACTAGCTTTTCCATTAGATGGATGGAATCTTTGGACTTATAAAGATGGTGCTTTTAGAATTGCAAAAAACTTGTTAAACATGATATTAATATTTCCTTATGTAATTGAAGTAAAATCATCAACATTGATCAATGTGTTGATAATACTATTCTCTATATTTAACATTTTCATGTTATTAGCAATATTTTTGATTGCAAAATTTAAGAACAAACTTTCTTTTATGCTTACTATTACATATTGGTATTTAGTATTTGTTCCAAAATTATTTTTTATCCCTTAATTGTTTGTATTTATAGGATCTTTGTCTTTTAGTTAAAGAGCTTTATTATATTCAAACTTTTAATTTAATGCACTTTTACCAGTGTGTGCGATAGGTTTATTAATACTAGCATTTTTTTGTTTTTTTAGTAGCTATTTTATTAGAAGCATAAGATTGTAATAGGATAATGGTTTGATATAAAAGTTTAGTTAGTTAGCTTTTATTGAATAATGTCTCAATATTATAATTACTTGTTTGTATTTTTTAAATAGAAGTACATTTACTAATGTAGTTTAATTATTAATGATGCATCTCTATTATTTATCTTAATTTATAAATACATTTTATGTAGGAAGTTTTCCTCCTCATTTATCTAAAATTAGTTTAATTATAATCACATCATGTGAAAGCCTTTTAATAGTATTAACAATAAATATATTATCAAAGAACCACCTTATATCAGAAAACCAAATCTTAATATTATGGTTAGTTTTCATGACATTTTCCATTTCAATACTTTCAATATTAAGCGAAAGAAAATAAATTAAGCTACTTTTCAAATAATAAAATATTTTTGAACTGCAAGAATTTGTTTAATATTTATATTATTTGATGCCTAATCTTAGTCATAATGATTTTAAGATTTAGAATCAATTTATTTTTTGTATTTTTATTCAAAATCATTTGTAATAATGTATTAATTGCTCAAAAATAAGGTAAAGTAAAAATAAGGTGAACTCTAAATTTTTATTTACAAATATTTTATATTGTATAATCAAGGAACACCTTGGAGCTTTAAAAATGAGTAAGTCTGAATATGAATAATTTGAGATATATTATACAGATTTTTTAAATTAAATAAAAAAACAGCCACTTTTATCTTTTGTAGAATTAAAAGTTTATTAATTACAAAATTTGCAAACATCTATTTTTTTCAAATACACTATTCCTTACTTTTTTGAGGCTCTTTAACAAATTATACTAGATACTAAACTTTAATTACATTCCAATCATCATAATTTTGAAGAAAATTGTCTTGAAATTAAAGACATAATATAATCATATTCAATTGAAGATTAAATATTACCTAAGATAATTGAGCTTATCGATCTAAAGATAGGTATTTGGAATGAATAGATAAATGGTTTAGAAAATATTTATGATTTAGAATAGTTAATAATAAATTATTCAAGTAAAATTTTAATTTGTTAAGATGCCTTGTAAGAAAAATTGTAAATAAATTTAATGAATTTAAATTAAATATAGAAAGCTCGAAATGTTATAGAATTAAGAATTGCATCTATATTTCATCTAATAATTTTAAATGATTATTATAGTTCTTTGTAATGTGAATAATAAATATCTGAGATATTAGCAATGGAGAATTCTCTTCCAAATGATGTGATTAGTAATATTGATATCCTTTAAGATAATTTATGTTTAATCATGATAAGTATGGTTAAAAATAGAGGGTTTATTAAAAATAATAAAAAATAATAAATAGCCAACTACTTTGGATTAGATGTCAAAGAAGTAGAAAGTGTAAATCATATTAATTTATTCATTCCTAAATTTATTGCTGATATTCATGAATTATTTTTGTAGTCTTATTTAGAAACAGCTCAATCTCCATTATTTAATTAATATTAAATTGTATTTAGTAAACAAAAAAATGAATTTGTATAAGCATAATAATTGAAATTAGAAAATAACTTTGATTTTATTGATGATTATGTAGTTACTGGATGTTTATCTAAAGTAAAATAAACATCAGAATTTATACTATTTGATGAAAATGGCAAGATTCTTTCAGTTACTTAAGGATTTTATACAGATATTATTTAATAATCATTTTAAGAAGATTTGAATGCTTAAACAATTAATTAATCTTACATATTTTTATTTTTTACAAACATCTTCTCAATTCTAGAATAATAAAAAGATAATATAAATTTATCTGAATTTCTTCAAGTAGAATTAATGACAACAATTACAATTTTCGAAAACTTATCAAAGATAATTCAATTTTTTAATGACAATAAAATTGCAACATAAAGTTCTATTGCATATTCATTAAGAAAAAGTATGTAAAAAACTGCAATTCTTTCTAATTCAAAGACTTATACAACTAAAAAATAATAAAAAGAAAATTTATAGACAGGAAGATATTATCTAAATAATAGTTTGAAATTGTCTGATGACATCTAATTATTATGTCCTAGTTTTAGATCTTAAGTTTTAGAATTTATGTAACAATATAATGTATTTATTATCTTTTACATTGTTTTAGAAATTTTAGTCAGTACAATATATTACAAAAATATCTTTGTAATATAGAACTATAGGAAAGAAATCTTCATCTAGATCATATTTTGTTATAGAAATTTTGGATTTTAGGAAAAAAGGTGCATATGCTGCCTCTTCTGTTATTTCAAAATAATACGATAGTATTTAAAATAATAAAAGTATTTATGTATTTAAGTAATTAGATATAAGTAGTGTATTAACTGATATTACAACAAGTGAAAGAATAGTTCAAAAAGATGAATTAAAGGCAAATGTATGATTTGTAATTATTTAGGAAATAATTGGAAGTCCTTTTAATCATTTATTAAATGATAGAGAATAGTTATTTGGTGTATTAAATTAATCTTTTTAAGAGAGTTAAAGTTTTGGTCCTTTATCTTAAAGAGCAAATTTTATATCCCCTAGATAACACTAACTGGATGATGAATTAAGGAAATTAGAAATAGAGTTATAAGATATTAGAATCAGTTTTAATGGTGGTGCATCAATATAATAATATGGAGGGGATGAAAAAGAATATGATGATTATAACAATGAATCGAAGTCAAATTAACCATAAAAGTCAAGCAGTTAAAAAAACTAAGAAAATAGTTATAAGATGTTAAGATTATTAACTAATTATAAAGATAAAGGAATTAAGGAGAGGGATGATCATCAATCATATTCTAGTAAAACTTCAGGAACTTCAAAATCATAATATATTTCAATAATAAAAAATTTTTAACATTCGAAAAATATGATCACAAGTCTAAAAATAATTTTAGTTTTAACATTAATTTTATTCTTTTGCTCTTTAGCTATTATTATAATTAATACTTAAGTTATTAAATCACAAATTATGCAATTGATAGATAGTAGTTATTCTCTTAATGCTCCTTTACTATTTAATAGGTATTTTTTTTAAAGTTATGCTTTGTCATGGACATTATTAATGAATGGTCTATAAATTGTAAAACAAAGTGATTTTTTAATTAACTAAACATTTATTAGTTTAAAACATTTGGGAAATGAAACTTTCGGAAATTTAGGCATTATGTATCCTAAATATATAGAGATTGAAAATATGGGATTATTACCTAATATTAGCATATAATTGCTTGGATTACCTAGGAAAACAGTTTCTTACACAGAATTTATAAATAATATATAAAATACACTTTAATATTTTTTTTAGATAAAATATTTTTCAAGCGAAGCCATGGATTAAGTTTTAGATATAAATTATGTTAATTCTGTTGTTACACTTAGATATAATTTAAAATATGTATTTGATATGAATAAAGAATTAATTTAATCATTAGATATTTTGAGTTATAACATGATTAAAGATGGAGCAATTTAATTATAATCTCTTACAATAGCAGAAATTTGTTTAATTTTTGCTATACATTTTATTTCATTATTTTTTTGGAGAAAGGTTGAGAATTAAAAATAATAAATTTTATTAATTAATGGTCGCCTTTAAGAGAATGCTGTTAATGAATTGATATATAAACATATCAACATAAAAACTATATTACAAATAACAGATTAAAAAAAAAATAATTGGAAGAAATAATAAATTTGCATGATATTCTAATAAGTATAGAATAATTAAGAAGCTAAATAGCAGTATTTAGAATCAAGATTTATTTAGTTAAATAAATCTAAAATTGACTAAAATAAAAAAAAAGGATAAGTAGGTATGCTAAATTCAAGAATTAGAAATACATCCTATTCTATTAAAAAATATATTTTTTTTTATATGGCAATCTTTTTGATATTAGCAAGTTTTTTAATGGGAGGCTTTTTGTATTAAAGTTCTTTAATGTTAAAACTATTACCTTAATAATAATTGACTCTCAATTTTGTTAGATTTTCATCTTACTTTGATACTTTAATAACAACAGCTTTAGTAATAAAAACTTAACCTTAAGTTTATCCTGGAATAGTATCTCATAAAATTTATACTTAAGCTTAAATGAATAAATATAGAGATCCATTAAAATAATTATTCTACATGTTTTTAGATGTATATGAAGTTTATGATTAAAATTTAACTGAAATCTATGAAGGAATTTTATTTTCAGAAGATATAGATGATTAAAAAAAAGAGATTTTATTAGGTTTATATGAAAGTGATATTTGTCAAATTATCAAATAATAGATCCCATTTTGTTAATATGATTCTTTAGGTGAGTCTAATTTTGTTTAAAAATATTCTTAATACTAGTCTTAAGATAATAATAGAAATTACTTATAAAATGGACTTGTTGGGATTACAAGTAGTGTTAGTTATTTTATAAAAACAAATTATGATTATGAAATTACAAGTATTACTTATGTTACAGATTTTAATGAACTTAATAAATTATATAAAACTTAAGAATTTAGTAATATAATCATAGAACATTTTAGCTCAACAATAAAAAGTACAGAATAGATTTTAGATATTATTTTGGAAACGAATGAAATAATTTTAAATGAATACTTAAAGCTTATTTCTATGTATTATGGATTAATAGGTAGTGGATTATTGATTCTATTTGTATTTTTTTTTTATAGGTTGTTGGATTAGACTGATGATAATTTTATTAATTTAAGATTAGGATTAACGTTAGTTCCAATAGAAGTTATAACAGATCAATACAATATTTAATTAATAAAATAAATAAATTGAGAATGATATAATATATAATCATTACTCTTAATTTCTTTAATTTAAGTTGATTTGTTCTGATTCTAAACCATCTTATTCAGGGTATATCTTTTAATAATTAGGTGAGTCTTAATAATTAACAGTTTTTTCTAAAAGAATAATATGATCAATTATTACATTATTTTGTTTTTTCAGAGTCAGAAAAAGGCAATAAAATCGGTTGATCACTAATTTCATTTAAAAATAATGGTGCTTAGGGATCTTATCTTCTTCTATTAATTCCCTTTCTTGTTTAATATCTTAGAGAAGCCCATAATTTTTTAACTTTATCTTTCATTTTTGCTTAGTTATAAAGCATCTTTCTACTCCATGGATACTTCTCCATAATTTCTGGATGATGTATTCTTAATTAATCTCTTATTTTATCTAATTAAGGTTAAAATTTAATTAGATATCCTTCAAATAGATAATAAATCATTAGAAAAATGAATGCAATATTAATCAGAGCAACAATTATAAGCATAATTATTTCTAAGTAAATAAGTCCTTCTTTAATTGATGAATAGATTAAAACACCTAAACATAATGAAGCTGCACATATTGCTGTTGATAATCTATCTATAAAATTAAGTCTTTTGCTTGAATAAGGATGGAATCTAACTGTAAATCCTCCATAAAAAAATACAATTAAAAATATAATTAAACCTTTAACAACAACTCTATCTTCATAAAATGTTAAGAAAATTATAATTAACTCTTTTTCAAAAATTTTAACAAATTCCCATAGATATCCTTCACTTGTATATTCATTATAAAAATAGCCCAACTTTTTTCTATTTTCAACCTTATCTAAATGATTTCTCATTTAATATACTAGAAACATAAAAATACAAGGAAATAAGAATGCCCAACAAATAAGCATAGGTGCAACAAATCCAGCCAACCAGATATAATGAGTATCAGTATCATATTAATATAAAACATCTGCTTAAACCCATCCAAGTCCTCCAATTTCTCTAGAAGATGCTAATGCAATAAAACCTCCAACTAAATTAGGCTATAGATATAAAAACATATAAATAAAAGCCGTATATATTATACCTTCTTTAAAAATGACTTTTTTGAGTAATACAGCTAAAAAGTATCCAAATAGAAAAACAGCTAAATAAATAATAGGCATGAGTATCGCCCAAATCAATCTAAAGTAAAGTATTTCAATACTAGTCATGGTAACTAAAAAACAATCTAGAGAGTAAGCCATAGATTAAGTTGGATTACCCAAAACTTAAGTAGCATTTGTAATACCTCCGCTTAAATTAATTTAAAATGTAGATATGGCTGAAAGAATTTAAAAATAGTTAGTAAATAATTTAATAAGAATTGCTAGATTACTTTCTGATGAAGATACAAGAATGCCCATTGCTTTTTTATTTTAAATTCTAACAAAATCTTCAAGCATTTAATAATTTCCTTTCACAGATAAAATCATTGAAAAAAGAGTTACAAACGATAATGCTGTTATTACTATAGCATTAACAGCTAAAGTATCAGCACATGGACCGCATTTATATTTGGCAGAAGTGGAATAAAATTCATCTCGTACTCCATATATATCACATGATTCACATAAGGCTCCCATATGACCAGTATAACATGAAGGATTTCCAGGTTTCCAACCTCCATTACAATTTTCAGGTAGATTTAAACAATATGTTACTATTTCACTGTCAAATTATGGTCTCCAGTACCCCTATTTTAATTTAATACCAGCTGGACTCACATCATCCATTGTAGTAGAATCAATTGCTTAACATTATGTTTATTTTTCACTAACAGAGTATGTTTTGTCAGCTTTTGTACAAGCTTTGCATTGTTGTAAAGAATATGCTTCTCCTAATTGACATGGCAGGGTTTTTACATTTACATATAGTGCATAATTTTGATTATATGATTAAATCTTATAAGGAGATACTGTTTAGTAAACTGGAATCTTTATCGATGTACAAACAACTAAAAATGTGAAAATAAATATATATACATCTCATTTATAGGAATAGATTATCTTCTAAATAAGGGTCAAATGTAACAATAAGAGAATCAAAATCAAAAGCTCCAGTCTTTTAATCATAATAGACAATTTATTGATTTGTAAAGTTGGATAAAAATTCTTTAGTGGTGTTAAAATTATTAATATCCATAATTCTAGCTTATAAAGTACATGATTCAGTTGAGAGTATGTTTGACATAGGTTATTTATATCTATCTAAATTGATCAATTTGAATTACCATTCATAAGGTACTTGTTCATCAGTTTCAGAATAATAATATTTATAAGAATTAATAGCTTAACCTGATGGTAATAGTAAATAAGTTGTAGGTTCTTTATAATTAAATAATTGATATGAATCTAATGAGATGATATCAATAATAGTGCTTTTAGAACTATCAATAAATCCATCATTATTAACATCACCATCATAATCTTAAAAAGTAATAGTTTTCAACAGTTAATTAGTTTTCATAGATATGGTTAAACTTTAAGGATATTCTTCAAGATTATCTCCTCTTAATAGTCCATCATTATTTTGAAAGAAGATTTCGATAGAAGTAACATTACCAATAGATCCTCCTGAAATAAACATACCTCCAGCTAATTAAGCTACATTACCCTCTATTGTGTTATCAGCTATATTTAGAGCAGTAGCAGTGTTTTTATATGTACCACTTTTATAATAAAGGGCTCCTCCCATCAAACTGGCATAGTTATCAGTAAATTCAGAATGAATTATCAAAGCATCTAAACCAATTATAGAAAGTCCTCCTCCAACTTTGGCAGAATTGCTTATGAATGAGGATTTTGATATAATTATAACATTTTTTAATTTAAGTAAATCTTCAACCACAGTTAGAAGTCTTTTTGAGTTTGATAATGAATAATCTGTTAATGGAATTGTTTATTCAGCTTCATTTATCTCATTATCATATGTTAGTACTAAACATCCATAATAACCAGCCTGATTAGAAAGACATCGAAAGTCATTTATTTCAATAACAGGATAAGTCTCTTAATGAATTGTTAAAATTTATATTAAACCATTTACACATCTTAAACATCTATTATTTTCAATTGTAACTTATTCTATAGTTAAATACTACTTATTTGTAACTGATCCTAATTTAAATAAACCAGTAGTTATTTTAGAATTTTAATTATTGTAATTATTTAAAAGTTTACCTAAGTAGCAAACTAAAAAAGAGTTATTTTCTTCATCTGAGAAAGTTGTAAAAATTCTAAAAATTAAATTTAAATTAATAGCATCCTATAAGTAATGATAAACCATTAGGTCTTAATTTGGTTTATCTACTTAATATTTAAAAGCATCAGTTAATGCTATATAATAAGTATCCATATCTGCAAAATACATAGGATTGGCGTCATTACTGTACTTATATAAAATATCAGGTAACCCTTCAGATCTAAAACTTGAATCTAATGTTTCAACTGTTAAACAGGTTTGTTCAAATAAAATATTTTATTTAAAATAATCAACAAAATAGGAGTCAGAATTGCAAGAATCAGTTTTAGAATCAAATTAGATATGATCTAAAAATTTCGTTGAAGTTAGTGTTATAACTCCAGAAATATCATATAAAGTAATAGAAACAATACTATTAATGAAAATGATATTTTTAGAGATTGTAACATCATTGATTTCAACTTCAACCATTTCTTCTAAAGTTAAAACAGCAACAAAATGAAGTTCTTTAAAGATGGTTGATGTAAGAGTAAATCTACCATAACTCTGATACAAATTAGATGATTTTGTATATAAATATTGATCATCAATAGAGGATCTATCAGGTAGATTTCTAATGAAATTTCCAATATTATTTTATGAAAAGGATGATTTAGTTATACTAACCCTTGGTAGTATTGGGGATGAAGTTGAGAATGGCATATATAAACCTGATGTCTTAAGACCTTAACAATTTGTAAATTTAGAATTGCTTATATCAACAGATGATTAATAAGTTGAAGGATTCAAATATAAACATCCTCCATCTATTCTAGTCACACATTCTTGCATATCAACTCTGTCAATTATAAGATTTAATTTAGATTTAGATGAATCTATATATAAACAACCTCCATTAGAAGAATATTGATTAAGTAAACTATTGTATTATCTATTAAATTGAGTATTTATGATAGTTATATTACCAGCATCTATAGTTTCTATCATCATGCCTGCCCCTTATATTGCTTAGGCTTTATCAAATATAGTATTCTCTATTTCAGTGTTTGCTGACTTTATGAATATGTTACCTCCAGTACTATAGATTGGGAAATACTATTCAAGTGTTATGATGATTTCAGACTCATCTGATTAAGTAGAAGTAAAATTTACTATTTATTATTCTTCCAATCTATAAACCCATTCTTTTTATCTTATATTTGTATTTGTGAATTTACAATTAATAATCTTAATAGAATATGTAACAACATATATGATACTATTATGGACTCTAGTAACACGATTATCTTCAAAAATAGTATTTCTTATTTCAAGAAATGATAATGGAGCTTGTATTATAAATATTGGAGAAGAAGGAGATAATTGATCAGTAATTAATGAATGTAAATGATTCTGTAAGAACTCACAATCTTAAATTATTAAATCTTAATCCTACCCAGAATTAATATATATTGAACCTATTGCTGTTCCAGATTCTGTAATCGTCAAAGAGTTTCCTATTAATTTAATATTTTTTAAGATTATCAATTCTCTCACCGTATTATCATAAAATAAACCATCATCTTTTATTATTACATCACTGGTTGTATTAAACTATTCAGCATCCCAAGATTTTATTTATATAAAATTAGTATCTATTGATAACAATCTTCTCATTATTACATTCTCTATATTTACTCCTATATCAAAATCTGCTATATATAAAAAATGTTCATTATAACTTTTAAATTCAGTTTTTCTATCAGCACAATCTTTACTTGTTGGAATCTTATTATTTGTTGGATTTAATTGAGCTCCATAATATTACTCTTATGTCCAATCATATAAACCATCTATTAATTAGAAGGATTGAATTTTATATACTGCTATTTGAGTAATCCCAAAATTATTTAAAGATTAAAAATTAGAAACTTATATTTTTTACATTGCTGTCATTAATATTAATGCAGATAATACAGAATTCGATTCCTTGTCAGTCAATTTCATTGAATTTGTTTATTCGATATAAATATCTACTAATGATATATTTGTTAAATATTAATAGTTATTCAACGGAGTTGAAATTTTTATAAAGCAAATTGGTGTTAAGCATATTGAATTTATTAATTTTACATTACTAAATAAAAAATATTACAATCCTTAAGATGCATAAAATTCATCTATTACTTTGTAACTATTCTAAAATAAACGACTTTCTGAATAAAATGAACTGTTTAATGAATAAATGTTTCTTAAATAAAATGAATTTGATTAAACAAGTCTTGAGCTTTCAGTAAAGTTGCATCTAATAATATCCATTTTATCTATTAAAGTCTGATTTTAAGATTTTAAATTTACAAACCAACTACTTGTAAACATTGTGAACTTAAAAACTACTTTTCCAAAATTAATATATCCACTATTTACTGGTGAACCTTCTGGTTCTCCAAAAATTGTTGTTTATGTTAATTTACATTTATGGAAGGTCATTCCTTTAGTACCAATACTTTAAATTACAGATCGGACATTAGAATTTCTAGTAGGTGAAAAGAGAACAGTATCTTCAAATTCACATGAATCAAATATAACATCATCAAACATATAATTGATGGTATTTATATTTTGTAAAGGATAAGTTAGCTAAAACAGATCAGTGGTTTTTAAACCACTGAATACTACTTTTTTCCAATTAATCATATCAACATTTTCAGCCAAGAAAAGCATTGTTACATATTTTATATCTTTAGTAAATTTAAAATTTTCTAAACTTAATTTTGTTTTTACATTTTAAGAAATATTTAAACCTGTATAGGGATATGTACTATTAGAAGTAGAAGCCTTAATTTCAATTCCTTTAATAGTCAAATAATCAGACCATGGAATACTTAATAAACCATTTAACATAACAATTAAAGGAGCCTATGTAGAGTCTGTTTCTCCAATGATATTTACATAAAATTATCTAATTGAAAAGACATTCTTTTGTAATTCAAAAATGAAATTAGTACTTGAATCAAAGTTGCATAATTTAGTTGAGCTAATTAAATAGATATTTAAAATAAGAGAACTGATTACTTTTTAATTAAGTTCTTTATAGAGAGTCAAAGTTTCAATTCCATCCAAAGTAATATTAGTAGGATAAATTGATGATGAGGACATGGAATAGAAATAACTTAAACTCAATATATATGGTTTATCTGCAGTAGTAGCTTAACCATAGGCATAGGTATACTCACTATTACTGCAATATAATTTTATATCAATTTTAGCATTTTAGACACACTTTTTACTTTTACCTGAAACATAGTCACATTCAACTGGCATATTTAAGTATGTATCGTATGTAACTTATTTATTAAGTGCTACATATCCATGATAGGAATAACACAATCTGCTGTATTTTTATAAAATAGAATTTGAAGGTGAAAAATAATAATTGACTCTATTAAGTTCATCTAAAGTTCTCTCCCTACAAGCATTACATAAATAGGGACATGTTTAACATTCTGATAATTCTGAATTTAAAGATCTATCTCTTTGATAATTGAAACATTATCCACAATAAGCTCCATCACTTTGATATTCACAAGCATTCGATAATGAAGTTAATGGATTATTAGCAACTTTACTTGGATTTGAAATTACACAATTTTTAGTACATCCAACACATTTATTACCATACTTTGAAAATCCAGTGGTACATGATGAACAAAATGGTTCTTCCAGACTAGTGGTTAAGTATTTTGATTTTTTGAATGTGTCCATAACAGTTTTTTGTAAAATGAAACTAGTAAAATTATAATCTTAATTGTATTGAGAACATGAACTACAATAAGATTGACAAGGTAGACAAGCATTAGAAAAGAAATCAGCATAAAAACCTTCATCACAAATTAAACAGGAATAAACTTTTTAAGTATCTCCTGTTTACTACGTTCCACTTGCATCATAGTAAGTGACAACATCATCAGAAGGACTATCGTATGAAATACAATATGAACAATTATCTATTTAGTCACTACATCCTAAAAAACACATTCCCTATTAAGTATCTAAAGAATATCCCTATAAATATAACTCAAATATAATACTGCTGAACATTTAATGCACTTATAGTTAGTACCACTAAATTAATGGGAAATGCAATTCGCTATTTTCTTAGCATCAATTACAGCAGAACAAGCAGTGCCTGCCTCTGACAAAACAAAATTCGTTTTACAGTATAAACACATGCTTACAGGATCTGAATCTGTATCTCTATTATAAGGTTAAAAATCAAGATCTATAGTATTTCTCGTTTAAGTTGGTGTTGCTTTCAGAGATATTTAATAATATCCAATATCACAATTACTAATTTGAGATGGTACACATTATTAACCATCATAATTAAGAATGTCATTGCTTTATTAACATTGTCTGCAAATTTTAACATAATTGTCTTAATTTGAAGATTCTATTTCTAAGAAAGACCTAGTTGGATATTTAATATCATCATTAGCTATTGAAACATATTCACATCTTAAACAATTAGCATCACATGCTTCACAAGTATTTAAATCTAAACTAGGTATATAACCTGTATTGCAAGCTCTACATTTTTATTATTCTGTGCTTCCATTAATTACTGTATAACATATACTACAATTGTTTGTACACTAAATACAACTTTTAGTCTATTCACTTAATCTATATCCATCTTAACATGATAAACAATTATCAGTTTAACCAGAACCAACAATACTACTGCATTTACTGCAATATTTAATAGAACAACTTTCACATTTATTTATCTTCATATAATATCCTTCTACACATTCTACTGCAATCTTATCGAAATCTACTTTTTAGTAATCATGACCAAGAGTATAGCATGTACTTTCATCAGGAATCTTACAAAAGTCCTTGCATCCTGTGCAAATATAAACTGCGTATTTCATTTATCTTATTCTTCCTATTGTTCCTGTCCAAATTCCCTATGAAATTGAATTACCAACAAAAAATAATTCAGGATAATCTCTTACTACTTTCTGATAAGTTCCTTCACCTAACTTACCATTTCCAACTTCATAATCATATGTACATTTCCTACTGAATTCCCAACCATACGGATCTTCAAAACAATCCATACAATAATTCACTAAGTCAGAATTAATGTTGACCTGATAATAAGGACTATGTTATTTATAACTCTATTACCATTAAACACATTCAGGAGGCTTTGTTTCTGAAGCTCCCAATGTAAATAAAAAATAACCATACTCACATTTCGGAGTAACAGAATTGCAATCTTCTACTCCTAAAATACACAATTCTTAACATCCTGACATTGTTTCTTCAATACAACCCACGTCTTTCTACTAACTAAGCTTTCTTAATCAATAAATTACCTGTAGTATTATCCTGCAACTATTAGTATTAAATTAGAAAACTGTAATAATAATATGTTCATCAATTGATTAAATTAAAATCAAAAATTTATTAATTTACATCAGCAGTTATATAATCAAATTTTCTCACCAAATAAACAATTTCTTGTTAATTATATTTATTTTTATTTTAATGGATCAACCGCAACCCCATTCAAATACTAAATTTATGAAAAAATTGTCAACTATCAAATGCTCTGTTCCTATCTTAATTGCATTATCAATTTTATCAGTCATCTTTGCCTTTTTAGGCTATTTTAAAAATAACAATTTTGAATTTCTTATTTTAGCAATCTTTGATGTAAATATACTAATTATCATATTTAGATCGCTCTTCTTTTCATTTTGATTATTACATTATACTTTGTATTCACACTACAATTAGATGAAGATGGTAATCCTGAAGAGAATAATACAACATACATCTTACAATTTGGATTGTAAAGCATAAGTGCTATCACACTTGGAATCATTATAACAATCATACAATATAAAACTCATTTGACAAATTTATGGTTTATTGGTCTTTAAGTAATAAAGTTGATATTCTTACTCTACATTATCAATAAAACAAAATAATTTAGTAAAACATAAAATGGAATTCACAGATTCACTTTAGCTTTCACAGCTTTATTGAATATTTTATTTTTGTTGTTTGCAGCAACTAATTTCAAATTCGTAAAATAATCTTTTTATATAATAGTTAGTCTATTTAATAAACAATCAAGTCTTTTAACTAGATCAAAATAACACAATCATTTTGTTTATGCAATATGGATTATTTGCTTTATTAATGGCTACACTCTTAATAAGTGTAATTTTAATTTTTAGAGTCTAAAACTATTTCTTGATTGTAGCCTTTTTAGTAGTTACAGCTTTGATGATTGCAGCCACAGCTAATGGAATGATGATAAGGTAATATTCAATACTATAAAATGACATTTCTACACAAAAAGGTTGTAGATATGCGCTACAAAGTCTTGGAGTTTAGACAGTTAAATAATTTTTAAAATGTTCAGAAAAATACATAAATTAAAAATAATCGCCCTATTTACCATGTTCTTAAGAAAATCAATCCTATATGTGGGAATCTAACATGGATTAAATAGCATGCATTAATTTGGATTGTTGTGACTCACTTAAGGATTTTATTAATAAACCTTTATATCATTTGACTGTTTGGATTAACATTATTGTGGCTATTGGAATTATTTAAGCATTTAATACAGCTATGTTATCTAAATTTGATCTTGGTAATAAAGAATAAAATGTGATCACAGATTTATTAATGTTATTACTATTTTTTGGATTATTCTTTGGAATTATTGCTGTTTATAATTCTATATCACCTTAACAATTATAATTATAGGATTAAGTTGTAGAGTAATTATTTTATTAATTTTTCATATAGAAAACCTTTACTTTTAAATTAATTAACAGTTCTTGATGTACCAACATATAAATATTTCAAACCATAAAAATCTTTTGGATCTTAAATGTCAAGTACAGACATTTGTGAGCTGGCCACTAACTTAATGTTAACAAAAGTTAATTTCTAACCTAAAAATAATTTTAAAAAGCCTGGGTAGAATTATTTTTTTATTCTAGAATACTTCTTGGTATTTTAGGCCAAGGAGGATCATTTTTAATTAACAATGAAATTAATCTAAGTGATTTAAAAATTTTAACAACTGAAGAATTGATAAAAAAGGCATTTCCTAAAGCTAATAAACCAGAATAAGATGCTATAATTGTAGAAGGTTCTCTAGCTTCTGTTAGTCATTTTTTAGGTTCATGCTTATAATTTTGTTCTGATGAACCTGAAACAGCTGATTTCACTATACTATAAGAATTTTATGAAATGGAAAATGATAAAAAAAATAGAGTCCTAAGCATAGATCCTTAACTTTAAAAATAATTTAGCAAAATTGTACCTTATTTGAAAATCACTGCAAATGTTCAGAATAGTGAAGATTTTTCAGCAATTTCAGATGCTGAAGGAAAATTATTCTATGGAAAGTTTGTCTATACAACTTGTTAAATTATGGAATAAGTAGAATCGCCATTTTTATCATTCAAATCTGATGTAGATGGATTGCTCAATTTTTATAAAGTTGCTACTAAATAAGTTTATACTTTATTAGTCTAGAAATAAGGTTATAAAAATGCTTGTGCACTTGTTGATTTAACTTAATTATCACCAAAAACTTAAATTTATGTAAGAATGGTTAAGGAGGTGAAAAAACATTCAATGAAGATTACTTTAGAATGGACATCTAAAAATTTAAATTTAGATTTGTATGGTCAATTCAAAGGAGAAAATTTTGTTTGTTTAACTGGATCTATTTCTAAATCTTGTGGAGGTATGAGTTTATAAAGTAAAAATGAAAAGGATTAACATATTGAAATTTTAACTATTGAATAAATATAACCTTTTACTTATTTAATCTTTATTAAGAGATTTATGGAGAGAACATAAGCTTTGGATGAAAGAGTAGTAAATGTATAAGATTGGATAGAATCTAATCCAGTTGTAACAATATATGTTTATGAATTAGATTATCCACTTGTACAATATAGGTTGCCTTCAAGTAAATATAAATATAATTCATAATAGTACCAATGTCTTTTAGGGACAAAATTGACTTTACTTGGTTAGTTTTTTAATTTGATGGATAAGTTGGTGATGGTCCAATTGAACTTAAAACTTATTGGTCAGAAATATCAAACGAGAGTATAAAGAATAGCAAATCTTATAAAAATAAATTTTGGCCTTCTCCTGTTATGATAGAAAACAAATGATTTATATTTTATTATTATTATTATATTATAATAATTCAAATTTTTAATAAAAATATTTAATAAATGCTCATTCACATTCAAATGTTTTTAAAATTAGGTTTTCTTTTTTCTACAAAAGCTTTCACACCTTCCTTTGCAGCTTTTGTATTTAATAGACTATTAAATATTTATCTCTCAACTTTATTGGCTTAACTTATAGGCATTTCTTCAGCATTTTTGATAGCTGCTTTTGCTGCAATAAGTGTGTATAATGATTTCTCACTTATTCTCTTAGCAATATTGATACATTCCTCTCTTAATAATTCTTTTTTAACAACAGAATTAACTATTCCTCTTTAATAAGCTTCTTAAGCTGATATATTATCAGAAGTTAAGATATATTTCATAGCATTAGTCTTACCTATAAGTTTAGTCAATCTTTGAGTTCCTCCTAATCCTGGGATGAAACCTAGTTTTAGTTCAGGTAAACCTAATTTACATTCTTCAGTAGCAACAATGATATCACCATTTAAAGCTAATTCAAGTCCTCCTCCTAAAGCAACTCCATTTATTCCAACAATTAATGGTTTTCTAATAGATTCTAAAACTTAGAATATATTCTAAAAAATATCTCCTTTCAATTAAGATTCCAAACTAATATTAGAGATATCCTTTATATTAGCTCCAGCACAAAATAGCTTATCTAGTTTAGACAATAAGATTAAAACCTAAATAATTAAACATCTTATTACTTTAATATTAATATCCTAATCTAATTCTTGGATAGCTAAGGCAAGATCCCTTTTCATTGGTTCAGATAAAGAATTCAGGTCATTAGGAGAATTCAAGTAAATTAAACCTATTTAATCTGATTTTAGTCTTTCTACAATTACTTTTTCATATGAACAGAAATTAGTATGTAATAATGCTATTCTTTGCATATTATATAAAATTTAATTATTTTTATAATAAAATATTAGAAATCGATATTCATAATATAAAGAATAATTAAGTGAATATTTGTTTATATCTAATTCTTTATTTAATATAAATTATTAATATTAATGTATCCACCACCTCCACCTCCACCATATGGTTATACTCCTGGATAGTATCCTCCACCTCCTCCTGCATATGGATAAAATCCTTATCCATAACAACCAGGATATTAACCTCCTCCTGCTGGTTATCCATATCCACCAACTCCTGGTTATCCTCCTCCTCCTATTGGTGGATATCCATAACAAGGTTATCCACCTGCTCCTGGCTATCCACCTACTTAACCTGGGTATGTTCCTCCTCCTAATTATGTTTAACCATACCCAGCATAACAGTAAATCATTTTTATTATTCATTCAGATATCCTGCTTAATATCCTGTTAATCCTATGGTCATCCCATAAGGATATCCAGGAACTAATGTTTAAATCAAAATAAGACCTAATTGTTATTTGTAATAATATATTTAAACAACAGATGTGGAGGAACTGGCTTCTATGTGAAGAAATGTTAAAGAAAGTAATGCAAAGATTGTTTATGGGCTATGGGAGTATGTCTAAAATGTAATGGAACTGGATGGAATAAGAAAGGAAAAGTTTGCAAATGCAAAATGTATAAAATATATTGATTCATTCAAATACAATATTTGATTCCATCTTCAAATACTTTATTTCGATATTTTGATGTAAATTAAAATATATTTAGTCTACTCTCTTTAATTCAATTTAAGAATATCATTCTTTTTTCTTTACTTCATATAAATTACCTAATTCATATAAATTGTATACTATATACTAAAATATCCATTTAAATGAAACTACTACTCTTTACCTTAATTTAATATTTTACCTTATAACTAAAATCAGTCTACTTTTATTGAATTGCTAACAAAATTAGAGAGTTTGAACTTTATTTTGTTTAATAATATTTTTGTTAATAATAATCACAGACTTTCATTCTTAGCAGAAAAGCCTATTACAAGTGTGATTTCATTCCAAAATAGTAAGAATATATTTATGATCTATTCATAAATGACAATGAATTTGATCAAGATAAAAATTTAATTAAATAGTTTAACAGTGCTAAAAGAGAAAGAAAAACTATTGAAGCACATAAACAACTACTTGAAAATAGAGTTGCAATCTTAAAATTAGAAGCAATTAGAACTTTTAAAAAAATAAGGGAAACTTGTAAAAAGGTTTTAGAAATTTATTATCTTAAAAAAAAAAGAAAACAATAAATTTATTTAATTAATTAAATAATCTTGAAAGAGGATGAAAAAAATAATTATAGAAGAAATAACAACAATAATAAAAATTTAGAGAGAGACCATAAATTATAAATAACAAACTAAAAGTTTAGATAAAAGAAAAATAAGCTCTCAAAAATAATCTATATAATCTCTTAAATAAAAATTAGATAATGAGAGAATCAAGAGATTTTAATAGAATCAAAGAAAGAATTGTTATTGAAAAATGTGAAGCTATCCAAGAATAATATAGTTATGAAATTAAAATATGAAAAAAAGTTAAAAGGTGGAAAATAAAAAGGTAATTATTAATAGCTACTTTATAAATTGAATAAATTGAACCATATGAGATGGATTTATGATAAAAATTACAAAATACACAATAAATTTAAAAAGCACTTTTGAAGACTTAGAATCAGTTTTAACAATGACTCCTAATGAATTTGCAGAAAAGTATTCACAACCTAAATAAAAAGAGTAATCAATATATATTTTAATCCAGAAATCAATTGATGAGAACAAATTTTAAAACCATTAAGTCAGACTTCATTTGGATAAGTCTGATAAAGATGAATCTTCAAAAATATCTATTGAATAGATTAATGAAATAAATGAACCTATTCAATAAAATGATATGAAGTTAGAGATGAAAATGACATATAAAATTAAGTCAGAAAAGAAACTTAAACCAGTTAAGATGATTAAAATAAATAATAATCATTACCTAAAGATGAAAAATAATTCTAATTAAAATTAAATCTCAAATGTATTAGATTGACCGAAAAGCTAAAATATTCAATATAATCAATAAGTGGAAGAGGAATAATGATTTTGTATAATTATCACTCTTTAAATGATTTTATATGTCATAGATGATATATGCTTTTGAATGAATTTTATAAGTTATTATTTCTTAAAATAAAAATTTATTATTTATCAATACAATTCAAATAACATTATTTCATAATTCAAAATAGGCTTATAAATTCAATATATGCAAATAAACATTTAATGAACTACCATTATTATTATAAAATAGAATTTATTTTACAAAAGAATTTGAAAATTTGACTTTCACAATTGATGTGGCAGCAGTGTTTTCATAAATTAATTCTTTAGATCCTCCTAAGCCTAATATATAGATTTTTAAATCAAAGGTTCTCAAATATGAATCTCTATCATAGACCCAAAATATTATTGTATTTATTTCATAGGTTTAGAGCAAATCAATTATCATATATACACCTATCATTTAAGTAGTATATCCTTTTGATCCATCTACTAAATATACTTCAGATCTTAATGGACTTCGGTTAAACTAATTTCCTGGAAAACTTATTTGATATCTATTTAAAAGCAATGCTCCTTTTTATTCTTATAAAACATTTTAATAATATCCTCTTATTTTTGATCGAAAACGCTGAATTTTATATTGTTAGCAAATACATGGATCACTACATGAATAGGTTTTTATTACAAAAAAGTAATTTAGAAGCAATAAGGATAAAATAATATTCATTTAAATTCAATATAAAATTTTATGAAATAAAGTAACAGAACAAACAGCATTAATAAATGAATTACCATAAAATATTTAGATAAATATCTTGAGATTTATAAAAAAAAACTATTTACTAAGAATAAAAATAACAAGGTTTATAATTTAATAATTATTCAATTAACATCATTGAAGTTTATATGAATATATCGAGTAGGTTTATTATAATTGATCTAAAAGTTATATTTACTCTCAAATTATGAATTAAATTAATTTAAAATTAGGTTAGAAGAACTTTTGATATTTAGAGTTATACATCAAGGTTGGATATTATTGTATAAGAAAAAAATTTCAAAGTGTTTAACAACTTTTAAGTTTGCAGATATCAATATTAAATCAATAAATATGATAATTAAAAGCAGAAGCTTATTATATTAGTAGTTAATTCTTGTTAATAAATAATTTTATATTTTTGAAGAATATGAGGGAATATATTTCCTTCATTATTTATACTCATTTTTCTAGAAATTAAACACTTAAATAATCAAAATGATAATGTTATTTAGGTGAAATAAATTTATTATACTAGAATAAATACTTTTAATAAAAGTAAGTAATTAGTTATCTAAATAATTAATTACTCTTAACATAATATCGAATATAAATATAATAGATTGCCATATATAAATGTATTCATAAAAATAAAAGTATGAAGTTGAGTATGCTAGAAAAATGCATAGATAGATAGATATATATATTTATATTGTACAATAGAAATTCATCATTCCTTTTTCTCTTCTGCTCTAATTTTACCTTTTCCATTAGTTAATCTAACATTAAGTTCAGCTGCTCTTCTTACAAGAGTAGCTCTTTTTCTAGCTGAAAGATTGTGTGCTAATTCACCTGCAAAAGTTCTATTATTTGTTAGCAATAATTCAAGATCTTTTTCATTGGTAATTAACAATTTTCTGAAACCAGCTTAATCTAAGTATCTAAAATGTCATTTGATTTCACAATACCTTGTCTTTTTGTCACCTCTATAACCAGCTTTTGGCATAGGTCTATTTCCTCTAAATCTTCTTCTGACTCTGTTATCAATACCTCTTGGTCTTCTCCAGCTTGGTCTTAATTTGTGAGGATAGTCTTCTGATTCAAATCTAACAAATCTCTTTGTTCTCTTATGAACTATTCTTTTATGAGCAAGTGACTTGACAACCATATTTTAATTAAAAATAAAAGATTTTAATTCAAAAATTCTTCATCATTTTCAAGTATATATTTCTTTATAAATTATTGTTTTTATAGGTTTCATCTATACTTTACCTTTTACAAAAACATAATACAAATGTTTGTACATTTTTTAATAAAATTTTGACACTTATCACATCAATGTAATTTAGTTTTAATGATAATAAATAATAACATCATTATTTTTATAAATCTTCAAAGTATATAATATATTATGAATTATAATTCAAATTCAAATATCACATTATTCCTTGGTTTCCCTCCAAAAATTTCAAAAATATTAGTGATGATTAGAGAATTAATGGATTTGTTTGAGATTTAAAGTGAAGTTTAAATCGTATTTAAATATCCACTATATAAACAGTGGTTATAATCATATAAAATTGAAATCATATTATTCATAGGGTAATACTCTGTGAACTATATATTCTTGATCTTCTAATTCTCTTTTTTTTAATTGTTTTCTTTTATATTTTTGGAGTGTTATTTTCATCTTAAGAAGTCAGCTCCTAAATTTTAGTACTAATTTTGCTGATTATCTAAGACTATTTGATTTTTATACATGTTTTATATTTTCAGATAAGTTTGATGTATCTTATGAGTAAAAATTTCTAATTGCCTCATACAATTCATATTTTTGGTAGTATAGAAAGTTAGAATCAAGAGTAACAAACAAAACTAAGTCAATTTAGACGGCTTCACCATCATAATAATCAGTTATAGTTGTGATATTTGCGTCATACTCAATTAGAGATAGTATACTCACTTCCATATCTATAATTTCTGTAGAACTATATTAAGATTAACATTAGTCTACACAGTCTTGGATATTCATCTATATTTTGTTTTGACATTCATTGAACTATACATAAATATATATTTTTTTACTTTTACTGCAATCATTAATGAAGCTATTCCTAACAGTTCTGCTCTGTCAGAATAGATTTATTATTTCGTAAGATATAATTTACTTAGAATGGCAGCTAATTCAATCGTTTTTATTTCCAAATTATTTTACTCGCCAACCTAATACATAACTAAATATCAAACCTAAAAGATCCAATGTATAAGCATTTCCAACATCTAAAGATTATGTTCAGGAATGCTGTATTCCAATTTAATATCTCTCATTTTAAGGTAGTTATAGCGATCCAAATCCATGACTTTTTATAATATATTATAATTTGAAAAAAATTAAACCAAAAAAAAAATCTTGTAGTGCAAATTATTTATTTATTTTCTAACCATACAAAACACTGTATCTTTAATAAAGGAATTTTCCTAATCAATATTTTTCTTGTTATTTAAATATTTGAATAAGAATATTTATTCATTTATTTAATAGCATAAAATTATGTAATAATATTGTAATTTATATTAATGTAAGAATTTTATAATTAGAGTATAATTCGTATTATTTTAATAATCTCTTATATTTTATGTTGCATTCATAATCCTAAAAAAATACTCAAATTTTTCTCTCGAAAAATTGAACACTATTATTTTAGGTTACCAAGTCTATCTAGAATTCATAAGATTTATAGAAAATATATTAATACTATTATGAAATAATATTGTTTTGTTTTTATTAATTTATTCAAAATGCATAGAATGCTTGGATCTTAATGACTAATAATGCTTGAGTGCCTGAAATATCACTAATAAGTATTGACTTGACTAATTGATCGTCAAATGTGATTCTATATATTCCACCTACAGCTGAACTATTATTATAGACTTCTGTTAAAGAGTCATCAGGGTTAACTAATGTTACTTTAAATTTATATGTGATTGTAGTGAGATCATAAAACCATATTACAATAGTGTTTATTTCATATTCTTACAATAAATCAAGTTGTATTTTTCCTGATGCAGGTGCCGAAACATATCCTTTACTATTAAGAGCAATATCATATATGGCATCTCTTAAAGGACTATTATTAAATTGATCCCCATAAAATGTTAACTGTCTAGCATTTGAAATTAAAGCTCCACTTCTTTCATTAACAACATCCTAATAGTCTCCACGAATTTGTGATCTTTCCATCAAAATCATTAAATCTTAATCCGAGTAGGATGTTGCTGATTAGACAACAACTAATATTAAAGCAGCTATAATTATAGTTTATTTCATATATTTATTAATGATTTTATATCTTAAAATTAATTAATAATAGTCCCTTAATATAAATCTCATTGTTCCAAATCAAAATCAAGTAATAGAAATAAATTCTATAATTGCTCTGGTGTACATTTTTAATTAATTTCTGGAATCAAATTTTGATAACTAGGCCCATATTGTTGTGATATAACATCACAACTATTTTTTTCTCTTATACTTCTAAATACTTGATATAATTTTAAAAATTAATCATTTCCAAAAGCTTATTCCAAATTCATTCTTAATTTTTCTGCTCTTTCAAAACTTAATTTAATAATAGGCTTCTATGCAACCTATGTTTCTTATGGTATATATTTTTAACTTTCTTATTTTTTTATCACTTATTTTTCTTGGCTTTATACATCTTGAGTTTATTATTTTTCAAAAGTTTCTTTCTCTAAGTTTTTTTCATTATTATTATTATTATCTGTTTCCAGAAACTATGGTTATTAAATTTGTGATTATTCTTATTGCAGCTATTATTATTATTATTATTATTGTTGTTATTATTATTATTATTATTATTATTATTATTATTATTGTTATTGTTATTATTATTATAATTCTAATAATTCAGATCTTGATATAGATGGCAAATATATTTCAACTGGTATATCTCTTCTTTTTGGTTATTTTTTATCAATTTAAGTAATTTATTATTGTTACTCTTATTTTATTTTTGGTTGCCCAAATAATTCGATTACTACTTCTTAAGGTTTTTATTAACATTTCTAAATTTGAGAAAAAGATTACTTTTTTTTAGATGTCTTCTCGCATAAATTTTTATAATTCTTCTCGAGATGTTTTTTTGTTTTAAGAATATTCCTCCTTTTTAATAACGACTTAGTGTTACTGTTTCTCTAATTTAAGAATGAATTGTACTTTGCATAGGTTAGACAGGAACTTTAATGATTTATTACTGTTTAATATTTAATTATTTAATTCTATTTTGGATTAAAGCATTTTCTAAAATATATAAATTTTTATACATAGAATTTATTCAATTGTTGGTCTCTTATTTGCATCTAATTACAATAGTTAAGATATTAAATTTTTCATATTTTACGAGTATAATTAAGCACTTATTGGTTATATTTTAGCTTTCATTATTTTATTAGCTAAGGCAGGTAAAGAGTCAGCAGTAAAAGGATATTTAAATGTACACATTTCATATAAAAGTACTCCTAAAGACCATATATCACTTTTATAAGAATAAGGTTAATTTTGTATTATTTCTGGAGAAATATAATAGGGAGTGCCTACAAATGTAGTTGCCAAATCTTATTCAACTGACCTAGCAATTCCAAAATCTCCTAGTTTAATTTTATCATCATGCAAAAAAACATTTTCTGATTTGATATCTCTATGAATTATCTTTTAAGAATGCACACATTACAAGGCTAAACACAATTGTGTAAACCAATCTATAATTTAAGCTTCAAGTAAAGGTTATGTTCTTGATTTTAAATACTAACCTAAAGTACCATCTATAGAATACTATAAAATTTGATTACTATTTGCATATTCCATAATTAAACATAATCGATCTTTATTATCAATAAAGGTTTCAACATATTAAATAATGTTATCATGTCTAAGATTTTATAATATAGATGCTTCTGTATTAGCTGAAATTGATTGAGGTACAACTTTCATTACATATTTTATTTCATCTTAATCATCAGATGTAACAAGATATGCTTTGCCATATGCTCCTACTCCAAGTAATTTTACTTTTTTATATTATTTAATTTATGTTTCATTCACTTAAGAATCATTTGTAATGAATGATTCATCATCATTAATTATTCGACTGTCTTCTTCCATTTTATAATATTATATTTATAATTTAAATTTGTTATTCATTTTAACTATATAATAATATATCACTAAATTCTATCTCATTGTTGCTTTTCATAGTTTTTGAAAGTTAAAAATGCTGACAAACTAAATAGCAATTCAAAGATTATAAATATTAATGCAATTACATTTATTATTATTTCCAAAATAATTACATAAGTTTACAAAACTATGAAAAATATATAAAAGAAAATGCAAGGAAAAATTAATAAAACAAACCTAAAATATTTATATTCCTTACGATAAAATTTATGATGGCGATTCTGTTTTATTTCCAATTGAACCTAATATCAATCGAGGAAATTAGCAAAATGCTAATAGAAATTGTAAAAATATTTCTATTCCTATTTTATTTGGTGGATAAAATAATGCATATCCTTTGTAAATAAAGACAATAATTTCTATTATGAAATATATGTACTAAATATTATGATGATATAAATACTGTAAAAATATAATCAAAATATAGGAAAGTTTACAATGGAATAGATGCCAAAGGTCTTTTCTCATCATTAATATTAGATGCTTCCTTCATTTGCAAATTTTCAAATTTAATTAATTGTATTATATATAAATAAAAATATAATCAAAATGAAAATCTTTATTGAACTACAAAACTTATTTCTCTAAAAAATCTAACAACAAGACTCTAGAGAATTTCATAAATTATTTTAATTCCATACAATTTTATAGAATAATATCTGCTATCATATTCAATATACCTTAATACATTTTTTAAAGAATCAATCAAATTATCTATCCTTTGATAGATTCGAGCTAATTATTTTTATGTTAAGCCTTAAGATGGTTAGCAAAAGATATATGAAAAAAATTTTATGAAAGAATTAATTGATTCTAGTTGCACAAAGCAAATAAATGAAATACAAAAATCTACAATATAAAAAATATAATTCGTAATTTAAATAATAATAATCGAGTTGGAAATAGTCTTAAATGATTTAAAAAATAAATATGATACTTGCCATACAAAAATAAATTTAATTTCTTATGTGATTAGATGCTCCATAATCAAAATTTATAGATCTTAATATACTCCATGCCTAAATAGTTCTAGGACAATTAATATCAATAGTTGGGGTTAATTTAAATTCATTGCAATGGACCCTTTTGGTGCTGATTAAATAAGAAACTTAATCTGTTAGATATATTTTTCTTTTCATATTTTCAAGTAATTTGAGAAGATATAAGAATATGCACTTAAACAAATAATCTAAAAGATTCCGCAAACAATATTCATGAATAATATAAGGTTTTTGGATTAATCGCAACCATGAAACTAATTAAAAAGCTGTTGTAAGTTAATGTTTTCTTGAATAGAGTTATTAATAAGAATCAAAAAAGTATATCAAATTTCTTTATCAACATATAATGCTTAGTACATTTCTTTCAAAGGTTCATCTAAATATTTGATCTTTTAAGATTGAATTCTCCAATCAAACAAAACATCATCAAATTAAATAGAATTTTTATTTTAACGTTTTTTTTGTAAAGTTCAACACTTTGTTCATTTAAACTAGAGAATTTAGCAGCAACAATAATTGATTTTGTTAATTATAAAAACCTTAATAAACTTATCTCCAATGTGCGAGAAAGATCCAAAATAAAAATACATAAATAGAGAAATAATGTGTCCAATTGTGTGGTTTAAAATAATACATCTTATCTCATAGACCAAAATCCTTAATTAAACATTAAAGCTGGTTTATCAAATAGTAATAAATTAACAAATGGTCTTAAAATATTAACATCTAACAAAAAATTAAATACTACTTACTAATATATATAAAACTTGATGTAATGGGTTATTGCGAATTCTGCTTTTAATGATAAATCTTGCTTTATTTTGGCATTTTATTTTTATGAAATGGTGTTTCATCATTTGTTGAATTTAATTTATTAAATAATGTTTATAATTCAATTTTTTCTAGCCAAGTGTTTTCATTTATAACTGTGTCTTTTTAAATTTTATCAACGTTAAGAATATAACTTATGTAATAATTATATTGATAGTGTAATTTAAGATTATAATCATTGTAAAAATAATTTAGCTTAAGTTTTATAAAGCTGTAATTTTAAGATTTTTTCAGGGTCATCTTCTTAAAAATATAGAACAGCTTTTTCAACCCAAAAATCTGTTTTTTTATTATTTGGTTATAAGTTCATCATAAAATGTAACTAGATTGAATATACTTCTTACTTTTTTAGCATTTTTAACAATTGCTTTAATAACAGGCATTTCAGTAAGATCTTAAGCAGTTTTTCCAGCAACAGTTTTAATTGAAGGATTTGCTTAATAAACCAATAAAGTCCTAACAGTATCACAATTATTATTTTTTGCAGCAATATGTAACGGCGATCTTCCCACTAATAATAGATATATATTTAAATTACTCATATCTCTTGCATCTAAATCAGCTCCATTTTCTACTAATAAATTAATAGCTTCAATAGAATTAATACTCACAGCATGATGCATTGCAGTTTTTTATTAATTATCTCTATCATAAACATGAAATCTACAATCTCTTAACATACTTTCAATTTCTTTAATATTATCAGCTTTAACATATCTAAAGAACTCAACACTATTAGGTCTTTCATATGCTTAAGTTGGAAAAACTTAATTGTTTACTACATCTTCTAATGTTATATTAAATCTTTTTAATTTATCCATAAAATTTCTTAAAGCTTTCATAACTCTTAATTTTAAATCTGCCTTAACATCTTCATCAAGTTTTAAAGTATTTTCATTGTGTAATTTAGCAGAAGATTGTGATTTCATTGTATGTAATCTTCTTAAAGTAGCTTAAGGTTATTATGATTGAAATTATAATGCTTTTTTATTCTTTTTTACATGACTCATTGTATATTTTACTTCTCTTATATCTTCATGAAATTTCTTAACATTTGTTATCATTCCATTTACTAATTTTTGTTCTTCTTTTATTAACTATTCTGTTTATTCTTTCATTCTATCATCTATTTTATCTTTAATTATTCTAAATCATAAATATATAATTCTACTTAAAAAATTAATCCATTTATGACTTAGGAATAAATACATCAAAATCTTAATTCTCTTCAGATTTTTATTTTTATTATGCTACTTAATCTATTAACATTTCATGTTTTTAACCATAATTTCTCTTAAATACAATATTATTTTCTTAATTTGGTTTTCTGTATTTAGAAAATCTTATTTAATCTATAAATTTATTTTATAAATTTTAAAATTCTCCTTCATCATCAGATGCATACAAAGCTTTTGACATTTCTTTTGCAGATTGTTATAATGCTTATGCTGTTTTTTCCATTGATATTATAGATTCATAGCTATTTTTTTCAAGATGTCCATTTAAAAAATTAGCGACAATCATACCAGTAGCACTATGTTATTATTACATAATTGCACATAAAAAGTGAGTTTATTATAATAGTTTTTCTTTTGATTCTTCATTTTTTAATGAATGATGTTAATTTGTATTATTATTTATATTTCTCAAATTTGTTAGTTTGTTTGCTCTTTTCAGAGGTGGTTTATTAGGTGCTAATTAAAGTATTTCTAGTTTATTTTTGTAAGATGTCTAAACATTGTTATTTTTCAAACCAAGCATTTGATTTGGATCAGTAGAATATGATTAATATTTAGGTGAAGATATTGGCGAGCAATTATAACTCAAAACATTCGTAGAGTTTGTTGGACTAGCTTAACACTTTTATAACAATATCGATGTTTTCGATATATTTGGATAGCTTGTTGTTAGTGTGCTTCTTACAATATAGATGCAATAACATTTCTATCATTCTTTTATTTAGACGCAACTTGCATTTAAGACCTTAATTTGGCTTGTTCTTCTGCTAACATATATCCCAATTTTATCATTTTTTATTATTTAATTAATAAATTTTAGTCCTTTTTAATCTTTATCAGTAAAAAATCATTTCTTGATGAAATCTTTTCAATTATCCTTATTAACAAAGTCATCTAATGACCTTAATTATTTGATTCTTACAATTCTTTAGCAATATACTTGGTGAAATATATACTATTAATTTCTAACTTTTTTTGTAAATTCATTTTTATTAAAGAACTCTTAAAAACCAGGTTTTAATTTAATATTATAAATCAAATATTCATATAAATTTATTAAGTAATTATTTTATAAGCGATTTTTATTAAGTTAGCGAAATTATTATCATCAATAAAACTTATCACTTAAAGATATTTTTACAGTTTAATAATATTTCATAAAAGAAAATCAAATCTATTTGTATTTAATTTAGAAACTAAATCAAATATAGTAGAAAAACAGATATATAACTTGATTATCAATATTTTAAAAAAACACTTATTTTAATAAAAAATATGAAACCAAAAAGAAATATGTTAACAAAATAATAAATTAATCATTTAAATTATTTCATACGCGCATAAAAACTATTATAATTATTGCAAATAATATAATTCCGCACACTAAAAATAAAACTAATTTGTTATTTCTAATTCTATCTTACATTGTTTTTATTAGAGAATATGAATTACCTAATGCATCTCTAATAGCTAATAAATTTTAAAGATATATACGTTATTATTTTTCAATATTGCTCTATAGTTAATTTGTATGTCTATGAAGATTAATTTAAATATCATTCGCCTCTTTTTCTATTCCATAAACAACCATCTTAGCATCCTATAATTTCATATTTTAATCATATAATTTTTCTTACTCTTTAAGAAGTTTTTACCTTTAGTGATCCTTACCAAATAACTGTTATTTTGATGTTTAGTTTTCATACTTAGATTTCATCTAATTATAAACCTTTTTCATCTCATCTAATTTTTTTTTTTGCATTGTAAATTATTCTTTTAAATTATCTTTAATATGCCTAGCAAATCCTTATAATTCCACTTCCATTTATTTTAACTTTTTTTATTGAAATATTTACATTTTCATTTGCTGAATCAATACAACTTTCTGCCTCCTTTAATGCAAATATTTTATCATCTTGGGAATCAAGAGTAGTTAAAATTTATTGAAGCTTTTTACAAACTGACGTTACTTCTTCATCGCAATTTTAAAAAAATTCTGATGATTCAGATAACTAAGACATTTATTATTATTATATTGATTATTTATAAAAATTTTTATCAAAACTATTCTATCTTTTTTAAAACTCTCTCTTCATATTTATTTTCATAATCGAAATTAGTCTAATTATTGATTCTAATATACAGAAAATAAATATTTGAAAATCTAAATTTAAATTAGAGATTATTTACAGGTCTGTTATTCCTAAAAAAAAAAATAGATAGTATAATTAATAGCTTACTACAAGTTTATCATTTTTTAAAGATTTTTAACAATTTAGTAAAGATCTAGAATTTATTAAATATTTAAAATATCATTTAAAGCCAATTATACAATTTTAAAAAAAATTTCGGTTATTCTGTGTAAATTATGCTTCTTAATTTGCAATTTTTAACTATGGAACGATTGTTTCAATTTTTTTAAGTTAAAAATTTAGATTTTGAATACTAACTTTAAATATGATGAAATTTATTCTTATTTTGCATCAAATAAATATGGATTATATTAAGAGAATATCTGAATTTGAATGAATGTTTTTGCTTCAATATAAATTATATCGAAAAAAAATTTAACATTCATTTAAATTATTTTAGTAATCATAAGCAAATGATAAGGATTTGCTTAATAATATAAATTTGCCATACATAAAATATACGAAATTTTGAACTGAACATAAAAAAATATTAACAAAAATGCTCATAGATCTTAATATAACTCATATAAAACAATTAAAGTTTCTTCTTATAAAATTGGAATCAATCTTTAATATAATTCTTAATGAGATAATTTAATATTATCTTTTTATTTCTAATAGGAACTCTAGAATATATATTTTTAACAAAGAAGATTTGTTAAATCTACTAAAGTGGTGAGATCATTTTCTCTAATTCTGAGAACTTCCTTTCTTTCATAAAATAATTCTAATCCTTATTTTTTTGAAAAATTATTTAATTCTCTTTCTTCAACTAAAAAGGTAAAACTATTTAGATAACAATTCAAAATCAACTCTTTTTCATTAGCTACATCAGCCATAATAATAACATCAAAATAATCTTCTAAATCAAAGCCTTCAAATTATCCGAGATATTATGATATGAGATTTATCTGAGTTTCATATTAGCTTGGCCAAAATAATTTTACTCTGTTAAACTTTTTTGGATTCAAAAAGTTTAGTTTATAAATCTCATCTGAAATAGTTCTAATATACCACTCTAAAGTTGAGTTTAAAATACTGAATGGAAGACTTATATTAGTGCTATTCGCATTCTTAATTAAAATGGCAACTTCATCTGAATCTAAAAATTTATTATGTTAATTTGCTGCTGAAGATAATACTTCATGGTGCTTTTTGATTTTTTAATTCATATAATTAATTTTATGTTTAATTATGTAATCAAACCTCAAAATACTTAAGATTTTATTCTAAACAAAGTCTAAATTCTAAATTTGAAAAAGCCATGCAAATTAAAGAACTAGTATTGATGATTTAATAAATAATAATTAATTATTCTTATTTAGTAACAATTTACCTTCAATAAAAATTTTAGTTAAACCTCAACTTACTTGGTTTCACAAGAAACAGGCTTGATTTTGATAACAGTTTTTATTTATTAAATTTTAGTTAAAAATAATAGATTCTACTTCAGAATTTTAAATATAATAGCTTAAGTTATTTATTAAGTAAAATAAATGACTCAAACTTTGTAATAAGCTTCTGCCTTAATGATATTAGTTGCACTCGAAGCTGAATTTCCATTTCTATTATAAACTCTGAATTTATTAACAAATTGAGCAGGGAAATTTATATATATTGCTTTAGCAAAAGCAGCCACTTAATCAAAAATGACTGTTTCCTATTCTTAGTATGAAACATATACAACAAGGTTGTAATATCTTGTTTGTTAATCCCATAACCATAATATAAGAGTATTCAATTCATAATTCTATTTCAATTAGATGATTATCGAATAATTTATTTAACAATGAGTACCTTTTACCTCACCATATATTTAATTTCTAAAAAGCATTCCTATTAATCTACCTGACCCATTAAAATTATTTTATTTTCTACTTATTAATAAAGAGTCATTTTCATAACTTATTACATTTTTATAGTTGCCTCTCAGAATTGATTTAAATTTTTTTTCCCTTAAGTAACATGATGAAAGACAACAAGATTGAAATTATTGTAATGTTATCAAAATTAAAAGGCAGGATATTTTATACATTAAAATTTGTGATTAAAAATCATAATAAAGGTTGAAATTGGAAGCAAGAATAATTAATGAACTGTATAATTTCATTGAATTATGAATAATAAATTAATTAACTAATATTAATTAGAATGATTTATTTGATCTAAATTTCTGATACTGATTTACACAACTTATTTTGATAGATAAATTAATTTTATTCATTGGAAAGGGTTAAATGTATTTAACTAAATATTTGTATACTGTTCATTTGATTTTATCACAATATTAAGTATATCAAAAATTTAAATAAAATGAATATTTATTTTAAGAATGTATATAATTTATATTTTGTAAAAGCATGAAAAGTTTGTGTATAATTTAAAATTTTGATAACTTTTTGTATTTAATGGAATAAATGTATTGATAATATATATAAGGGTATTCAAAATAATATGATATTAAATATTTATTTTTATGTCAAATTCATAAGGTGTGAGCTTATTAGAAAATTTAAGAAAAGTGATCACATTAGTTGATCAATTAAGAGATATTGGTTTAAATGATTATATCAAATTACCAAGAATTGTTGTTTTAGGTATTCAATCTGCAGGAAAGTCTTCTTTACTTGAGCATATAGTAGGAATAGATTTTTTACCAAGAGGATCTGTAATTCTTGTAATATATGAATATAGGGTGTTGTGACAAGAAGACCATTAGAATTACGTTTATCTAATGCTCCAGCTAGTGTTTGTGCAACACCAACAGCAGAATTTGTTGAAGAAATAAAAGGAAAGAAATTTACAAATTTTGAAGAAGTTCGATAAAAAATAAATGAATTGACAGATAAAGTATGTGGATAGGCTAAAAACATTATTGATAAACCAATAATATTAGCAGTCCAAGGACCTAATTGTCCAGATTTAACTTTAGTAGGTATCGAAAAATCTTAAAATAAAAAAATTTAGATCTTCCTGGAATAACACGTATTCCAATAGCTGGTTAGCCATCTAACATAGAAGAAATAACAACAAATATGGCTAAAAGATATTGTGAAGATAAATCAGCAATTATATTATGTGTTGTTGCAGCAAATGCTGATATGACTACATCTGATGCATTATTATTAGCTAAAAAATTAGATCCAGATGGTAATATATTATATATCTCTATTAAAAGGTATTCGAACTATAGGAGTCTTAACTAAAATTGATATTATGGATTAAGGAACTAATGCATTTAAAATGCTTAAAGGAGAAGAAGTACCATTAAAATATGGTTATGTTGGAGTTAAACTTAGATCTTAATAAGAAATTAATGATAATATTCCTATTATTTAAGCTGTTTTAAGAGAAAAAAACTTTTTTGCAAATCATCCTGTTTATTCCACTATTCCTGGTGAAATATTTGGAACCTAAGTTTTAACAAGAAAATTAACAACAATTCTTTATAGAAGAATTAGAAGTTTCTTACCAGAATTAATGAGAGAAATTAATAATAGGGTTGGCAAAATTTAAGTAAGATTAGATGTTTTAGGACCAGGATTACCTGTTGAAGATTCAGTATTATAAATTCATTTTTATTTTAGGATAAAATGCATTATATATGGAAATTAATTCATGAATTCTCTGTTAGATTTAGAAATTCTATTTCAGGTTCTTATTAAAAGGTTAAATCAACAAAAAAAAATGATTTTTTCTAAGTTCCTGCTGGAGCTAAGATAAAATTATTATTCTAGGATTTATATGAGGAATATAATGATCTTGATTACTAAGCTTTAAAGAAATATTCTGAAGATGATATTATATAAGTGATCTAAAAATATTCTGCATTAACTATTCCCGGATTTCTTCCAGTTGATGCCTTTTATGCATTATTAAACCCAGAATTAAAAAGATTATAATAGCCTGCTTTTAATATTATTGATGAAGCTTATTAAATACTTGAAGAATATGCCATAGCAATCTTAGATGATTAATTATAAACGTAAGATTTATTTATTATTTAGAATTCCATCTGTTTTAAAAATGTTGGAAGAATAAGTACTTGAAATTATTTAAGAATGTAAAACAAATGCTTAAAATTCTGTTTAAGATATTCTAGATGCTGAAATGAACTATGTCTTTACTAATGATTTTAATTATTTAGCTGGAAAACAATTTATTAGATTTGGTAAACCAGCTAAAGAAGCATAACCTGTCAAAGGATAACATATGGTTGCAGAATTAAAAAATAAAATTGAACATTATTTTAAATTAGTTGTTAGATCAACTAGAGATAATATTCCTAAATTGGTTGGTTACTTTTTAGTAAAAGGATGTTAGGTAATATAATTTATTTATAATTTCTATTAGACTAAAATGCTTATGCAACTATAATAAAATTTAATGCAAAATCAATACTTGCTTTAAGCTATTAGTGAAGATTAAAATATCGTTGAAGAGAGGAAAAAATTAAATAAAGAAATAGAGACTTTCAGAAATGCTTAAAAAATTATTAAAAGAGACCCAGAGTATTATAATACAATATATTTAGTCTTTCCGAATATATATTATCAGCTTAAGAAGATTTAGCTGCTGAATAATAATAATCTTAATAAGTCTAATAAATAAAACCTTAATAATAATAATAATAATAGTAATAATAATAAAAATAATAAGATACAAAAACTCAAGTATAAAAACCAGAAAATAATAAAGCTCCTGTTACTTAAACTTCAAATGATTCTTCAAAAAATTAAATGACTGATGCTCAATTATAAAAATAATAATAATAATAATAATAAAACTATTAACAGACTTAATAATCTTAACAATCTTAATAACCACTTTAAAATTAATAAGTAAAACAATAAACAACTATTTTTGGGAATGCATCAAAAAATCCTTAACCATAAACTGCATAATAAAATACGAATCCTTTATAAGGTAATAAATCATCTTCTTCTTCAACATTAACATAATAATATAACTAATAAGTTGATAAAAATGTCGCTGCATTTTATGAAGATGAAAGAGTTAAAGAATAAATGAAAAATGCTGGTGGATAAGCAGCAAAAGCAACTGTTAAAAGTTAAATTCCAGGTGCTCCAGATTGGGCTTTAAATGCTGCAGAAAAAGCAGGTTAATAAGCAGCTACAAGTGATGCCGCAAAATAAGCAGCTATAGTATATAATTTATTTATTCTAGAATGCAACTTCATAATAATTAAAGGTAGATGATTAGCCACCCTAAACAAATTAATAATAATAAGCTCCGCCAAAAAAAGGAGGATTATTTGGATTTATTAAGTAATCATGATAGGTGTATTAACAATTATGTTAAAATTCTATTAATAAATAATCAACAATTCATTTATATAAATTTAATTATATATTTTCTATAATTCATATATATTGAACATCAATAGCTTTACTTAATCTTTGATAGTCACCTGTTAATGTAACTTCAAATTCTTAATTTTCTGATGTTCTTTTTTGATGCATTTCTATTTCATGTACTTTCGATATAAATCTATTTAAAATATAATTTAATTTTTTATACCCAAATTTTTTTGGTTTAATTAATCTAAAATCATGTTAAAATGCTTTCCAATTATCTGTTAATACTTAGCCAAGTGTACCAACTTGATTTTCCTCTTATGTAATAAAATCTGTATAAGTAAAAGCAAAAATACTTGCAAGAGTCATGCAAAGCATTTCTACACAAACTAAAGTATTCTATATAAAAATTGTTTAGATTATATACTTCTATTGCACTAATAATTGTATTATTATTATAGTTTACTTCATCTGACTCAAAACAACTTGAAATTTCTTCTTCGAATATTGATAATGTTAAAGATTACCAAAAAGTAAAAAATAAGGTTATCTTTATAATTAAAAATTTAAGTAATGGTCTAATAAGTGAATATTAATATTTACTTATATGGTTACAAGGGATGTTTAAGAGCGTAATAAAATAAAATGAGGTAATAGAGAGAAAATGTTTCGCTTGTTATTATAATAAATTCAAAACTTTGCATTAATCTTTGCTTTAAATATTAGATTTTAAATTACTGCATAGAGTTTATGATGAAATGGGTGTAAAAATATAATTAAGATTGTGAGAACTGGTTTTACTACACAATATTAAAGAACAAATTTTTTGCATCTATAAGTAAAATATTTTGCTTTTGCTTTCCTATTTAATTAAATTGATGGATACGTTGTCAATAAATATCTTTCTGTACAATAATTTACAGGCCATAAATGATGAATTTCTTTTTCATGTTCAATCATAATTTGATATACACGATCATCATATAATAGTTTATCTTCTGGATTATAAGCCATATATGAGAACATAAGATAGAAAAAAGTGAATAAAAGAAAAGCCAAATAGATATCACGAACCAATTCGAAATAGGATGCTAAACCCTGTTTACTACCATATTTGAATTTATTCTTACATGAAATTCCATTGAAATAATTGAAATTAATCCATAAAAAGGTGCCATCATGAGTATTACTAATACAATCAATAATATTTTGATACTTATGATTTTACTTTGAAAAAAAGGCATATTGAAATTCATCAAGTGTCTAATAATTAAATATAGTGATATAATTAATGAGATCACTACGCATACAATAGATAGTAATAACCCATCTGAAAGAAGGATTTTTATACAGTCATCATCACATTTATAAGGGCAAATCATTAAATTATTAAATATAATTATTAATTTCCTAATCTAATTTTAGAATAATCTAATGAACCTTATTTATCAATTTAGTTAGCATTTATAAGTAATTTATACAATTATTATATATATATATATTATTCAATCATGCAATAAAAATCTATCTTTATTTGATTGCTAGTTTTAATCTACTTCAAATAATTTTGAAGCCACTTAAACAATTTCTACAATTCTATAATAAAAGAAAGTTTACTTTTAGTAGATATATTGGAAGGCATCTTTTATTGTTCATCAGTAAACAATAAATGAAGTTTTTATTTTCTGAATGGTGAATCTGGAGCATTTTATATTATATTTGTTCTATTTGTCAATACTGATGAAGTTTTAATAGGATATGTGTCTAATCTACCTGGTGATGAGACAAATGAATGAGAATAATTATGAATCATTTTCTATTAACTTTAACTATAAAAGCTTAATTTCTCAGTCAATTATTAATTTAGATTTCTCATCTAATTATAATCATAGATAATCTTTTAATTCTATTATTTTTACATATCCAATTCTTTCATTAAAACTTAGAGACTTTATTACATATGTTGATAGTTTTAACTATTTGCGTAATTATTTGAAGCTATTGTTGTTTATATATCTTTTGTATTCTATTAAAGTTCATCACACTTTTATTCTAGAACTTTTACTTGATATTCTTTTTATTTTAATAAAGATTAAAGATCTTATATTATTTTTTATGATTCTTCATCTATTTTTTATTAGACTTTTTATTAATTTTGATTATTGTTTAATTATTATTTTTCAAGTTGTTACTTTAATTAATTAACTTAAATTTGCAAAGCTTTCTTTTCTTTATCTGAAGAATTAAATATCTATTTTTAATTATTTTATCTCAAATCAATTAAATCTTGATCATAACTTTCTTGTAATTTATTGTATGCTTCATTTCTTTAATTTAATAGTTTTGTTATATTTTCTAATTAAATTAATCTTTCTTCAAGCAATTTATTAAGTTTATTATTTTATTCTTTGAGTTAACTGATTTATATTTCATTCATCTTTTAATGAGAAGATAAATGTTCCTAAGCATCCAAATTACTAATTGTTATTACTTTTTAGTTATATTCAAATTATTTTTATTATTAATATTAATCTTGCAATTATATTTCTAGGTCATTCACTACTTAAACAGTTTCTTCTAAACGTTATTTTAATTATTCATAATCGTTTTAAGAATTTTGTAATTTTTCTATAAACTTGCTTTTTTCATCAAGTTGATATTATAACTTTGTTATTGTTCTTCTTAAACATTCATTATCAACAATTAATTTTTCTTTCTAAATTTTCAATTTATTCATTTCTTCACATGATTAATCAAATTCAATTTTCTTATTTCTCTAACTCTTAACACTTTATATTCCACTTGTAGCTAAGGATTCATACTCTTCTCTTAAATGTTCCAATTATTATATAAGCTTATCATTTTATTAAAGTAACTTTTAATTTTCTGTTACTAAATTACTAACTTAAGATTCATTTAATGGTTTTTCTCTAAACTTTGGATTACATGAAAAGCTTTATCTACTTTAATGTGTTTATTTTCGCATTATTATTATATCAGTTAAATAATAAATTTTATAAAAATGTAAAATTATTTATTTTACTTTTGGGGGGAATATTGATTTTATGTTGGCTTGTCTATACATTTTATAAATAATATCTTAAAATTACTTAATGATTTCAGGAATTAAAATTATTATAATCATTTTCATTTAGAAAACAATATTATGATTAATTCTAAAAAATTACATATAAAAAAAAGAATTGATATTTCAATTAAAATAAATATATATTTTTTATAGTTGTTCATTATAAAGTTTAGTCTTTACTTGTTTCATATTATTTTAAATAATAATTTTTTTAATTAGAATTCTTATATTTATTGTATAATAACACGAAGTTAGAGCTTCCTAAGATTTCTCGAAATTTACTTTTTCTTATTTATAATAATTCTCTTAAATACATGCAATATTATAACACATAATAAATTTTATTAGTTTATGGTTACAGTTATATAAGTTTTATCATTAAATAAACTTCTTTTCTTTATTAAAAATATGACGGATTTTTGAGAATAAGAAAATAATACATACACTATAAATTAAGACAGAGAAATTTTCAGAACATTTATGCAATTGAATATATTTCCATTAAATAAGGCAATAGGATTCATTTCTGTTAATATAATTTAAATTTATTTATATGAAGGAATAATAATCAATTATATGCAGAAGAGAAAAGTCTAACATTCAAAAATGAGTTTTTGCAATTATTTAAGAGAATAAGTGGATATATAAAATAACAATAAATGAAATTTAGACTACTATTTAAAAACAAAATTATTAATCATTTTCTTAAATGATTATAATATACTTAAAGAAATAATAAATTATTTTGGTTTTTTAATAAAAATAATGTCTTTGAATTCAGGTGAATAATAGGATTTAGATGAGTCTTGTGAATCTCCTTTTTCATAATCACCAAAATCGAAAAGAATTAAGAAGTTAGAATCAATTTCACCTAAAAAGAATGTTGGTCATTGGACAAAGGAAGAACATGAAAAATATTTGTACTTCTTAGAAGAGCACTCAGACATAAAGAAAAATAATAAAATCTTTAAATCAATGAGTGAAGTTATTGGAACGAGATCACCAAGTTAATGCAGGTATTTTCCTTATATTTAGAAGATCACATCACTAAAAATTTAACCCTTTATCTCCAATAGTCCAGAAGAAGAACCAAAAAGCATAAAAACAAACTATGTCAACATAATAAGATGATTTAAACTAGTAAATAGAGGAAGAATCTCTTAATCGAAATATGGTTTAACTTATGATTTTTGATGAAGATGATTAAGTCTGTTAACTTCCATAATTTAATTTAGATGATTTCTTTTGAATTTATTCATGCAAAACACAAGCATCAAGTTGTTTAAAAATAGCTTGTAATATTATATATAATATATTATTTTATATATGATTAATTAAGACTGAAAAATGTTTCCATATTTCTGAATTATCAATAACTTTTTATAGTAATAGGTATAGCAAGAATTTAAGAGATAACATTTTACAACCAAAGTAGTAATAATATAATAAAATACAGGTCTTTCAATTTATTAAATTACATTAAAATTATACATAAATCAAAAGTAATTTATAGTTAGAGATTTAAGCTATTTAAAATATTAAATTAATTATTGAATCTAATTTACATATTTAAAAATCATAAATGTTGAAAAAGGTCATAATATTATTACACTGTAGATTAGTAAATTAAGTGTTACTAATAAATTTGAATTTAACATTGAATTTAAGAAACTCAATAGGTTTTTGATTTATATAACATTTTTATGAAGCGACTTAATATTATAAAAGTTTTAAGGCTGAGAGAAATAATAAAATAAATTAATTTTGAAATTATGATTAATTTGTGTTTGAGAACTTATTTAAAAATCTATGATTAAAGAATTGATCAAAATACTCTTGACTATAGAGAATCATTGAAATCAAAGAAAATATATATCAAAAAAGGGGTAACAATAATTAGTAGGTTACAGGGATTTGAAAAACCACTAATTAATGAAAAGAGAGGTTTAAAATAAAGAATCGTATGTCTAGATACATTTTGAGTACAGAATTTTTGAATGAATAAAATAATATCAAGATTCTATTGATGTGAAGTTTTTCAATTAATTCAATCATCTTCAATCATAGTTTTTCAAGAATAAAGTAGGATTTTAAACTAATTTATTTGTGTTTAGAACAAATTTAATAAATTTATAGGATATCGAAAATAATTCAAAAAAACCTCAAGAATATGTATAAAAAATGATGATGGAAATACTAAAATCTGATAATTAAAGAAATTGCTTTATGTAATTATTATTATACAATCAAACTAAAACATATCCTTGTTCTTATTTTTTCTTTCTTTTCATCAAAAATAAACCAATGATTATTAAAACCAAAGAAAATAGATAGTAATAGAAGTAACTCGTTTTTTTTCTACAAGCCATAGGATGCGTAGCTTAAAGCATGATATTACAAGGTGAATCTGTCATAACCTATTTAAAAGGAGTTTCTTCATCACATTATATCTAAAATTAAACAGAATATTATAAGGTTTCTCCACATAAATCACCTAATGTTATTGAATAATCTATACCATTTTTATATTTTAGATTTAAACCAAAACTATCATACCATATATCAGATTCAGATTTTAATCCAATTGTGTAACATTTGTTATGAAATAATTAAAACGCAGCAACCCTTATTATTAAATCTTCATTACCTCTCTGTGATTACATTAAACTCCATATGTACAAAAATTAAATTCGAAAGACATTGCTCCACTAAATGATGTTATTTTATAGTTTTCTTTCTTTTTCAGATGATTTATATCAAAATGAAATCCATCTGGATCAGTCCATTTACAATTATCAGGAATTACTCCTATAACAATTCCTATTAAATAAAAAATTAACATTAATTATGGAAATCAAGTTTTTATATTATAAGTCAAATTTATTATATTACTAAGATTACATATTTCAATCCAATCTTTTATTATTCATTAGTGAATTATATGAAATATCGTTTTTGTAAAGTATCAAAATAAGAGTTAAAAGGATAATTCGGCATTTTAGTAATAAAATAGCGAATTGTTTCTAATTGTTTATTATCTTTCTAAATTTAAGTATTAATTTGAAAATTAATGTCTAAACCATATGAATTTTAGATGTCCAAAACTTACGTAATATAAATTCTTGTTTGATCAAAAATTATAGAATCTAAATTTGAAAAAATCTGGTTTATTTCATAAGATTATAATTTTTAAATATTTAATATGATTTTAACGAAGGTATAGTAAAACATATAACATAATAAATATCTATTTCAATAAGGAGACTAATTGGATATTATGCTATCCATTTCTTCACATTCGTATTATTTTGACTTTTAAAATATTTTTCTCTCTATTTTTGTAAATGAAATTGCTTATAAACTTGAAATGCTTTAATTTGTGCTTGCAAAACTTAATTACGTCTTTCTTCTCTCAATAAGTTAATTTACTTTTAATGAGAGTTAAGTTGATTTGAAAGTTGAATCTGGTGATTTATCTGAAAAATCTCTTTCGATTTCAAGTGTTGTATAGGCTCTTCTCTTGTTGTTATTTCTTAAGTTAGAATAATAACGATCCTATTTAGCTTTTGGATCTGTTTTCATTTTTATATTCATAGAGCTCAAATAGTCAACTATGGACAACTCAATTTATAGACTTTTTTTTTTAAATTCATTCACTTCCTAACATTCTTTTATGCTCAATTCAATTGATCTTCCTGAATGACCTCCATAAAAATCATCTTCATCATTCATTTATATGCTTGATTAAGATATTTTAGAAAGATTAAGACCTCTTATACTAACTGGCTATTACTATTATTCAACTTCCATATAAATATTTAATTAATGTTTTGATGCTTTATATGCTATCAGAAAATATCTATCATAACTAGAGTAACTTTTTATTAAAGATAAGATAAAACTTTTCTTAAATTAAATGAAAAACATCCAAAAATTATGAAAATTATCACTTAATTAAAATTTGCCAATAAACTTATACTTCATATTCTTTCATGAATTTAACAAATATATTTTTGATATTAAAATATCAATGATTCAAATATTCAGTAAATAAAAATATCTATTAACAATCTTTCATTCAACCCTAATAGTACAGAATATAAGTATAAGTTTATGATAAGCGTTTTCTATTAATATAAATATAAAATATTGTTTTTTATTTTATTTTTTACTACAAAAGCTTAATAATTTTAAATTAACAAAGTTTGTATTTTTAAAAGAAATTCATACTTTTAGTTTACTAAAACTCAATTAAATTTAATCAAATAAATAATTTATAACAAAATAAGACTTTTTGATTTAACTGGACCTTAAAGAAAAATTTTTAAATACCTTAACTTATAATGATAACAAATGAATGCAATTAGAAAATTCAATATTAAATTTAGTAATGGTTGTATATTCCAAAATTATATCATTTTAAGTTTTATTTACAATTTAATTGTATATTCAATTTTAAAAAACTAAAAAATACGTTGTAAAATATTTTTTTTTGGATTTTGTTGGGTTTTTTGGGTTAATTATTTTAGATTATTGGTTTAGATACATTGAAGTAATAAAAAATAAAATCAGTGCATAATTAAAATATGAATAGATCAAACAAAATTAAATTGGATATAAGAATGATTAAGGAGAATATAAATTAATTCTAAAGCGAAAGAATTTAATGATTTGTTGAGAGTCTTATTATCATGATTAAGAAATTTTATTTAAAATTTAGTTATTTATTGATTGATTAACATAATTGTAAGTGCTTTCGAAACAGTATTTTAATTTATAGATAAAAATATAGATTGAAAGTATAATCTTGATATTAAATGAAAAATAATAGAGGAATGATATTATATTTAGTGAGCGTTATCTTTATTAGAATAACTACTTTATTTTACATGTTAGTATTTTAATTATATTATTGTTGCTTTTTCTTTTTTTTATCATTTATATATAGATAAAGGAATCTAAAAATTTGGAATATTTTTGAATATGGTATTAATTCATAATTTATTTCGATTAATTAATATAAGAAAGTAAAAATCAAAAATGTAATTTTTGTACTTCTTTAATAATTACATTAATAATTTACTTATTTGAAATGAAGAAAATAGTAAAATATTTTAAGGATCTATAGGCATAGTCAGAGTTTGAGATTGTATTTTGTTATTCAATAATAGGTATTGAGAAGAATATCAGAGAGTTCAAAATTACAACTAGTAAATGAATTAAAGTACTAAGTTTTATAGGAAGGTTTTAATGGATAAATAGAAGAATTGCATATTTAATAGTCATTTAAGATTTTATATAAACATTTTAAATCTTGCAGAAATGATTTTGCATCACTCAAAATATTAATTATAATTCATCGACTTCTATTATCATCGAGAAATTTTAGTGATCATGCTGATTTAGATTAGATTTTATAATACTATCGACAACCAATTAAATAACTTCCTATTTCACAATAATTATATTAGAATTTAATTTTTTAATATAGAGACTATCTCAAATGGATTGCAGAGAGAAATGAATATTTTTTACTATGCACATCGAAAATAAGTGATTTTTAATTATTGGATTTCAAAAATTAAGTAGCATCTTAAATTGTAATTGTTAATTTACTGAAAAAACTTAAATTAGTATATATTTGTTTTCATCTATAGTTTATACCATATATTGAGAATATCTTATTGAAAAAATCAAATAGTTTAATATAAAATCTCATCAATTTAATATTAATTGATGCTAAGAATATGTATGAATTCATAGCTTAATTTGTTTAATATAATTAATGTTAAAATTTTAATTAAATTTAGATCGCATACTGGAACCATCTTAAGATAATACAATAAGTATCCTAATGTACTAATTATATGTTGATCTCATATAAGTGAATTATTGGATAGTCAAATTATTTTAATTAGCAAATTTAGCAGATATTAGTGATAAGATAGATTTTCCTTAAATTTTTTAAATAAATACTGCTCTAAATAAAGAATATGAGCTATATATGTAGTTAATTAGGAATAATTATGAAATGGGTTCACCAGATGCTTCACCTAAATTTCAGGATTTAAGTGAATTGAAAGTAAAATTAAAACATATTACCAAGAAAAAAGAAGAGTTTTAAATAATTCTTCTAAAACCATAGCAATTAAACACAGTATTAGGATAATCGGAACGACCATTAGAGTATATTGAATCAAATGTTGAGAGTTGATTATTTAAATAAATTATATATTGATTAAAAATGCTCAATATTTATTTTTGATACAATAATGTTCAAAAATTCAACTTCAATATTTATTTATAATGTATCTAATCTTCTCTATAAAATAATAATTGGTCTTTTCTTATATAGAATGAACCCAATCAATATATGAATAACAGATTTTTAAATTTTAGATAATTCATGTTAATTAAATGGCTAAATTAATATATGTCTAATACTCTTAATATTGGATTGATTTTCCTAAGAAATTTTATTGGTGAATTTAGTAATGTTTAAGCAGAACTGAATTTTGTAATGATTTTAGTTTCAAAATATTTATAATAATAATTAAATTTAATAAATTTTTTATTTTCAGCAATAAAAGAGTAAATACTTTTTTTGTTTATTATATTTAAATTTAAGTTTGATTTATGAATTGAAATAAGCCAATAATTATTTATTAGTAAAAACATTAATATTTAATGATGTTTAGAAAAAACCAAATAACATTTTCTTAAATAATCTATATGTTTATATAATTAGTATTTTCATTAATTTTATAATGAGATTCATTAAGAATGATAAAGGCTAAATTTTTAAAGATATAGTATTCATTTAAAGTAGAAATTAATTGATTATTATATGAATGATTGTTTTAGATTAATAAAAATATCTAAAGTTAGATTTGAAATATTTTATAAAATTCATTTAAACACATAAAATATAATAACTTGATCAAAAGTCTAAGTAAGTTTTTCTTTAGTGTTTTTTAGGGTACAAGTTTTTAAATTTTTACATTTCTCCTAATGATTTTCTGAAACTATCTAAATCACTCTACAATTCATCTAAAAGAAGTATATTGTTTGTATTTTTTTAGAACAAATGCTCTCGATTTCTAGAAAGAGGTGATGGTGGAACCAAAGAAATTTAATTTAAACCTTTTTTTTTCCGTTTTGAATTTAAAGTTCTAGATGGAGTAAATTCTTGATTTCTAGAGTATTAAATTGGTTGTTCACAATCAGAATATTATTGAATTAACTTTTTCATTTTTTCTGATGAGGTTATATATTATACCTTAACTAAATCTTAATACTAAGTGAATAGCTTTCTATATATAATAATAAATTACTTTAATGGACTTGATGGTGTTGCAATACAATTTCTAATTGGTAAATCTTCTTTTGGCTGAGATCTCGAACTCTACAATTTTTCATCATTTTATTTAATTTCTATTTGATTCTTAACTGAACAAGGCTAAATGAATTAGGGCTTATCCACATAACTCTATAGTATAAATGGATGACGCAATGTTTTAATAGCTTTCTCAATTTATTATTCATAAACAGTTTTTTGTCTATTTTGACGATTCCATTTGTTCATCTGATATTCTAATAAGTTTGAATTCTCTCCAATAAAATATTTTATTTGAAAAGCAGGATCAATCTTTTAGAAATTGTATTATATTTTTTCTAATATCTGTTACTTTCTAAGGCTTATTGTTCGGGATCTGTCAGACATATAAAAAGAAATAAATATATAAGAAATTAGTAATACACTTTGAAATATGTGCTGATTTTTTTAAATACCATTATTTGTCATTTATGAATTAGTTATTTCATTACCTTTCAAATACTGATAATACTTAATATAACACATATTAAATCACTACAAAATATTAAAAGTTTTTGAATTTCTAGAAAGTGGTTTTAATCATAATGAGATTTAAGCTCAAATTCATTGTCTATTATTACATAATATAATAAAATTTCGATAAATAAACAGTAATTTAATACTAGTAAATTAACTATACAAATTAAAGAACAATAATATTTCTAAATTCTATAATCTTAAATCAATCAAATAAATATTTTATTTTGCTTTGTTTATGAAACTTTAAAGTACTTTTTCAATATCATTTGTTTATCTCTATATAATTTAATAAAATCTAACTTATCTTAATTAATTATTCTTTTAAGAAATGCCAATATCTGAATCTCAACATAGTAGTATACGTAACTCAACTAGCTTTAAAAAAATTATTTCGAAGCTGAGAATGAGTACTATTTTACTCATATACACTTTCTTAATTCTTGGATTAAGTTTAGCAATACTTGTTACATGTCAAAATATCCAATTATTATTGGCTACTGATTAAGTTTAAATAATTTCAGAACAAATATTAACTTTGCAAAATAAAAAGTAATATTAAATATAGACTTAGAGCTCTATCAATTTAATCTCAAGATGCTATGGAAGTGTTGTAATTTGCATTTTAAATGATTTCAACTAAAATGTCTAAGCTTGTATTCTTCAATTATTGGATGCATACCACTGATCTATAAATTCTTTAAGAAATTCAACATTGTAAAACCATGCAATAATTAAATCAATAAATATAATTTTCAAGTAGTTGTTATACTTTTTCTGGTAACTTCAGCTTTAAAGATGTTGAAACTAGGCCTTTTATCAAGTTTACTAATCTTTTTTAAACCCATTAACTTACATTTGATTTCTACTTAGTTTCTTAACAAATATATTTAATATCCTTTGCAGATAATCTATTTACTGTTTATTTTCCTACAAAACCTTAAAATGAAACCCTAGAAGCTATCCAATAATAATGGTTTACTAATTACACCTATGAATTACAAACCACTAAATAATTTATTCCTTATCAAATCAGTAAACTATTTTAAATGAGCAACTATAATTACTTATTAGCAACATTTTCTACATTACTATTTAACACAAAACGATAAATGACAGGCATTGCATCTTTATTAATTAATTTTCCACAATTATAAAATTTCTTATATATGGATAAATTAAGCTTGATGATTTTGCATGAAGATGGAACTCTTGTATATTCAAAAAGCTTTATTGAACATTAAATCGAGAATACCTTTGATCTCATTTATAATCAAACTTTAACAGGATTTAATATAACAGATTGGGAGGATATCAAATATTCTATTAATCATTCGACCTATCCAATTTATAAGTACAATAGTATACTAAAATAATATGTTTATATAAAGGCTTCTTAGCTAAATCATACTTAATTAATAGCATTAACGTATTACTCTTAAATAATTTAGTTTATAAAATAATACTTATGAAAAAGAAATTTCATCAGTATTAGATGGCTAAATTTAAAAAGTAATATCTTGGTTTACTAATATGAGTATTTATGCAATTTTAGTTGATGTTATTATTGTATTATTAACTATTTTGCCTCTTAAATTTTTATTTTATTCTACCAATTTAGTTTTGGATATGATGATAAAATACCTAAATGGAAAATTCGATTATAAATTTAAAGATGATGTATTTAATCATAATTTTTTTTAATCGAATGACAATTCATTATCGAAATTCTATGAATCCTATTAAAAATTAGATAAGGCTCTTAATAAGACTTAATTTGAAAAATCTGAACAGTGTAAACTTATTGAATCATTCTAATTTGAGAAAAATTAAAAAATCAAATTAATTTACCCTTAGAATTAATTGTATGATAAACATGAAAATATTCCTGCTTAACTTTTTTATTCATTAATCAAAGTTCATAGAGAAGAAAATTGAAATTATTATATATAATTAATTTTATTGCACTAATTTACTTTATTTGTAATCTATCCTCTTGTTATTTATTTTTAACCTTCTTTTTATTCATTTTAACTGAAAACTTTGTTTTAATTTTGTATTTATAATCTAAAAAAAATATCTATTAAGATGCATTAATTAATATGAATAATAAATAAACAAATAAAATCAATTTAACTTGTTTTAAGTTAAGTAGAATTATATCAAGGAGTTAGAATTATCATTTCTAGACAAGCATAAAATCTGACGAAGGATTAATCCATTTCATATTTAATTCTATCATCAAGAACTTCATTGTAATCCATCATAAATCTTAATTTGTAAAATAATCTTTTTAAATTACATTTAATTTATTCTTAAAATTTATGAAGTAGGAACAAAATAATAGAAAGTTTATTATCTTCTGCAAGAATAAGCTCACGATATTTATTTTATTAATCTTAAGGTCTAGATTATAAATAGATATCAACAATATCATCTGATAATTTTTAAATAAGTAGAAATATTCTATAAGGTTTTACCTCTTCAAACATCTATTTTAATATAATAAACAATTCTTTATAAGGTAGATTTTAATGTTCAATTTGATAAATTGCATTCATAATTTTATTTTACATTTCTATAATTGACATTCTAGAACTATTTCTAAAATAATATTCCTGACGAGATTGTCCAAAATCATGAGCAAATTCATCTTCCTCAAATTCTCTAATCATTGTTTGATGTCCTGGCTCTGGATAAAGAGATATATCTAAAGTTTATTCTCTTTCCATCTTTTAACCCTCATATTAAATCTATTCATTTGAGTATTTCAAAGGAATTATCTTTTCTAAAAGTTAACCAAGACAGAATTCTTTATCATAAATATAATGCTAAATTAATTTTTAGAAAAATAAGTCATTCTAAATGTATTTTTAAAAGTCATTAAGAGAAATATATTCTTAAAGTATTTCTTAATAAGTCAATAATATAGTTTCTTTTAAAATTTTAAATAAGCTAATTATACTAATGATTATGTAATCTATTAAACGTTCATCTTCCTTTATCAATAGACTTAATTTTCTCTTAGAGAAAATACAATCTTCAAATTCCATTGTTTATTATTTTTCTTAGATTTCTAAAGGTAATTATGTCCTAATAAAGCTCTTAGTATCAGACATTTAATGTAAATTAGGAGATGTTGTAATATCGTCTAATTTATCCTTTTTTGATAAAACTAATTGTTTATAGAATTCGTTGAATTCTTTTAGAATTAAATAGAAGAGTGATTTTTCTTTCAGTTCATTTATATTTTCCATCAAATATTTTAACAATTAAGAATCTGCGTCAACGTCTTCTTTTTGAATTTATTGGGTAATATCAACAATATTAACAAAGGACAATACATAGCCTGCTTATAAAAAGTCTTTGCCAGGTTTAGGAAATTCATACTTTGCAATAACTTCAATAAGTTTATTCTAAAAATAAAAAACTAATTTACTTAAAAAAAGTTATAGAAGCTTTCCAGCATTTCAGTTTTTTAAGTTTCCTTAGGTAGACTCATAACTCCCTAAAGCACTATAGATTTGAGTTTTTTTTTTATTTCCATAGCTTTTTTAATTCTTTTAGGTATGCATTCCTTTTTTTTAGGCTCTTCAAAAGTATAACATGTTGTATTTCCCATTATTAAACTAGCTGACGTAAATAATTAAATAATTATTTATGAAAGAAAAAACTCTTTTTTCATAAAATATTTGTGAACTATATTCATGCTCTAAATTCATGTAAAATTATCAATTATATTACCATCATATTGCACATTATTCAAAATAAATTATAATACATAACTCATTAAATAAAAAAAATAATCAATATTTTTTGTCTTCTAAATATAAATATAAGTAATTTTTTGATTTCTTAGATATTAATAGATTTCATTCAAAATTTAAATAATTAAAATTCAATTACTCTAAAACTTTTAAATTTGGTTATAGTATTTTACTTCTAAAAAAAATATTAATATAAATAATAAACAATTAAAGAAATGAGTTAATAAGATTAGCTTGTAAAAATAACATTGATAAAAGTGCCGGATGGATATTAAGTTGAAGATAAAATTTATACAAAAATAAAAATTCCAAAAACATTTCTTGATCAATAAAAAATTAATCATCCAAAACCTGCTTAAAAATAATAGGTTATTGCTAAACCACCACCTCCACCTTAAATTAAATAATAAGCACCTCCTTAAATTTAACCTGTTAATCCTCCTCCTCCAATACCTCCTTAAAATAATTAAGTTCAATTATAGTAAGATAATAACTCTATACATATATGGAATCCTCCTTAAAACCCTTAAAACATTCATTAAGTAAAATAAATGCCTCCTTAAACTTAATGGTTTCCATAACCACAACTTACTTAAATCCAACCTCCACCTCAATTATAATAGCCGCCTTAACCATAAATATAGCCATAAGAAATATAAAAATAAGAAAATAAAAGACAATTATCTAAACATTCACTTATAATTCCTTCCTGTGCTAATTGGTTCTAAATGGATAATATTCACGAAATTGAAAAAAATCATTTCCCAGAATTTTTTACAAATTAACATGTTTCTAAAACACCAGAACTTTATAAAAAATATAGAAACTTTATTGTTAATCTTTATAAAAATTAACCCAGCACATATTTAACAACAATCGCTTGTAGAAAAGTCTTAGCAGGGGATGCATGTACAATATCAAGAATACATGGATTTTTATAATATTGGGGTTTAATTAATTATTCTGTTGACCCAGACACATGTCCAAATAAAGTACTTCCATAATAACCAATGACAAAGAGTCTTTATAGAACTCTGTAATTAAATGCTAAAGATGAGTTAGATGAAAAAAGTGACTTAAATTAAAATGAAATAGCTTTAATTAATGCAATAAAAATATTTTCAAAAAAATATAGGTAGTAAATATTTTAAACATTAGGCCTGGTTGTTCATTTTGTGGAATTTAATGTGGATTACAATGGTATTCTGAAAAAGAGTAAATTTAAAAAGATAATTTAGATTTAGATAAAGTAGAAAATGTTAAAGAACTTGAAACAAAAAATAAAAATCAAATTAAATTAGATTTATGCATGAAGTGTTTTTCTAATAATAATTTTCCAAATAATTTTACTTCAGATGATTTTTATTTAACTAATCTTGAGTAAAAATTTTTATCATTACATGTTTTATCTGATTAATCTAGATCAGTTTTAAATGATTAAGAAGTCAGTTACCTTATATCCCTTATTCAAGAAACTGATTAAAGTTGGGAAAAAATGGCGTAATAATTAAATTAAACATTTTCAACATCTCACACTGAAGAAGAATTGATTTTACATTTTCTTTAATATCCTATTGAACATTTAATTGAAATTGATAAAATTATTGATTCAAAAGAATGTTTAGAAAAATTATCAATTAATGATATTTCAAATAGAATTGCTTTTGAAGAGGTAAACTATATATTTAATTTTAGCCCAATATTTTTAGTGATTAAAAAAATCTTGTTAGTTTCCATTTATCAATATTTTAAAAATTACTTAATAATTTTAATAAAAAAGACTCAGAAGAATTTCTAAAATTAGATGATGTGAAATAAATAAGCAATGATAATGATAATTTTATTGAAGAGGAAAAAAGAGTTATTTAAATGAATTAAGAAACATTAGATAGAGCAAAATCACTATAAAAAAGAGAAGAAGAAAAACTAAATAATCATATTAATCTTTTGATTAGTTTATAGATGGAAAAATTAGAACATAAACTTACATTTTTAGAAGAATATGAAAAATTAATCCTCTATGAAAAATAATAATTGGAAATATGCCAAGTAATTAATAGATTATATATTTTAGAAATAAACTTTAGCAGAACGACTGGTAATAGTATAATAAAAACTTTAATATTACTCAGATAATAATTAATGAAAATTTGAGCTAATTTTCACACATATAATTATAATAATTCGTTTAATATTTACATTAACTATAATTTATTAAATGGAAACTTATTAAGATTAACAGTAATCCAGAAGTTCTATCCAATAATTTTAATTTAATTACGAAGCTCTATTAAGAGATGAAAACTCTGATTCAAATTCTTATTTAGATGATGTCTAAAAAAAATCTTTTGTTGAAAAATCAACTAGAAATTCAATAGTAACTATTGATTAGTAATATCATGCAAATCAACTTTAAAAATAATATGAAATCTTGAATTAAGATTAATTTATTAATAAGAATGAAGGAAAAAATAAAAATATCAATTTTTAAAATTTTTGGGTTATTGAGTAAAATATCGTTGATTTCTAACTAGCAGAACACTCTTTAAAAATTGGTTTAGCAAATATACTATTATAAAAAAGCAATTTAAAAGGCTCTCTATATTGTCTCTCTAAAATAATGTCTTTTAGAAATGCAAAAATTACTTAACAATTGATATAGCTTGATTGGTTACAATTGTATTTAGATGAATTAAATGAAGAAAATTTAGAATTTTTAATACAGAATTCAAATGTTTAATAGATATAATAATTGTTATTCTCTTCCAATAAGATCGATTTTATTTTAAATATCAAATCTGATTATAGCAATAAAATAATCAAAAAAATCTTTATATGCTTAGATTCTTATTGCATTAATTACAATAATGCAGAAATTCTATATTAAAAAAGAGTTATAGATAAAATCTTAAAATATATAACTCTTGCAAACTAAGAATGCTGTTAATTAATTGGTTCCTTATGTTTATCTTAAAATGCTCAAACAGAAATTTTATAAACAGACATATAGAAGAAATTATTTTCAAATCTTAAAAGCAAAAATTTTTAGATAGTTTCAAATTCATATTATGCATTATCTGGAATGTGCTTTAATTAATCATATTTACAGCTAAAATTTGCCAATTCTGAATTGCCATAATTTATGAAAATTCATTTGTCAAAAACTTGCGAAGTATCTATTATTGATGGCCTTTCATAATTAATCTCTAATTTAACTTATAATAATGACTAAGTAAAATAAATTTTAGGTGAATTTATACCAATTATAATTGAAATTGCATTAAATTTTCTTTAATTTGTTTAAGATAAAAAAATAAAATAGGATGAATCGTTAAAAGGGCTAAAGTCTATCTTAAGAGCTCTTTGTAATCTAATTTTTATAAAATCTAATGCAGTCTTAGCGATCGAAAATAATTTAGGAGGGCTTTGTTCCCTTTTTTAAAAAAAAGATTTAATGTTTGTAGAATACTTAGATTTATTAATAAATCTTGGAACACATTAATTGATGAGTCAAGATTTACTTTTATCTCTTAATGATTTAATACAAAAATCCTTATATGAAGAGCATCTTATTAAAATATTAGACTGCATCATAAGCTCAGCAAAATAATATTGCAACCTTATAAGCTAAGAATTTAATTTATCAACTTACAAAAATATATTAATTAAATACAATGAAAATCATTCAATAGTATTAAGAATATATAAATTAGTCAGTTATTTACTTAATTAAAAATAAAACTATATTTATTTGTAAGAATGCAGCCTAATTGATGAAATAAAACCATTTCAGAATCTTAATATTTAATATTATTATTAAAAAATTTAAAATTAATTATAAGAGATAACGATAATGTCTAGAATCTTTGGAATTTAAGAAGATTAATAAGATTAATTGTTTGACATTTAAGTTGTTAAAGGTAATAACAAATTGAATAATGCTATTTTATTGATTAATAAGAATTAAATTTCGATCTCATAAAATGGAATTACTAAATCTAAATATTTGATTTAAAAGTTATAACAAATTTTAGATTTAGAAAATGAATAATTAGAGTTCAAATCCTTAAGTCAAGTTAAAAATATTTTTCGAAATAATTGCATAGGACTTATTGGATTTAAAAAATCTTAAATGAATAAAATCATAATACAAGCTTAAAACAACTAACAAAAGTTAAAAATTTTAAAGTTATTGCAACGTTTTAAATCTGATTAAGCTTCATTATGAATTTAACTTTTGTATTTAATATATTAATCAAATTTTATAACTTTTTTTTAAGACTAAGTTTTTATTCAATTTTTATTAATGTAGTATATTAATTAATTCTCTAATTAAATTTTCGAAATTATTTTGCAACTCTAAAATAAACAATTTGTTTCAGTAATTGTTATTTTTATTAAACACTAGAAATTATGTTTTGTCTCAAATTGGTTAATTAAAGTTAATTCAATTTAAGAGACTTTCACTCTAACGAGATTTGCTTTACTTCATTTGTATAGTCTTAGATAAGCACTTAGATTACATTATTATTTCAATTTAACACACAATGGTTACCAACGATGATTCTATGAAGGTATATATTCTGTCAATTAATTTCTTCGTACATTTTATAAATTTTGCCTCTTTCTTAGGATATTGATTTTTAATTCTTGAAAATAGTTTACAAGTTCAGAATAATGGAAGCTAGGATGTTAGTTTATAATATGAATATATGATAGGGGACATTAATGTATCTTACACTTTCTATTATAAAAAATAAATAATATATTTGAAATTATAGGTAAGGTTTGAATATTAAAGAAGAAATTTTTATCCTAGATTATTATAATTAAAAAAAACTTTTGATGCTGGTGATTAATTCCTCCACCTATTCTATTCAGGGTAACGTGGGGTCTATCCAATTAGTCTGAATTGTAAATTTTCTCCAAGTGTCCTTTCATTTTAGGCCTTAGAGTCTGACTTAATTCCTGATCCAAAGTTTCTTATGTTATTCTATTTATGAGGATGCTCTTTATTTTTAGGCCATAAAACACCGTTTCAAAAAATTCTTAATTTTATTTTTTTCCTTTTTAAAATTGTATTTGAAAATGAAAGGGGAAATCCATAAGCTTTTTAATGCTACCTATTATTTAATTTTTGAGCTTGCTTTGGCAAGTTTAATAATTTTAGGTCAATAAAATAAATAATAAGTAGTAAGATGAAGGTAAGCCAAAGATATATGCTAAATTAAATTTACTGAATTATAAGATTGAAAGGGGATTAATATCTATTAATATTAAGACTTAGCAAAGATAGACTCAACAGATATTTTTCAGTTACTCTATCAAGTAGATTTATTAGAGGAGATCTAATTTAAAAAGTGAAATCAGGAGAATATCATTTTCAAATTAATAGTAATTAAATGTATGACTTAACAAGTGCAATGCTTAATCTAAATTACAAAAAATTAACTAAAGGATTAAGAAAGTAGAATAATAAGAAAATTTGTACCTCCATTCTCAAAAAATTATTTATTTTCGGTCACCTTTATCATGATTAAATTCTATTTATTTTTTATTTTTATTTACAAAAAGATTTCTAAATTCAGATAGTAATTTTTAGTCAGTTTATTTGAATCATGAAATAATTTTTTTCAAGTCTGGTAAATTTTGTATTCAATAAATCACAAAATATGAATCAAAGGATAATAATAAATTTAATTTTAAAAATTAAAATTGATTGTTTTTTAAATCAAGAATAATTCAAAATGCAGTGCCAAATATAGAAAATCTTAACCTACAATATTTGATTTCTAATTTAGAGATTAAATTTTTTTAAAAGATTTTTTAGATCTAGATGTTATTTTTCAAAATAAAATAATAGATTAAAGAATAAATCTTTGGATGCAAAAATTATCTGGAAGATTTACCAAAAATAAAATTTGAATATATTTTTACTTAAAACCATCAAAATGCTGCCAGCATTTACCAATATTAGTAGGTAGATTGCAACCACATAATAACACTAACATAAAACTAGATACAATTACTGTTGTTTAAGAATCATTATATATTTTATTTCATCATTGCCATTTAATTTTAATAGTAATCTTTTAATCAGAATTTTTTATTTTTCTTATGACACCTTATTTTAATTTTTAGTTTAATTTTTTCTATATTAAATTTAAATTATTATATCTAAATAATCAAAATTACAAATACAAACTCACTTCAACTATATTAATTTTTTTGATATCAAAAAATATTTTAAATCTAGAATATAATAATTATTAAAATTGGATAAATTTGTATTTTTATAGCGATAAATGTTGAATTATCAAATATCAACAAGAAAAACTGGAATAGAAGCTATTATGAATTATAGGATGTTGGATCGAATATGAATTTTAGAGAATTTTGTTTCTAAATAGAAGTATTTTAATTACTTAAATTTAGGCTAATCTTGAAAATTTATTTAAATCAGAGGAAATGTATAGATAGAAAATAAATAATTTAGCGAAAATATTAAAATAAATTAAAATAGTGTAAAGAGCAATATAATTTGGATTTATATAAATACATTAAATTTATATATCTGAAATCATCGGTCCCCAATTTGTCTCGAACCCATGATATATCTTCCTCCCATGTAGCAGGTAACTCCAGCTTCTTTGTTCTTCTTCGAATGGCCTTTGGCAAAGATCTGAGCTGACTTTTTTCTTTTTAGGTCCTGAGGTGGCAGGAGTCATCCCAGTTTATCCAGTCGTCTGGGTTTTTTGGAAAACCACTCTGCCTTGGCGATTGGTAGTAGCCCTATCTCCTTCTGTCCCTGTGGCTTTAGAAGGCGAGGAATCATTATAAATTTGGATTTTTTATTTTAAAAAACACTTATAAGTAATGTGTTTGTGTTTAGAAGGGTTTTAATAATTTTCTTGAACATTCAACATATTTATTTTAATAATTTAAATGACAATATTTATAGAATCATCAAATAAATGAAAAATGGTGATAAAAATAAGAATTAAATTTATAAAATTTCTCACTCATAACTTTTATCTTTACATAAACAATATTTTAAAGCTTGATTATTTTAATTCTTATCTTTAACCCAAAAAAAATTACAAACTGAGCAATTTTCAAAATTCTTTTTCTTACTTTAATAGATGAATTTTAATTATTCCTATATTAATTCGTTTTAATATTTTTTATTAAATGATGCTTCAATTAAAGGGATTCTAGGGATTTTAATTTAACATATACAACTAAGAAATGGTCTTTATTAAAAATTATGTATTTATTTGATGATTAATTCCTTCAAACAATCAATGTGATAAATATGGTAACAATTCAAACAATATTAAGCTTCGTTAATATTTTAATTGCACCAATAGCAATTAATTTAAATTATGTTAATTTAAGAATCAAATAGATTAATTTATGATTCTTTATTTTTTTGTAAGTCTTATTTTTCTACTATTGTGCTAGTTTATTTAAAATATGTAGTTTTATAGTTTGGATTATTTTAATTATTATTTTAATTACAAGTTTTGATTTCTTGTTAAATTTTACTATTTTTGTTTGAGAAGTGAAATTGATAATTTTAAAGGCCCTATGTTGGTTGTTCGTATTATGAAACACTTCTTATTCTGCTTTCAACTTGACTTTTTTCTTCACAAATTCGGTGATCTAAATGTTAATTAGTTTTTGGTTGAAAAATTTATTAAAATTTATTCTTAGTTTAATTTGGTACATAAGTATTTTATTATCTATCAGATGATTTTTGTATATTGTTTCCATAATTATCTAATTTTATTATTTAAATCACTCATACATTAACTTTAATTCATTATCCTTTTTAAATCCATCTCATTCAATTTAAATGAAGGTTTCTATTAAATTTAATAACAGAATTAGTTGTTTAAGTTGTGATATTAGTTTAAATTATTTTATCCAATTATTTTAATTTTAGGATTAGAGCTTTGGTAGATTTATTTTCCTTAAGTGTACGCAGATGTGGATCTTTACCTAGCTTCATTGTAATAACTGTCCATTTTATAAATAAATATTCTTATTATATTTAAAAGTCTCTATTATTAAACAAAAAATGTCAAAATAAAATATATAGCAATTATTCTATTTTTATTTAGTAAAATTTCTGTTGTATGACTAAATCACTAAGTTATATAAATGATGTGAGTAGTATGATTGGTAGGTAAATGGGATATATGTTATTTATTGTTCATAATATTAACATACATACAAATAAATGTTACAAATTAGAATTAAGAATTATTTTAGAAATTTATATATTATGAATGTTACAATTATAGAAATCGTTGTGGGCCAGTGAATACCAGATTGTGTTTTAAATGCTCGTACTATTGCACACAGAATGGGAGATGTAATAAATAAATTACAAACTTTCTCAATATGCATATAAACATCATTAAAATGTCATTAATTTGATAATTTGAAGTAATTACTAAAGCTATATTTCTTAATTCTATCTTTTAATATCTTTTGAGTTATTATTTCTTGATTGTTCAATAATTTTTGTTTTATGTTTAATTAGTAAAACTTCTATTATCGCCTTGATATCGAACTGTTTCCGTTTCAAATGTTCTTGTTCTTCATTTTTCTTTGCTTTAATTAATATTTCTATTATTGAGGTCAACTCTTATGACTTTTTTTTTTCATTGAAGCAACGAATTTTTTTTAAGGAAAGAAATTTCAAGAAATAAAATAATATTTTATTTATGATATTTATAATAGTATGAAAAATTTTATCATATAAATAATCCAATAAAAATAGAATAATATTATTATAAAATTTATTAATATAGAAATCAAATAGAAGTAAAATGTGAAGTTTTTCTATTTGTATTTTATTGATTTTTCATTATTCTCAAGATACCTCTTTCACTATAAAGAAACATTAATAGTTCAATAACTTTTGCTAATACAGAGAATTATCAAAATGATAAAAATTGTAACCACAATATGATATTACTGTTCATTGTATATTCAGTAGTAAGAAAATAGATTCAGATTAAATAATATAGATATTCAATTGCTGTTTCTTTTTCTTCAAAATAAAAAAGTTTAATTTTCTAAAACTTTTCAAAGCCATTGATTATTCTATTCAACTTAAATAAAGGTTGTAAAATAAAATTAAAATTCAAACTCTAAATAATTGATTAATGGTAATAATCATTTGCTAAAAAATCTTTATTATTTTCTATATATTTTTGATTACAATTATATTAAGATTTTTACTGTATTAATCTATTAAAAGTTCTCTATTAATAATTTCTCTTTGTTGTTAGTTTTTTATAATCATTCTAAACATCTTTCATAAAATTTCTGTATTTAATCAAGTCGAACAATTAATTTTAGGTTTCTTTATTTTAATATTAATTTTCTCTATAATATCATTCCATTTCTAATATCATTCTTATTCCCTTTCAGACTTTATATATTTATGTATTATCTGAAGTAATTAAAAACCTTGTGAATCTACTTAATCTAACGATACAATTAGTATATAAGTGGGAAATTGCTAATCAACTTAGATGATTGAGTTAGCTAAAATATTATTAATGATCTTCAAAATTTTAGATATTTTTTATAAGATTTTTTATTGTATCTATAGTGATTAAGAATTATCCATTAAATTATTAGATATCTTTGTGAGTTTTGATCTTTTTCTATCAATTACCATAATAAACTCGTTAAATGAAGTATTGCTCCTTAAACTTTCACAATAGTAATTAAGTTTAAAAGATCAATTAAATGCATGTTTCACTGAATTCATAACTATAATATCAAACAAAAAATGATTATTTAAAGCGCAAAAGATATTTAGCGAATATTTGATAATAAAAATTAATAATGGATAACAAAAAGAAATGCCTTTTGGAAAAGTTTGGGGGAGAATAGCACGTTTTTGAACTCATGGATTAATTCTATTATTTAGTGATGTTTGATAATCTTCTTCGAGACAAATTTATGAAGGCAGATATGAGCAGAGTTCGAAATCAATAAAAAAAATTCTTTACTTAAATGATGGGTGATGGCAAAACCTAATACGCTGGAAGGTATTTTATTTAATAAAATAATTATAGAGATTTAGTCGAGGTCCACAAAAATCTTGGCATTACTAACTAATAATTTGATAAATTTAAAACACATCTGAAAAATATTGCATTAGACATGGAAATACCCACATAGAACATAGAAGAGTTACTTCAACTTGTTGAAAAACACAGAGAAGTCATTGTTTTTTAAAAATGATTTATGAAATTGATTATTCTAAACAAATACCTAAATATTTTTTTTAACTTATTAATCAAATTTATTTAGCAATTCTAAAATGAATCATGTACAACGAAAATATTAATAAGCTGTTTTAATTCCTACATGATTAAAATTAATTAATCTCAAATATTAATAATACTAATAATCAATTATTAAAGGGAAGAATACGGATAGTTCAAGCTATTAAAATGTAAATTAGTTTAATAGTTATAATATTATGAATTAATGTTCTGATTTCAATAAATCAAAGTCTTTTAATTCGAAATAAGTTTGCTTTAGAACATATTTATTACTTTTCACATTTAAGTTAGTTTAATATTGTTAATAAATTAATTTAATTTCATCCATATATGCCAAAAAAATAAATGTATCAAATAAATAAACTTTAATTTCTAATTTTGAGCTATACTAATTTTAAGCAATATTAAGAAAGCTTTATTTGATTAAATTATTATCCGAATATACTTAAAAGTTCCAATAAAATTCTGAAAGCATCCAATCAATCTAGTTTTTTTTTGTTTTAGTTCAATAATCAATTTTAATTTTTCAATGTATAATTTATATTCAAAATGATAAGAGTGATACTGATATTTACACAATTTAAGTTCCTAGTTTTGAGAACTCTTCTTCTATAAAGGTATAGTTTTATAGCTTAAGAAGATCGGATTATGTATTTATTTTGATGTTTTTTATTGTTTTAATTAGTATAATTAAGAAACACTAATTTGTATTCTTATTGATTGAACAACACCATAGAGTAATAATATTCATTCATTTCTTTTGATAAACGTTTAAGATCAAAGTAATCGAATCATAATGAGGTTATGAATTAATGCTTGATAATAATTGTAAGACTTCATTAGTATGTTATTAAGCTAAAGTTTTGCTCTATCTAATGCCCTTCCAGCTAAAACAATAGAGTTCATAATCTTTATACTAATCTAATAAGAAAGAGTTCATGAGATTTTATATTTTAAATTACACTCATCCAATTAAATAGTTGGTAGAGCATATTGCTCTTTGACATACAGAGATTCTTCTTCTTGTGTATATAACATGCTGTATTTGCCTTGTCATATACTACATTTCTATCACTGCCCCCTAGATTTTTGACTATTCTGTTTTCTACCTATTTATATAAAACTGATTGATATTAAGCATTTTTAGTATTGATCTAAAGAATTCCCTTATTACCAAAGGAATGACGAGTTGCCTTATTTTATAAGTCATTTAATCAGTTTTATAGAATTTAAAATATTGAACATTTAATAATGAATTATTTGATGAATTATTTATTGATCCTTAATCTAGTAGGTACACTTTCAAAAAGACATAGGAGAGTTCTTGTTCAAAATCAAAAAATAAACCATGATAAGAAATATTATAATAATATTTAATAGAGCTTTCTTACATCATTTTCAAAAGCTTCTAAATCCTTCTTAGCAATATCAATCATTGCTTTTTAGTTAATGTCTCATCCACTAATAATTCTTAACTGATCTCCATTGTCTTTAGTAAATGAATCGAATTCTTTTAGGTTTTTAGGTTTAGCCAAAAGGTAAGAATTTAATATCATGCCTTTAGTTTTTTTCTCCTCCTTACGTGTTTTTGTTTTTTTTTCTGTTTTTCTTAGGTCAACCATTACTTTCTTCCATTTTCTTTTCTTCAAAAGAATTTAAAACAAATTAGGTTCCATAGAACTTTTCTTTCAATTATTATTCTTAATTGATATGATGATAGCACTGGTGTTACTTAAATTTAAAACTCTTATGTCAAATCTAGAACCATCCAAAAAAAAAAAAAATTGAAAAATATTTGTACCTCTACCCAACCCCTC